TAGGAGTCTTTCTTTGCAGGAAATGTTTCTTGTTTCTTGTCTGTGCTGTCTACAACAGAAGGCCTCCCTTTATAGCCAAAATCCGCAACGACATGCACTATTACTATCCTAGCCTTCTTCAACGTGAGAGAGACCTAGTGTGGCACCATGCTTTTTAAAATGACACTAACTAGTTTTATTTCAGTCAACAAAGCTCGGTCATCCTCGAGCAAGTGGGTATCTTACTAGCTGATACAGGGTCTGTGACGCAGCATACTGGGCCACCAGACTGTCAAAGTAAGCCATGCAAGATGACTCGGCCCTCTGCTAGTCTAGGAAGCTGCACGCGGACAGATCAGAATTGTCCTAGTCCTTGTGTAGGTGACCTCCTTGTCCGCCTCCCTCTGGTGGGGATATTTAAAGAGAACTGCCTACCTTCTGAGAATTATCCGTGAGCTTCGAGATGAAGTCGAATCGCTAGCCGGAGTCCTCGAGACAGTGAGAATTTCCAATGCTAGTCATCATGAGGCCTGCCCTGAATATAAAGAGGCCGACAACTTCCTCTTCGATTCATCTTGACTTAACGTGCAACATATCGTGCCAGCAGCGAATATACGAGATGACTACCGAAGAACCGCTTTCAAACGCACTGCGATGTTTATGCACAATGCCAGGGGTAAGTCGGTCGTGTACGCTACAATTCTCCTTCTCATATTAACTGTACAAAGTGCAATGGAGCCTGTATCCAGAATCTTTCTTACAGCACAGCCTCCAAGGCTGTTAGTGAAGCTGAAATGGAGTTTACATGCATATGCATGGTTCCAGGTGTAAGTTCGCCCTATCCTAAGCTTCTGCTTCTCGTGCTGACCGTATGGAGTGCAACGGAGCCTGTGTGCAGGGTCATCTTTCGAACACGTTGTCCACGCCTTATTTTATGGCAGCTGAAATCGACGTTACACATAAAAGAATACACAAGTGGGCTGACTACGGAGTAGACACTGGTAAGGTAGACGAGAATGGCCTGCATGATGCGGACTCTTCCCCCCCGCCCTCCCCCCGGGTGCTATTTAATAAAACATACATGAAATGAGAGCCCATGAAGATTCTTCCACAAGCGTCAAAAATAATGCAGTGGCAGTGGGTCTGCCATGATTGGAACGAAACCCAGGCGCAGGTTCGATTCTGACTTGACTCATCCTGGCCCTGCTTATACAGAATTGATTCGAGTTTATTCCTCTTTTAGCTAGCTAAATCCGATCCATCCTCTGCAGCCAGGAAACCGTCTATCACTTCTTTGAAAGACGGTAGTTGAACCTGCCCATGCAATTGGCTCGGATGTTGGTGGAGAAACGGCGGCAGTTGAACATCAGGGCGAGGCGAGGCCGCTTGATCTCCTGGGCACTCAGGTGAGCAGCTAGGGACTGGTGACGATGTTCTATTTCTCCCCCTGCGCTTGGAAGGGACGGCACTGGCGCGACGAGCAATACCATCTTTGCTCATTTTCCAATGCAAAGCTTCCACGACTTCCCATGAAATACCTAATTCTTTGGCGATTGGTGTCCAAGTCTCCTCTTTCAGCCTACAATCATCAGATCTGTTATTCGAGACTAGAATATGATTCCAACATACCGTTCATAAGCTTTAGCAAAATTGGTCTTCATTTCCTTGTCGAAACCTTGCTGGTCGATGTGGTGGTGGTAGTGTACCCGGCAACTATCTGGTTTCCGTCCAGGAAAACTCTTACTGATGTCTGCCCATTTCATTTTCTTTTCAACAAGCTCGATCAGTAGCTTATTCTCGTCATCGGACTACTTGGACATTGTGGTATTGTTGATGCTCACAGGTGCTCTGCGTAGATCAGGAACTCTCGATATACTCGGAGGCTGGCGACGTGATTGTTCTGTAGCTTGGCGATCATGCTTGCATGGACATAGATAGAATAAAGAGAACAGATGATCGGAATAACAGATAACAGTAATTTTGCATAAGCCGCCGCAGTCAAAGCTACATATCCTTGCGACTATTTCTGCTTATGAGAGTTGCAATAATCACATATGCCGCGGATCACAAGCGTCGGAAGCTTATCCATCAGGCCGGCTGCCTCCATTTCAAAGCAGAGGATTCCATGCTGTTGTGCTAGACAATCTCGTGTTTCCGAATCCTTTACCACCTTACAGTATCTCCTGAAGCAATCAACCCATAATGGATATAAGGTGTCCTTGTCTCTCGTGGATGCCGTTTAATTAGTTGTTCTTTATCACAATCTTCACAGGTATCTTCCCCGGTGACGTGGTGATAGGAGGGATGAAATAGAAGGTCCATGTGCTGTTCTGGTGATAAAAATCTTTCGTTCATGTCAGGATTTCGTTCCAGTACATCCTCCACTATTTTTAAGATATCATTCTCACCCCCAGTCGTTTGTTTTGCCTCCATTTGACTTATATGTGTCAATAGAACTTGTGGTGGTTTATTCAAAGTTCCTGTTGGCTCGAATTGGCCACTTTGAATTGCCTTGCCATAATCATACTGTATCACACCGCTGTACTTTCCAACCGGTTTGCTGACCACAATACAGTTGTTTGCAAAAACGGTGCACGATTTCTCTCTGTTCAATTGTTTAAGATGTTTCACCTTAACCTTGATCAGGGAAAGTGCCGGATTAATGATATTCCAAAAATTTCACTTAACCGTAATTTACCGTAAGATAGCATGACGTTGGTCCGGTGCCTGCTGTACTCGGATCGCATTTAGCAGCATCCACGATTTCGGATGTGGTGAGCTCATTACTCATCAGCATGCCATAAATGAATTCTCGCGTTGAGGGTGGTAGATTTGGTGGCCATCTCGGTAGCAATCAATGCCACGAAAGGCTGATCTACATGATCTTCCGGGAGATCTTCCGGGAGGATCTTACCTTATAACTAACCACGTGGAATAAGGTTAACTAGGTATTACTGATAGTTACACGTAACGTACTACACGGGTCATTCGGCCACACGGGTCATTCGGTCACCCGCAAGTCCCATATAAAATGACCTTCTTTAACATCTTGATTTCTCAACGGATTCATATATAAACCGTATCTAAAAGTTGAATATGTCTTGTAATATAGGTATCATAATATATATCTGGATTTAAAAACTCTAAAAATATTAAAAACCCTCTGTCATTGAATTTACATTAATAACTTGGCTAGTTTCTAGTATCTCAAGACTTATAGAAGAGGCGCACTTCCAAATTGATATTTCTGAAAGGATTCATATAGCGAATCATGCGTAAAGTCTAAGATATGGTTTATATATGAATCCGTTGAGAAATCAAGATGTTAAAGAAGGTCATTTTATATGGGACTTGCGGGTGACCGAATGACCCGTGTGGCCGAATGACCCGTGTAGTACGTTAGTTAGTTAAACAATACGTATAAGGAACTAGGTCTATTGTCCGGCACTCCTCTAAAACCACTATCTAGGAGTATTGAACCTGTTTTTATATACAAGATTCCATAGAAGTGATATCACCAAAAGTCGACACTTGTGCAAATCGAACTTTCTAGAGATAGGCTGTAAAGTTGATTTGTAATGTTCAATGTCGCGTCGGAATGTGATGCCAATTCTCGAAATTTCTTGATACGCAAATCTTGTCCTATTCCCAAATTGGTTTAGCTCATTTTGAGTTCCAACAAGAATTGAAGATTCTAGAATCGTATTTTATCTCCATACAGGTATTGTAATTAAAAATTCGTATCGAGAGATACAGTATTATTTCCGCATTAACATTATTCCGACGCTCTCCTTTATTTAATATGGTGTCTTCTTGGCACTGTTTCAGAGGAAAGGGAAGAGAGTCTCAGTTGTTACTCTGAAGGTGCAAACCACTGTATAGATATTTTTTGAGTTGATTCGTACGGATCTCAGCATATAGGGTCGATATGAAATGTGATCGATTATGATGGGTAATCTTAGAACTATAAAATAGAGCTTTTGATTTACTGCCTCATTTGACTGCCTCTGCATATCCGGATTATCTGATAGATCTCGCAATATTCTATCACGACCATGGCCAATGCGATCCTCCGAGAGGCATCTCCATATGGCACGTTCCAGCAATGGGATGCCCTAACCCCTGGCTTCCTCAGGACGCCAGGCTCACCTTCAAACTTTAGCTATATTGGCTCCAACCACGGCCCCTATATGGGCTACTCCACTCCATCCCACATACAGGATAGGCTTCCCTTACTAGGCCTGGATGACTGGGAGGAGGAAAGAGCATATGACGAACAGCCACCTGTCTGCATTCACTACTCGATTGAATGGAAGCTTGCATTAAATAAGCGGGTTGTAGTAAGCAATACGGAGCAAAACTTAGTGTTGGCCCCCAGTGCATACTGAAACAAATTCCTTAAACCCAAACTAGAAAGGCTTGTTCAGCAGGAATCTTCTCGTGATCAGTGTGTTTGGCCTAACAATACTGTACCGCAATGATTGTTGCAATCAACGACCACTCTGAACTTAACCTTACTAAGGGGTTTGAAAAGATTGAAATCAATTGGTCCCTCATAGAGAATCCGATGCTGGACTAGGGACATTTGTTCCGCGCTGGGAAGAAACTCAGGTTAATCATTACATTTTATTATCTTAGGGGCAATCGATCAGGTCCGAAAAAGGGAGATAAAAGAGGGTCATCAGCGACCCAGAGAATATTAGGGGAGACAGGGGATCGGCTTAGTGCTAATGCACCTCATGCTCGTCTAGTTCTGGGCGGCAGGTCTATCAACTAATGCGTTGTCGTGACAAGACCTGTAAGCAAGGAGTGCACTGCTTCGAGGACCCTGTAACCCAAAAGCACTACCCATTGACTCAGCAGGGATTTTGTTGACGATGGTGGTATCCTGCGTACTGAAGATGACATTCCTGATTAGAAGAAGAGCGTTGAAAACAAAATCCAAGGATAAAGGCTTATCAGTCTATGGGGCAACTTGCTCCCCAGTCAACATTGTTTCACCCACACAAACGCTGCCTCCATCCGATTCAGCCACGACACTCGCTGGAGCTCTAGATACACCACCATCAAACACATCGCGGTGCAAGCAACTCAACGTTCCTGGGCCTCAAGATGCGGCAGTCAAGAACTACAGTGAGTGGCATGCATCCAAAGTAGATGACTATGACCTCAAGAATGATTACCGAAAGGCATATCAAGTGGTATTCAAAATGGACTTGATTTGCAACAGATCTTTAACCGTCCAGATCCTAACTTTTTCATAGAAAGGGAGGTGAAAATAGGCACGGCCCATCGTTTTGTTGATGTTGATGATATTATGGAATGGGCTGAACGTTATTGAGAGCAGTCGGATCTCTCTGAGTTTAATTGAACTATCGCCCAGCGGGCATTTTATGTACTCCTCTACAGGCTTCATTTTTACATCAGTTCATTATATAGTTAATTGCGCGTTCACATTAATGGTTTAAAATTCTAACCAGATTTGCGTGTCTACAATAATATTTAGAAAGCACGTGACATCGCGCTAGAAAATTGCTTGCACTTGAAACAGATTCTCAGTGATGAAGATCCGATTTCTTCTGCCAACAGGGTGTGCAGGTTTGTTAGCGACATTCCTCTTGGCTCGAGGACCGTGAACGTAAAAACGGATTAGCTTCTTAGCGCACGGACCGAGCCGACTCCATAGCGGAGCAAAGCCATACTACCAACGTTCAAGGCCCACTTATTAAACAGTTTTTAAGACCCACTCTTTGAACACTGTTCAAGATCTACCAACATTCAAGGCCCACTTACTCCGTATTGAACACTGTTTAAGATCCACTTACTAACCAACATTCAAGATCCACTTATTAAACAGTTTTTAAGGCCCACTTGTAAGATCTACTTATCATGAGCGTTGAACAATTGTTTACATTCCTAACAGAGTTCTGCAGACTATAACCTCAAAGTTTATGATATTCATCCTGACACTGTGTAACAACGTTACGAGGGATATGTATAATTACATTTGAGAGGGATCACTGAAGGCAAAGCACACAAGGTAGGGTATGGAATGTCAATGTACTGAAACCTATCTTCCGCTATCCTTGAGCATCTGCTATCTTTATAGACATATAACTAGGCCTCGGAGCGCACCTCAAGGAACCGGGACCAAACCGCACCGCACCGCAAGATGGTGCGGTGCAGTTCCAACTTTTAAGAACCGCTGGGCGGTTCCATGACTTCTGGAACCGCACCGTTTTGGACGCGGTTAGGACCAGCGGTTCTACAAACAGTACAAACAGAGAGATTCTATGATATGCATATTTTATGCAAATTCTAGCTGTATTTTTGGGTAATCTGTTTACCTCCTAGGTCGAATAACTAGGAGATACCTACTATAGGATAAATACATTCAGAAATTAATGCAAGAATTAATTAGTTAAACAAGTAATCTTGACATTCTATACTAAATTGCTAAGGAGTCTTGTATACAAAGTCTTCATCTCGCTTGGAACGCTTCGGTTGACGGCCAGACGAGCGTCTCTGGGTACTGCTTACTGTCACCAGATGCCTATTGTAAGGTAAAGGAACCTCATCTTCCTCATTTCCATCCAATTCAATCAGTGGCTCTTCCTCCCTTGCTGGTCTTTTGCCAAGCGAATGCTGACTGCGTGCTTGGGAAGCTTGAGGACTTTGAGGTAGTACTAAGGATTCATCCTCACTCTCAGCCTCCTCGCTGTCACTAATTGGGTCAAAATCGTACTTTGTATTCTGAGCTTCGAGTGCTCGCTGAGCATCCCTTTCCTCCCTGGCTCTTTGTATCTCTTGTGTTGTGAGATACTCATCCATAAGGGAAAGTTCTTCTGATTCAAGGTTGAACTTTGTTGTGCACATGAATAACATGAGCTCCTTGATGGTATGGGGTTTCAATGAGCCTCGACGATAGTGACAGATATTACGGGCAGAGTTGAACAACCGTTCAACACCAGAGCCACTAGCAGGAGTTGTGAGAATATCCTAGGCAAGACTTGCAAGGATAGGGTATTTAAATTGATGATCCTTCCAAAATATTCGTGGGTTCATTAGCTGAGTGCCTGTACAGATGGAGGTTAGTAGGCAAGTTATAAGAGAGTGTAAAGTATAGCTTACTGCTCCCAAGATAACGTGATATCTCGTCATGGGCGGTTGTTCGTGGCTGTAGAGATGTAGCTGCTGTTACGAGCATATCAATATCAGATATACCACCGGTCAATATCTGGCGTATTGGTATTGATTGAGTCTGAGTCTCTAAATAGCGTTTCTCATAGGGCACAATATACTCCTCAAGGCTCTTGCGGTATCGGACACGCCATTCTGGCTCCCACTCAGAAGTAGAAAAGAATTCCAGCTTATTTTGCGGGGCTAGGATTGTTCCGATAGCATAGAGATCACCACTAACATGATCAGTCATTGCGTAATATTCTGAAAGCTTCTCCTTTGCTGAGCTCAGAGCAGCCAACATTACCTTTTTCCAGCTAACTTTTTTCCGGCTGAGCTGTGCCGTACACTTCTTGAGATGTGTAAAGAGATAGTTGTAGATGGCAAAAACACTATGAATAGTACACACACACACACACAATATATTAACGCCCGGCGGCCAAACCGAAAGGGCAACTATCACTAATCTGCTAATACATGTCCTAATATATATGCCGTGTCTCCTGGTAGCCCATACATGATCACTTTTAATATATGTCATCTCATCTGTCAGTATTGTAGCGGATGCTCGTGGGTTAGTAATTTTGTTAGTAGCTAGCTTGAAGGCGCTTCTTCAAGTGTTCAACATCCTATCTTTGGCAGTTGAAGCGCGTCTACCATGTCTATCATGAGGTGGTTAGTGTGGGTGAGATCATGGAAGGGTGATTAGTCTGTGTTCGTCTACATAGTTAAGTGGCGTTGAGTCGGCCTATAGCGATTGCAAACCATATTATGGCCCGCACTGCTTCAAAGTTTGGGGTCCAGTTCTGATCATCTGAAGGTAATTTTCCTCCTAGGAAGAAGGATAGGTTGCCTCGGTGGGTATTAGTACATTGCAGCATTTCTGTCCGATATGCCGTCCACTTCTAACATTGAAAGAGGAAGTGCTCTACAGTTTCTTTTACTTATCCATATGCACACTGATCAGTCTGCGCTACGTTAATTTGATAGAGATATTCATTCAATCTTGCTATGCCAGTCCGGAGTTGTGCCAGCACGCTTGCTTCTTTCCATGACAATTGATTATACAGCTGTCGGGTGTGTTTGCCTGGGAGCGCTGCGTCTACTCTTTTAACATATTTGCCCACTTTCTCGGGTAAGCCTTTGCTGATAACATTTTGGGATCGTGCAATATTAAAAGTTATTGATTTTATTTGGGGAACCTGTGCTTGTGGGATAGCGTCCTCTCCGGTTACTATCCTGGCCTACTCTTTGGCTAGGCTTAATAGCTTGTTATCCTCACTGGTAGGGACCCAAAGGACAGCAATCTGATTTCCATTTCTTCGTAACCTTTTAATGAACTTGTATATTTGGCAGACGTGTTCCTGACCTGACTGTTATCAAGGATTCTTTAGTGTGAGTGCGGCTGCTTTGTTGCTTGTCAGCAGCGTGATTCTGTACTACTTTAGTATTAGTAGCGTGCTCAATGCGTGTACCATTGCTGCTAGCTCCCCTAAGTATGGATTCTGCTCTAATCTTACACCCAGTATGAAGGAGAAGGTCTTTAGTTTTAGCTTTGTATACTGGGGTGGTTTCCTCTGGATTGCTCCACCAAATCCTACGACCTTGTTCTGTGCCGAGCTGCTTACCGCGATCTGCATTGATCCGCCCGCTACAGTGTGCGATTCTGGGGGTTCACTAATATCGGTCTGTACTCGCTCCTCCCACGGTGCTAGTGTAAATGGGTTAATAGTTTCCAGCGTGTCCATTTCAATATTCTTCAGGGCGTCTGCCACCTGATATAGCGGTGAGCGGTGAAATCTTCTGAATTTCCTGATCCGATCGGTGCATCTGCGAAGGTATGAATAGTACACTCGGAGGCAAAACCGGTGTCGGGATCTTACTCTCTTCAATTGTTTCTTAATCCCTGCGCCAAGCGGAGCTAAACTACTTTGAGAGAAACACCAAGACGGATACTGTTAGATTGTATGTAACAATCTCTAGCGGTTTATCTCAACGTATCAAATTATGTATGCACAAGATGTGTGAATCCTTGATCCTTGTTGTTCTTGTTCTTGTGTCTAAGTACAGTCAAGGTGGAAGATATCTTTTACCCCCTATTCGGTGGATCAGTGTGTGGCTCGCTATTATTGGCTGACAAATCTCCTCTATCTGATTGGTTGAATCAGCTTAGCTAATCCAACAGATACAGTTCGTCGTATTAAGTATGGTATTGTATCGGACATACATAGACTCTGGTGAAGTTCTACATTACCTGCTCCTTGGTATACAAGTAACAGAAAATTACATTTAGGCTTACGTATGGTCTCGGATATGGATACTTGAAAACAAGAAAAATCATTTAATCTTTTGCTGAGAGTATTTCATGAGTTTGCCGATTAATGTATATTCCGTCTTCAACCACAATGAACACGGTAGTTGAGCTATGACAGCACGGCGGTTGACAAATTGTTGTTGTTGGTTTAACTACGGTCCGTATCACGAAGCATAGACGGTAGTAAGGCGCGAACACGAAGCGGCCTAATGAGCCTGACAATATGAAGATATCTTGATTCCTAATATTGTGACTGATCCCCAAGAGTAAGGGGACCGGGGATAACTAGCTAGATATATATACGCGGCACGCACGTGCCACGTTGGACTAACTATATCCGGTGCCGAAACGTGTAGGGTTTGATATTCACGTTCCGACAGTTGTATCTGCTAGAATCTCAGCGAGGCATGCATAGTCATGAATCAAGTGGGTCGAGATGGTCACCGGTGTCCTTAGTTGCTCTTGCTATTTGAATTCCAAGTGATTGGGTTAGGGTTAACCCTAAGACCTGAGGGGGGACGTGAGGGAGGGGGTGAAGGGAGTAAGGGATTTGGGGTGGGGGAAGAGGAAGAGGAAAGAGATAGGGCAGGTAGAATGGAGGTCATCAAGATACCGCTAATATAGGCGTTGAAATGTTGTTAGGCTACTGAGGCGAGGTCATCACTTAGATTGGTGAGGGCTCTCAGTAGGTGAGGGGCAAGGCCGGTGGTTTGGCTGCGGTGTTTATCGAGAAATGCAGCTATCGGGCTGAAGATCTTCTGTCCTTCAGAGGCTCTTGTCGTGGCTGCAGACGTGGATTCCAGGAGGGCTGTCTGTAGAGGGCTATCTGTACCAGGGCCTTTACGCGCCATGGTGTTGCCGGACGCGTTGAGACGCGTCAGAAGGCCGCACTCCTGGGAGCTAGGTGGTAGAGAGGGGTGAGGAATTTGAGCCTCTGACTGTTTGATATGAATAATTATAAGAAAGTCGCCTATCAACTCGAAATTGAAGCTTTGGGATGACTAGTGAGCAGGAACTACCCGGAACAAAGGCCAGGGCTAGACCCTGATCACGTGGTTGCGCCCTGAAGCATGTGAGGTTGGGAATAGCTTCATAGTGCTGGAGCTTTGTAATTACAAAAATTGGAATTTCATGTAAAATTGGACCTCTTGTTGTAGTAGGATTTTGCATTTGTAATTTCAATGATACTGCGTTTTAGGTGTAAGGGGGAGGTACAAAAGCAGGCGCTAACATGATTATGTTACACATATATTGCATTCTCGTTGATGTCCAGTCTCTAATGTCGTCAATAATTTCCTTATACATTTTAAGGATGTAACAACGTTACATAGGGTAGTTACTAAAACTTGTGGTGTCCCTACTAATTCCCCAGAATACGGAAGTCGAACTACGGAACAGTTCGCAAATGCCTCAATACCAAATTCCCTTGAAGGGCTCCTTTTTGGTGAAATGGTATTACGTTTTAGTTCCGACAGTTCTGAGCCCGGTTAGGTTAGACAGATCTACAAGAATGCTATCAGAAAATTTAGATCACCCTTCTTGATTGTCAACCATTGCCAAATCAAAATGACTCTAAAACTCAGGTATATGCTCGCTGCGCGCTGCTGGAGGGTCTTTCCATGATAATTAGGATCACCTCAACGCTGACACTGGTTAGGAGTCGCCGCTTGCTACTAAGCTACTGCGGTTCGATTGATGTACTATATTGAGAATAGCCTGACGATGCAAGGACGATGACTGGTTCAGTGTGTCTTGCTCACGCATCGTCCTGCAGGGCAAAAATGAAGGCGACCTTGATGCTAGACCATTGTTGCATCCCAGGTCATCTGATGAGACTATCTCTATGCCACGTTCAGGTTAAATGGATGACCTACCTCGTTTAGTACACGACGCAGCCTGTTTGCACTCGAGCTGTATCCCCTGTTCTCTGTACAATGTGTATATGATATAAATTCCTGAAATTCCAAAGCCCTTCAGTTTTTGACACCGGTGGTTTTTTAAGCCTATATACATGCTATTCTGTTTCGGGATATAGTGGGCTTGCCATTAGTGCTGTAAAGCAATAACCACTATTATAAGTGAAAATAATCTAGACTTGAAAATAGTGGATGGGGATAGTATGGCGGACAAGAGAGTCAAATACAAGCTTTATGCAACCGTTTTCAGTGGGGCGCCTAAACTAGCCAGAGAACTCCATATATAAGCAGGAGGGTTTTACGGATCAGCTTAATGCCAGCTCCAAACAACCCTGTCTGAAGAATACAATAAGTTGTAGTTCAGTACTCAGACCCAAATCATTAGCCAAAAGAAAGCAGGAAAAAAGAAATAAGTTATTAACTGGAGCTTAACGCCTTGGCTAAAAACAAAAGAACTTGACTAAAGTCTCTAAATTTTCCACAACATTTTGCACGAGATAAAATATCTTCTGGGTGTTTCTGAATTAGGTAAGATGATGAGTATAAAACCATTGTTGCATAAGAAGTTTTATGAAATGGGTCAGTTTGAGTACATGCGTTTTATACTCTATTGAAGAAAGCTGACATCAAATTATAAGAGGAAAAACTGTTTTACTATGCCGTTAAGTGGGGCAACTTACCACTAGTAAGGACGCTAATTACTATGGGTGGTTATCATCATAGTAATCGTTATCGTCTCCTTCATATTGCCACTCTTTATGGCCACATAGAAATTCTACGCGAATTAGGTCCAACGCAATCCGATATATCAATTAAAGGCCCAAATAGATTGACATTGGTTCATACTGCAATTATAAGGAAAAATGCTGAAATTCTACGGCTATTTCTAGACCTTCGAGCTGATGTGAATTCTCGTGATGGTTTGGGCAATACACTTATTGGAACAGCAATTGATATTGGGGATCTTGATTGTATTCGCTTATTAATTGAACGCGGAGTCAATATGCCTGAACCTCCAGCAAGAACGCTCCTCCACCAAGCGGCCCAGGGAGGACGTGGGAGTTGTATCCCCTTGTTAATTGAACACGGAGCGAATGTGAATTGTATAGATGAGATGGGGATGACACCCCTTCATCACGCGTCCGAGGATGCTATCCATCGGTTAGTTGAACACGGAGCTGATGTGAATGCTACAAGTCTGAATGGAATGACACCTCTTCATTGCGCAACCCAGAATGGAAACCTTGATACTATCCAACTACTGATTGATCATGGAGCGAATGTGAACGCTAAAGATGAGATCGGGATGACACCTCTCAACTATGCAATCTATCATGACTTCAGTGATACCCTTGAACTGTTGATCGCTAATGGAGCTAATGAAGATGCAATTTCTAAAAGATACTAAGAACACAGGCATGAAATATATATCACAGCACAGGTAGTAAAAGGATGAAATAAACAGACGGCGTATGACGATCGAAGTTATCAGGGGTGGGGGCATACAACGAGGTGCGTGTATATTGGCCTATATAGATTAGTTAGTTAGTTAGTTAGGTGCATATTATCATACAAGTATATACACGTTATTTGGATTCTTTCAGTATGGATTGTTATTCTGCACTGTATTGGAGTTTCAAGTGACGTCGTGTTGTTATATAGTAGTAGTAGTAGATTCATTACGCCCGGAGGCACCAAGCCTAAAGGGCTCCAATACGCTATCGACTTTCCATTGCATACACTGTGGTCATGGTCTCACTTGGAAAGGAAAAGTTGTACCAGCTGCAAAAACCTCTCTAGCCCACAAATTAAATCTTGAACGATTTTCCTTCATTGTTATAGTATATTCTCCAAAAGCAATAACCTATCCCTCTAATACACCGGGCCTCCCACGCGTCCATTCTTAATATAGTTTCGTGAACCTCTTCCCTGAGTAGCAATTTACCAAGAGTACTTCTCACATTAGCACCCGAAGTAGCTGACTGCCTCGCTGGCGACAATACTAGATAGCAGACGAAGGACTGACGAATCGACTGAACTGGTAGGGCAGGTGAGTTATTGTCAGCAAAATCCAGCGACTATCAATTGGTGGTAAGTGGTCAGGTCAGTGATTCGAAAGCTCCCCGCCTGGTTGTCTTAACCAATAAAGTTTTTTCCACCGGAGTTTTGATTTGGAAAGTTCTTAGCTTCAGCTAGACCATGCAGTCCAACTTACTGACGTCCCTCACTACGAGAAGGTGACTTTCCGCGAGGGACTACATATTGTATCTTCCATTACAATATGTCTAATTGCCTAATTATTTCCTAACCCTAACTTGTTCTTGGTCCTGCGTTATCCCATGATAGGTAAAGCTCTAAGCTAACCTGGTTGGGTAAGTGTGACAGTTTATCCATTGGCTGTGATGTACTTACTCTGACATCACTCCTATTTCAGAGGGGTTTGAGGAGATAAGAAGGTTATATCTCGCCAGTTTGCTTAGGCATCCTCTCTAGCTCTTTTTTGATACTACAGTTTGTCTAGTTTTGAGGAACATACTAGAAAGTTCTGTGTATTTATAATACAATAACACCTGGTTTTGTATAGTTACATTCAATACCACTTGTAAATTGCTGGATTGATAGACTAGACTAAGTATGGATTAGGTTATGGGAGTGGCGCTGAGAAAGAGTTGAAGAGTTGAAAACCATATAACGCCGGACTTGTAAAGCGCTGTAGTTTATCCGCTTCTGTTCAACTGTGGATCGGTTCAACTGTGGACCTGTTCAACTATGAATCTGTTTAACTGTGGATCTGTTGACTAGTTTAACTGTGGATCTATTTAGATTAGAACCTATGTTGTGAGGCTCGCTACGACCCTGTATGCTTTCCATATATAGTTAAGCTTAAACGGCCATAGATAAATTGGCTCAACCTTACCCTTCAATGGACTAGCGTAGCCTCAAAGTTAAGCCTTCAGAGAAATTATTGATTGGTTCAAAGGCACGTACTGAAATGTTCCTTACCAGCCTTCTGGCCAATGGTAAGTCATAAATCTTGTAGGACTCACTTATGATAATCCACGGTATGTTTACAAATTAGGAATAGCATATCTGACTTCCAAACAAGCAACCCTTCCGAAAATACTAGCACCTTCTTTCTAGCTAGACACCAAGATCGGACGGAGGCCCACTTAATAATCGACGAGTCCAAGTTAATCTTAAGGTCGATAAAAAGCAGATAGCGTATTGGAGCCCTTTAGGCTGGGCGTCTCTGAGCGTAATGAATTTACTACTAGTCTACTTCTACTGTACATGTAAAGCCGAAAGGTTTGAGAAACAATCAAAGAGAGTAATGCCCCATACAGTACAGTCGCACCAGAAATCTCCTTCCCAATTGCATACATAGATATCCATTTTCGAACCCTAATGCCAAGAGTACTAATCCATAAACAGACTGATTATGGGTTATCTTGGCATATGTACAGTTGACAATTGGTACTTTGAAAACAGGCTAGCTATATACAGGTAGACAACACTTGGCGTTAGGGTTTGAGAAAGAGATTTCTGGTGCGACTTTACACAGACATGTAATAGATTGATGTTGACGGTCTATGATATCCTTAGGTGACGTGATAATGCCACGGAGTTCATGTTATTTCTACGTAGTTCGGTGACCTACTATACTAACCCAAGATACCATAGTAAAGTGAATGCCACTATTCGCATTAAATTACAGGGAGTCACTAGGCTAGGTAGTTGGGATTCGAGTTACCTCTAAAATACATGTCCATGAGTACATGTAATAGGAGGTTAGTCCGTTGGTTAGACAGGAGGAAGATGTAGAGCACATTAAACAATTGAAGTGAGTAGAGTATGCACTGTTTTTGCAACCAACTGTAAGTAAATAAAGTCAAACAATCCTTCAGGATCGTTGCGAGCCTCACGGAGAAAGTCAGCCTTTTCAGAGATGCCCTGAGTTGGTTCTGAGTTGGTTTCTGGTCCTAGCCAGTACAAGCGTCTGCCCGTCCTAAGATTCTGAAATATGTCGTTTAACCGTGTCATGATGCTTGGCTGGTTCAGGGCTACATTCTGATTCATTCGTGTTCAAATTTTAATGGAAATGAGATGAGAAACTTGATCCGCAGCTGAAACTGCATGTCCTCTGGAATCCAGTGAATAAATTGGCTATTGCACCCAGTCTTTTACGTCTTCTGGGCTCATGGCGTCCTCGTCTTCGGTATCATCGCCTAGCCAGTCACCAAATTCATCTAGGGGATCAAAATTATTGTATTGTATGAGGATGAATGATTTTTCTTTGCGATACAGCGCCTTGCAAGTGCGGCTTTACATCAGTTGCAACTCTTCGACTCTTTCTCAGCGCCACTTCCGCAATCTAATCCGTACTAGGTTTAGCTTATTATTTCAGTAATTTACATGGAGTATTGAACATAACTATACAAAGGCAGGTACCGTATTGCTTCCGTATCGTAAATACGTAGAACTTTCCAGCACGTTTCTTGCAAAACCAAACAATCACCGAAGAGACGGGTTTTATCCCGGCAAACTGGCTAGGTGAGGTGTCACCCTCTTGTCTCTTCAAACACCGTAGGACAAAATAACTTTACACTCCCAGTATGGATTCGTACTTACGTTGTTGTCACGAATGACCATGGCTAAATAGGCGACGTTCACGTTCATTGTGTACGTAAGCAGCCTGGCAGCCTTGCAGGTGCATGTAGCTTACCCCCTCCTTCCAAGCCTGATGCATCGTGCCTTACGTTTTCCTACTCAACATGAGCGAGGCTTCACTTTACAACCTGTCATTATCTTAATATCGATACAATACTTGGCCTGATCTCGCTTGTTTCTTTGTTTGGACCCACATGATGTCTTCGACGCACAAGGACTACACAATCGCGTGGATATGCGCATTGCCGCTAGAGGTCGCAGCGGCCCGCCTCATGCTGGACAGAACCCACAGTCCGCTGCCAAATCCGTCCACCGATCCGAATGCCTATGAACTCGGCGAATTAGACGGCCACTACATTGCCATTACCTGCCTTCCAGCTGGCGTATACGGAACAGTGGCCGCCGCGAATGTTGTCTCTCGCATGCGTTCTACCTTTCCTCGACTCCAGTATGGATTGATAGTGGGTATTGGAGGCGGTGTCCCAGGTAAAAACAATGACATCCGACTAGGCGATGTCGTGGTCAGTAAACCGGTTGGACAGCACGGTGGAGTGATATAATATGATTATGGGAAGACCGTGACAGGGGGGAAACTTGAGCCAACTGGCGCCTTAAATAAACCACCAAAGACTCTTTTGACCCACATGAGTCAACTAGAGGCGAAAATGGTTACTGGAAGCGAGGGTGGTCTGAAGAAAATAACGGAGGAAGTACTGAAACAAAACCCTGATATGGAAGAAAGGTTTTCTCCCCCAGAACAGCTTATGGACCTCCTTTTTGAATCTTCCTATCACCATGCTGCCGGGAAAGACACCTGTGAAAAGTGTGATAAAGAACAATTAGTTAAACGAAAACCACGGGAAACTAGGACACCTTATATCCACTACGGGTTGATTGCATCTGGAAATCAGATGATGAAGGACTCAGGGACACGAGACCGGCTAGCACTGCAGCATGGGATACTGTGCTTTGAGATGGAAGCTGCAGGCCTCATGGATGAGCTTCCGACACTGGTGATTTGAGGAATATGCGACTATTGCGACTCTCACAAGCAGAAACAATGGCAAGGATATGCAGCTTTAACAGCAGCTGCTTACGCGAAATTGCTCCTCTCAACAATCCCGGCATTCCCCATCGTTATTGGTAGGATATCCCGATTCTTGACAAGGAATGTGCAAAACACAAGCTCACAGTGATATAGTTGATGCAAAATTACGTGAATATTATATTAACCCTAAGAATAATCGTCTCCGGATCGAACGCCTCTCTGGAGATCCGTTGGATATGCAGCAATGCTATATCAATCTTTCAATAATAGAGTACAAGCAAAATGATCAGAATATGCCGCCACAAGAAAAATCGCCATCCTCAACATTTTTACTGCCTAATCGCTTAAAATTAAGAGCAGATGATCCCGAAAAGGAGGTTACACTTCCACAACTCTTCCACGAGCGGAAGATGTTAGATGGCCGAAAGGCCCAGCCCCGACGGATCCTAATCCGAGGGCGAGCCGGTGTTGGAAAGACAACACTTTGCAAGAAGATTGTCCACGACTTTTTACACTAACGGATGTGGGCAGGCCTTTTTGATTGCATCATATGGATACCTTTGCGAAGACTTAAGGGGATGTCAGAGTTGGATGAATTCTTCCGTTAGGAATTCTTTAAAGATGAAGCAGAGCGCGACGGTTTGGTTACAAACCTCCGGAAAACAGTTTTGGACCAAACCCAAAAGAAAACTCTCTGGCTCTTGGATGGCCTCGACGAAGTTTTAGGATATGGCAATCCTTCGGGGGCTGACCTGAGTGAAATATTTAATAGCTTATTGAATGAAGACAATGTGATTATTACATCCCGTCCACGTGCCGTGAAGCTTTTAGGCCTGACTCCTTTTGACCTGGAGTTAGAGACTGTTGGGTTTCACCTTCATCAAGTGCAAGCTTACTTAGCCAAGGCCATGAGGGATCCAAATACTGTTAACCAGATCTATTCGTTTATTCAGAGCCATTGGCTGATTCAGGGACTGGTTCGAATACCCATCCAGCTCGATGCAGTATGCTATAGTTGGGATAATGACTTCTGTTCTGGTGCTCTGCTACAAACCATGACAGCAGTATACCAGGCTATTGAACTGAAACTGTGGAAGAAGGACATCTTAAACCTTGAGAAGAGAAACAATACTGGGTACAATGGTGGAACAGCAGTCCGAAAACTGCGGACGCGCCTGCAGATTGAGTCACAACATATGAAAACAGAGATGTAGTTTCTAGAATGTCTTGCCTTTATAGGATTGTATAGCGACATTATTGAATTCGATCCAGGTCATCGTGATTGGCTATATGAACAACCGGAATTTTGTGAGATGTCTGATGATGTCCTTGACCGACTCTCTTTTCTGCGCACATCAGATACTTCGGATTGGGATAAGAGTTATCATTTTCTACATCTTACTTTCCAGGAGTTTTTTGCAGCACAGTATTTTGTCCGATGTTGGAGATCGGAATCGAGTAAACCACTTACCTGTCTCAAAGCAGGCTTCGTAAGGGAAAATTATATAGCGAAGATATCACCTGAGAGGTTTCTCCGAGAAGAAAAGTACAGTGGACGTTATGATGTGTTCTGGAGGTTTGTCACTGGGCTGCTATACAGTACTGGCAGGGAACAATTATATTCATTCCTTAAGCAAATGGATGAAGAGCCACGAGATCTACTCGGCCCCGCGCATCAGCGGCTACTGATGCACTGCTTCAGCGAGGTTCCTCGATCAGAAGACTCAGGAATGGCAAAGGACCTTCGAGAAAAAATGGAACTTGGGTGTATACAATGGTCTTACTATGAGGATATGTCGCTTGGGACAATGCGCCTCTGCAGTGAAACTGAATTTCCAGAGCATGTTCTATGCAAATTACTTGAGGATTCCCTGCAAAAGAAGACTTCTAGAAGGATTCTAGAAGCGCTAGCCCATCGGTGGCATATATCGCGTAATCTCATGGATAGAATCACAATTTTTATGGATGATGGTGACTCCCATGTGAGACGCGCGGCTATTAATGCCTTAGGCAGACAATCTTCCTGGTCACCTGAGATCCTGGAGGCCGTCATGCGCCGACTAGACGATGAAGACACAGATGTGAGACGCGCGGCTATTAGTGCCTTAGGCAGACAATCTCCCTGGTCGCCTGAGATCCTGGAAGCCGTCATGCGCCGACTAAGCGATAGAGACTTGCATGTGAGATACGCGGTTATTGATGCCGTAGGCAGACAATCTCCCTGGTCGCCTGAGATCGTAGAAGCCGTCATACACCGATTCAACCTCGATGAAGGCTTGCATATGGGAGACGTGGCTATTGATGCCTTAAGCACACAATCCCCCTGGTCACCTGAGATCCTGGAGGCCATCATGCGCCGACTAGACGATGAAGAGATATATGTGAGACAGGCGGCTATTGATGCCTTAAGCACACAATCTCCCTGGTCACCTGAGACCCTGGAAGCTGTTATGCGCCGACTAGACGATGAAGACTCAGATATAAGACACACAGCTATTGATGCCTTAAGCAGACAATCTCCCTGGTCCCCTAAGATCCTGGAGGCCGTCATGCGCCGACTAGACAATAAAGAGTCAGATGTGAGAGACGCGATTATTTATGCCCTAGGCACGCAATCTCCCTGGTCGCCTGAGATCCTAAAGGCCGTCATGCGCCAACTAGACGATGAAGTCTCAGATGTGAGACGCGCGGCTATTAGTGCCTTAGGCAAACAATCCCCCTGGTCATCTGAGATCCTGAAGGCCGTCATGCACCGACTAGATAATGATGGTGATTCGTATGTGGCGTCCAAAATAGAAGCTCTACTATGGAAACATGATGAGTTCCTTTTTCTTTTCTTCGATTTGAATGCTAATGCTACCTCAGCGTTGTGCAAAATTTGGGCACGAAGAAGTATCCATAAAATCTTTGCCTGCTATGTTCGTGATGGAAGCGCATATTTTGAGACATCGGATGGGCGAAGTTCAATACCTTTATCCAAGGAAAAAATAAAGTTGCTTAAGCGTACATTACGGGCTGCCACGGACAACAACGGGCCCGATGCTACGTTTGGTTTATAGAGTTAGATTCCTGTTTGCTTCATTGGAAAGCTGATCAGCAAGGCTTTTACTTTATTTTCAATTATCTTTTCAAAGGGAGAGTCCTGGGACAACGTCTAAATTTATTCTAAGTTTTTTATCCAGATTTTGGGGACGTCGATATACGCCTAATTAGTCTCAAGTTTGCCACTGGTGGATGACCTCACGTGCAAGTGATATTGGGGGGAGAGAGGGGTAAGGCACGCATCTAAACACCCAACTGGGAACCACGCACAAAGGATAGTAGGACATCTCCAACACATACAAAATATGACAAGCAATAGTCGGAGATTGCCAACAAAACTTACTGTAACCTGACCATAGGGGTATCGATTATTGTCAACTTTCAACATACACAGTATATGTATTGTCTTCTAGCATAGAAAGGGAATGTAGAGCCGTCTAACTACGTAGGCGCAAAAGGAGGTAGCATAGCCTCCCAGCCCACGCCACGCCAAGTAGCAAAAATTCCGTATACTATGGTATACAAAACCATACCAAACTTACCAAATTAATGGTACTCTTACGTCCCATACGCGTCGTAAAATACTGGAAATACCAGTCCAAACCTGATATAGATTAGGCGACGGGAGTGGCGCCGAGAAAGAATCAAAGAGTTGCAAACCATGTAAAGCCGCTCATGCAAGGTGCTGTATGCGAATTCAAAATCTCTGTTGACTAAGCAATATACTGGTCACCTCCCATTTCCACTCTGATCTGCGAACCAAAAGCCAATGAATACGCCTTCATGGATGAATATGGGAGTTGAACATAGTTTACAATCAGGGTCATCCTCCTCAACAGTAATATCTTGTTGCGAGTCACTTTCTATCTCTATTAAGGGGATTGGTTTGTCTAGGCAACTCCTTGATGGTATTGTGCATCACTTCTTTGAAGCGGGCTGGATCGAAGGACTCTTATCTTGTTCCTGTTTACGTTTTGAGGATAAGCGGCGAGATGACTCTGAGATAGACTGTTGAGTCGGCGATTTATGGCTTGTCATGTTTGCTTGAACAACTGCCAGGAGTACTTGATCGAATTGATGGATGAGTTCACAAAACTACCACTCTCTATAATTAGTATGTTTCTCACTTGGTGATACTACGCACTATACCTTTGGTTTGATGCCCTGGATTTCTTTTAATGATGGGGGAGAAGTAAAAGGAAAATAGAACAAGAGTGTATATGGAGGCCTTTATATAGTCGGACCACTACGACCAGCATTGACTATGCGACATTGTGATTAATAGAGCTAGAATGAGAAGGTGATAGTGTCAGAAGCATACCAACAGGATACCTTTGAGTATAGAATAATCCATCGTCCTGGGGGGGATTCTGGAAATCAGGGGCGTATGGCTTCAAAAAAAAGCAACGCGAAGTTATGATAGATCTATTTGTATCTCGGATAATGATTCAATAGTAAGCCCCACGATTCTGCGGTTCTATGAGGTTCGAACCGCAAAGAGCCGGAATGAATTGGAAAAGGAACCGCTTACATTGCAACAAAAACCGCCTTTCACATTTGAAGCCCATCAACTGTATACACAAGGTTAATACGATAGAGGGGCAAGCATGGTCTGGTTTAGTTTTGATTCTTTTGAGAGACATATATCGATTTGGCAAATAGTTTTGTAATCTAGAAAACTCAATATGTGTTTATATCAGTAGTTAAATATGGATTCTTCATGGAAAAGTTGTTGAAGTTGCGGTATAGAGCTTATATGAATGTCTTATCTTCCGCGATATATATATCACACCGTCGACATAAACTAACCTCATATCATTAAACCATCACCAAACAGCTACTAGAGATCATCAGAACTAATAATAGACACTATTTTTGATTCTATAGAATGTATTTGTAAGCAAAAGTGTCACAGTTCCAACCCCGAGCCAGGTTGACACCCCAGGATGTACGAAGGCGGTGGTTTCACAACGCCAAGGAAACCGCCGGAGATTTTTATTCTATGAGTTTCACGTCTTGGGAATAGCTTCACCAAGCGCTTTGTTATTTGTTTTGTTACATGTCTTCGATTATTGATCCTTGTATGGATTTGGAGGCACTTCCATTGTTTCCATTGTTTTGGCGAAATTTGACAAGGTGAACGTAGAGAGATATGAGTATAGACTGACGGGCTGTCGCTGTTACAAGACCAAAACAACGTTTAATAACGGTAAAAACCTAGAATGAGTCAGCATTTTATGCATCCCAAAAAGGAAACTCTTGGCAGAATAATGTATCTGCGGTTCTATGTGGTCCAAACCGCGTCTAAACCGCACGGTTCTGCAGTGCGGTGCGGTTCAAAAGTCCAGGAACCTCAGAACCACACGGTGCGGTGCGTGGTTCTCTATGTTGGAACCGGAACCGCACCATTCTGAGGCCTAAATATAACAGCTCAATTCAATGTTTATTCCAGCAGCTAGGCTAGGGAACTAGACATGAGGAAGGAAAGGGAAAAAGAAGAAGGGTGCCCTAAAGTTATCCACTGATATCTCGAGCTCTATCGCGTAACCATAGCTTAATGTTACGGGCTAGTCCCGCCTAATGCTCACTATAAGGGCATACTCGAATAGAAAACATAACATGAGGAAAGGAAAGAGAAAGAAAACAACAAGTTCTTCACGCAGGTACAATCTTATATAGGCAAGGGGAATCGGGAGCTTCTGACGGGCTTCTCTCTAGGAATAGTCTCATATCCAGATCGCTGAGATTGTTGGGGTTGCCGGAGATCGACAGAGAGCGCTATTGTCAATATCCGGTCGGATATTGGATGTCCACTCGTGATCTGGGAATAGCTTCGTGTTCAGGGCTGTCGGGGATCAGCGAAAGGCTCTATTGTCAATATCCGTGAGGGCTTCGCCCGAACATGCTCATGAGGTCAGCTCATAACACTTAACTAAATCTAACCCTACATTTGTCCTTCACCACTTTCTGCCTCAGGCTCTGTCATGCTATGGTTATGACCATCAGATGTGGATCTATTTGAATGTAGATCTATATTAATCTAGATCTGTTTTAAAGTATAAATATATTCAAATATAAACGTTAATTTAACTGTGGATCCATTTAACTGTACCATGATACATAGTAGATCCGTTCAAGTGTGGATCCGTTCAAGTGTGGATCCGTTCAAGTGTGGATCTGTTCAAGTGTGGATCCGTTCAAGTGTGGATCCATTCAAGTGTGGACCTGTTCGAGTGTGGACCTGTTCGAGTGTGGATCTGTTCAAGTGTGGATCCGTTCAAGTGTGGATCTGCTCAACTAAATCTGTTCAATTGTGGATTCCTTCGACCAGATCAGTTCAATTGGATTCGTTTAAATGTGGATATTGTTAGTCCTGCAAGAGGCTCTAAGTGTGACGGCTCAGTCAGTCGATGCCTGATGAACGCCTTAAAGACTTGCATGTGACCTCAATATATGTTTCCCAAACCCTACGCTAAGCAGGACTAAATTACTTTTAGAGAAACTTCATTACAGCCCCACTTCGCTGTACCATGTATTTTATAGAGGAGCGATTCATAAGTCATTGACAACGCAAGTAATTTTGGCAGGCTTGGCAGTAACGCCACTTCCACGAATACTCTCAAATTGTATTAAATTGCATCAAATTGAATCTGTTCAAATAGCTGTTAAGAGAAAGAAAATGATAGACTCAGTTAGGGGTGCACACGAATAAGGATTTTCTTATTCGTATTCGAAATGTATATGAGATACATTATTCGTATTCGACTACCATTTTCGGGGCCATTATTCGTATTCGATTTGTAATTATTCGTAGAATTACTAAAATACCACTAATCCTATTTAAGTCATAACATGTCGCGTCGGTTTCGATAGACGCGTGTTTACCGTTCTGCTGTATTTCTTTGAAAATGGTTACTTCAGCTATTTCCTCTTTCAATATTATGAATGAGTCTTCTGCATCTTTAGGCAAGCGTCCTCAGCGCTCTCAAAGGATTGATTATCATCTTTTTAATGATGGCAGCGATGAGGAAGTACCTCTGGAAGATCGCATCACCAAGAGAACTCGTTTAATTTAACTGGATAATAGCATTGACCCTATTACTCCTGACGACTCAGTAAGTCAATTAATCTAAGCCTGGAGTCCGCCAGCAGATATTTCCTAGCAGGAAGCGTCAAGCAACATCGAACTTGAGACATCTAGCATCTCTTGCGATCCTGAGCGCTCATAGAAGAGGCTGCAGAATCAGTTATTATGGGCAGAGTTTGATATCGTACCTCTCCCTGGAAGTCATTGGTGGCCAAAGAGAGGAAAAGGCCCACTTGAAGATCGTGAAATATGATATACTCGATATGGTTGGAAGACGACCGATTCTGCAAGAGCAACCTCAACATCAAAGATGCAATTTCATCTTAATAAACATGGTGTCTTTTTGAGCGGAACTGTAAATAGTCAAGAAGACAACAAATCCAGCATAAAACAATCATCTATTATCAGTTCCTTTTAGAGACAAGCAGAGAATCAGGCAGCAAAACACTTAGAACAGAATCTGGTGCGTTGGATAGTAATGGAGAATATGGCATTCAATGCTATTAAATTACTAATATTCCAGAAAATATTCAGAGATCTAGGGATTGAGCTTCCATTTACATCCCGCATGACAATTACTTGCTGAATCGATGCAGAATTTGATTCTTATCGAGCATATTTGATCGACGATCTAGATCAGACATGTCAAACAATTGCACTTTCCTTAGATGCTTGGACTAGCAAGAATTGCAAGGCTATATTCGCAGTTATCGGTTATTGGTTGACAGCTGATTTTCAATACCAAGAGAAAGTTCTTGACTTCACAGAGCTCACTGGCATTCATAGTGGAGAGAATATGGCAGAGGTACTCCAGACGACCTTGGAAGAGCTTAATATTGAACATAAAGTGCTCACGATTATAGCAGACAATGCTGCTAACAATGAGACTTTGATGCCAGAATTATATTTCAATCTCAAAGAGAAATTTGATAATATGGTGTCTCCTGCCAATGGCGAAAGAAAACTCCAGAGATTTTAAGGGCTGGATAGCTATATGCGCTGCATAGCGCATGCACTAAATCTGATTGTCAGTGATATACTGTCTGTGTTGAAAGCCGGCAATCATAAAACAGCAGTGGCAGCTTGTGATCTTATATAGGAGAACAAAGATATGGGTCTACAGTCTGCATTATCTAGACTCTGGATCATGGCCCTTTGGATAGCGAGAACACCCCAGCGAAAGTAGCAATGGAAGCTCATCTGTCAAACTCATCGTTTGAAGGATAAGTTTATCCAGTATAATATTGATATACGTTAGAACTCCACCTACCGAATGCTAAGAGATCCATTGAATTCAAAACAGCAAATAAAAAAGTGGATTGAGCATCAAACTTATCTTCCACCCTTCACTAAAGAAGAATGGGATCATTTGCGGCAGATTGAAACTGTTCTTTCTAGATTTGAGGAGTTTACTCTCACTGTTTTAAAGCGCCAACCACAGGTCAGCCTAGCAATACCTATCTACTATGAGGTGCATGATCTATTGCATGAAGCTGTTTCTAGAAAAGGAGAATTTCAAGATCTTTATGAAGACATTGATGCAGCTGCATCTGTAGGTCTGAACAAATTTTGGAAATACTACAACCTAATGGATGGTCAGGATGCCTGCTAGGCCCAATGCGGTACCAACGTCGACCTGTATGGTGGGCAGTCCCATGATCTATTGTTAACATCGCTAAGTTGATCGATGTAGCCTCACACTTCACTAACCAGAATTGAGAATTCTTACCGCTAGAAATGTACAACAGAAAGATCTGACTCTTGCTAGTCACTATTTTACGTGTCTCAATTATCGAAATTAGTTAATCTTCAAGTGTCATGTTTTGGATTCCGGCATAGTTTCTGATCTCCTACATCATTTGCACCCACCCTTTCACGTCTTCTGGGCTCATGGCGTCCTCGTCTTCGGTATCATCGCCTAGCCAGTCACCAAATTCATCTAGGGGATCAAAATCGTTGTATCGTACTAAGATGAATGATTTTCCTTTGCGATATGCAAATTCGAAATCTCTGTTGACTAAGCAATATACTGGTCGCCTCCCATTTCCACTCTGATCTGCAAACCAAAAACCAATTAAAACGCCTTCATGGATGAATATGGGAGTTGAACACTGTTCACAATCAGGGTCATCCTCCTCGACAGTAATATCTTGTTGCGAGTCACTTTCTATCTCTATTAAGGGGATTGGTTTGTCTGGACAACTCCTTGATGGTATTGTGCATCGCTTTTTTGAAGCGGGCTGGATCGAAGGACTCTTATCTTGTTCCTGTTTACGTTTTGAGGATAAGCGGCGAGATGACTCTGAGATACAGCCTGTCTCGAAACCGGCTTCCGCATCAGAACTTTCGTCGATTTAATTCAGCCCCACTACCAAAGTAATCAATGTTTGGGCTAGGCCGGATATAGTTAGCACGGTATCTTTGACTGTAATATTCCTATGTTCATACGCGTCTCGTACACCATTGATTTCCAAATGTTGCAACACATCTTCACAGTGCCACAGTCAATTCAAGACAGTAATGTAAGTAGAAGGTTAGATACTGTTAATGTACTGTGCATGGTAAAATGAGCGTCGTTATATATCCTTCCCTCTGCATATCCTTGATCTGTTACAGTATTTCAGAGCGTTGCTATGATATTTGATATCGTTGATATGGCTCAGTTCCTAATGCGTTCTCGCCTTGGTTGTACGGGATTATCTATTATCCTGCTGATGAGGCAGACCAGCAATAGCTACTATTCAATGGCTGTGCTTTTTTTTTTTTGGTTCGCTCATACATACTTCTGCAGTACTTGGACAACGTCAACATGTCCTCCTTCAGAAGCAGCGTAGAGAGCATTTCCATGGAATCCATCTTGAGCACTGACGTCAGCTCCTTTCTCTAGCAACCTCTGCACAATCTCAATGTGTCCTTTCAAAGAAGCAGCGTAAAGGGCATTACCATAGAATCCACTTTGAGCATTGACGTCAGCTCCTTTCTCTAGCAATTTCTGCACAATCTCAACATGTCCTTCTGCAGAAGCCGCCTGGAGAGCATTGCCATATAACTTGCCTTGAGCATTGCCATATATCCTGCCTTGAGCATTGACTTCAGCTCCGTTCTCTAGCAATCTCTGCACGATCTCAACATGTCCTTCTGCAGAAGCCGCCTGGAGAGCATTGCCATATAACTTGCCTTGAGCATTACCATATAGCCTGCCTTGAGCATTGACATCAGCTCCTTTCTCTAGCAATCGCTGCACGATCTCAACATATCCTCGAGAAGAAGCAGCATAGAGAGCATTGACATAGAATCCACCTTGAGCATTGACTTCAGCTTCTTTCAGAGCATTTTCTCTTTGGACTGACGACAGCTGCTCTTGACGAGCCATCACCAAGCGTCTTTTATTCTGCCGTTCAAGCAGCATGAGCTGGAATTGATAATCTATGAGAGCATGGTTGCCATGTTCACCGTAAGGGTGAGGCCCGTCCGACATATTGACATCTGCTCCTTTGTCTAATAGCAGTTGCACAATGTCGACATATCCTTTAGAAGCAGCAGCGTAGAGAGCATTGCCATATCTTCCACCTTGAGCATTGACCTCAGCTCCTTTCTCTAGCAATCGCTGCACAATCTCAACATGTCCTCCAGAAGAAGCAGCCTGGAGAGCATTGCCATAGAATCCACCTTGAGCATTGACCTCAGCTCCTTTCTCTAGCAATCGCTGCACAATCTCAACATGTCCTCCAGAAGAAGCAGCCTGGAGAGCATTGCCATAGAATCCACCTTGAGCATTGACCTCAGCTCCTTTCTCTAGCAATCGCTGCACAATCTCAACATGTCCTCCAGAAGAAGCAGCCTGGAGAGCATTGCCATAGAATCCACCTTGAGCATTGACCTCAGCTCCTTTCTCTAGCAATCGCTGCACAATCTCAACATGTCCTCCAGAAGAAGCAGCCTGGAGAGCATTGCCATAGAATCCACCTTGAGCATTGACCTCAGCTCCTTTCTCTAGCAATCGCTGCACAATCTCAACATGTCCTCCAGAAGAAGCAGCATAGAGAGCATTGCCGTAGAATCCACCTTGAGCATTGACCTCAGCTCCTTTCTCTAGCAATCGCTGCACGATCTCAACATATCCTCCAGAAGAAGCAGCATAGAGAGCATTGCCATATCTTCCACCTTGAGCATTGACATCAGCTCCTTTCTCTAGCAATCTCTGCACGATCTCAACATATCCTTTAGAAGCAGCAGCGTAGAGAGCGTTGCCATAGAGTCCACCCTGAGCATTGACGTCGGCTCCCTTCTCCAACAATTGCTGTACACTCTTAGAATGTCCACGACGAGATGCCCATTGAAGCGCAGTTGCTCCTGTACTATCTCGCTCATTGATTACGCTTTTGCCATCTGTGATCAGTTTGTGTATCACAACATCGTGCCCATTAAACGCGGATAGGTGAAGCGCGCTCATCCGAGGTCTTTCACGATACGGCATTACCGTTTCCCAGAAGATAGGAAACCATAAAGTCAATCGTCCAGTGACATAATCGTATAATTGAATGACAGACGCTACCAGTTCAGGCATCAGTGAGGGAACTCGTCGGAAGTGATCAGGCCAGTTCTGGGCAGAATATTCCAGCAAGCTTTCTAGATTTGCTTCTTGCTCATGGCCGACTAGGTCATCCATTAATAAGTATTGAATGCAAATTTGCGCGAGCCGGATTTCCGTATCGCTGGGTTGAAGATACCATTTGTGGCTGAGAGATCCGGGAACTTGGTTGATTAGAAATTCCCTAGCGGTTTGATGAATAAGATAGATTCGGGAATCTTTGATAAAAACGAAGAGCCCGCACAGTCGCCGGATCTTTTCACGGAGTCCTTCTGGCTCAAGTCTAGCCTCCTCCGCAGTTCGCGCATGCGTTGCAGTAGCCACTCCCAAGGCCATTGCCATTTCCATAATAGTCAATGGCCGTCGTGCGCCAACGATGATGTGTAATATCGTTTTTACGGTTGCTTCTTGTCCGGGAGTCACACGGTCTAGAATCTTTCTATACGCTTCATTCACCGATTTGGGAATCAAGGGAATGGACTCTTCATCCGGCCGAAGACTGTCTTTGAACATGGTACGGATGTCATCGATCGCCAAATACAACCATAAATATGTGCGGTGCTCCATTTCTAGCAGTGCTTTCTCCAACCGTGCCTTCGCCACAGCCTTCAGTTTCAACTGCTTGCCAAGTTCGGATACCCGAATCTTTACAACAAGACTAATTTCATCATGGATCTGATCATTTTCTTCCTCGCCTCGCAGGTGAATTTGAGAGAACGATTCAATGATGGGCTGAAAATCTTCTTCGATCTCATCATATGGTCGACTAGTCATCAGGAACTTTAGCCAGTTTCTCGGCGGAGATAGTCGATGTTTGGCATAATACTGTTGAAGCTTCCCAAAGAGCTGTTTCTGGCCCGACCTCTGACACTCATCTAGAGCGTCAAAGACACAGATCATGTTCACTAATGCTGGATCAGACATGGTGGCTATGAAAATATGCCACAAATCTTCCACTTCTTGCTGGATTTTCTCGCGATTCTTTTCCCAGAATGGCAAGGCATATCGCAACAAATGTGGCTGCAAAGTAAACAGCTGATGCAAGATAGCGCACAATGCAGTGGCCAGGTTGTTCTGTTCCTCATTATCCTTGAAAAAGAAATAACAAATTGACACCGTTGGTGCAGAAACCGGGAAGAACTCGTCAATCAGTGACTTGGCCAGGACCGATTTACCACATCCCGGATCAGCTGAGATCCATAGAAGATCATTACTGCTGCTCTCCCACCAAAGCCGGTACTCTGAACTCTTCAGAACCCACTCACATGTCCCTTCGACTCGATTAGGATTGATATCTTTATATTGCTCATATCTTGACGTCTTGAATGCTTGTAAACAGCGGTGTTGATCTTCAGTCAAAGCTCTCGTGATCTGTTCGCGATGGTAACTCTCCTTTTGATTTAATGCCTTTTCCAGGCGTTCATTCATACCTTTCAGTTCGCCAAGAATTTCGGCTACGAGAGAGGTTAGTCTAAACTCTAGGATGCACAAAGCAGGATCGTCTTTTTATTTGCGTATAGAGATCACACAGATATCCTCCTTCTCGTAAAAAGAAAAAGTGCATAGAAGCAGAGAAAAAATTGTGCTAAACAACTTGGTGGACGAAATGCCTACTTACTTCCGATTGGACTTAGCTTGTCAACTGCTTGAGGGGAAATCACAGACAGGAGTTTCTTCGCATACGCAGCAGCAATAGCCGCCGCGTATGGCTGCCATTTCTTGTTTTTATGCGAATCAGCGTAATCACAGATCCCCCGGATGACCACACAGGGAAAATCATCCATCAAGCCGGCGGCTTCCATCTCAAAGCAGAGGATGTTGTCTCTTTTCGCCAGGAAGTCCCGCTCTCGGGCATCCTTTATCACCGAGTTCCCCGAGCCAATGTTGCCATAGTGGATTCTGGGATTTGTGCTGCGGCGTGGGTCCCGGGTCACTACTCCAGTCAGATCTCTGGCACAGGCATTGCAATCAGGATTCTTATCGATATGTTTGTGGGTGGCCTCGTATAAGATGTCCTTTGAGTTGCTGGGATAGGTCCACTCCTCTTCCAAATCTTCCTCCCCGCCAAATGTTTCGTTCACCAGGCTTGAAATCTCTTGCGGCAGCTTACGCATAGCTCTCAAGTTACTAATAGCCGTCCTCAGCAACACAGGAGGCTTGTTTAGAGCACCTCGACGACGAAAGCCGTCAACTTCCCGTCTACCTAAGTCATACTGCATTACTCCCCCACCCTGTTCAGATGGTAGGGACACAGCAATATCACCAAGTCGAATGTCATTCTCCGCGTTCGGCACACCACCTCCAACACCGACCAGCACGCCAAATCTCAAATTCGGAAATGTAGATTGCATCGATTTCGCAGCAATAGCCGCGCGGTTGGTCCCATACTCCGGGAGGCAGGCAATGGCCACATTGTGCTTCCCCATTCGCCCTAATATGTAGTTATTTTCGTCGTACTTGGCCTGGCTTTCCAGCTGCTCATGGCATGCGTCAAGTAATTCCCGTGCGGCGGTCAATTCACATGGTATTGCACAAATCCAGCCGACCGTGTAGCTTTCTGGAGGCAATTTTAACATTTCCGCTGATTGTTCGTCCGCCATGACTGGTCTCCCACTAATCACGCCCAGCCTCTCAGACTGGTCGCTATGTAATGTTAGCGAAAGCCTTCGCCGAGCTTAATTGGGTGGTCCGTGAAACTTTCGTCTAGTGTAGTATTTTCTCAGTCAAGATAATCCAGTTATTGTAGCAGCACTTCGTCCGCTGATAGCTAGATAGATTTCGAACATTTGCAACATTTCTCGCATCTCCAAACTGGGTGGATGAAAGGTGCAAGGCTGTGAGGCTCGGACCAGTCCTGCATCTCACGCGGGGCTGTGTTACAGTACGCAATTGAAACGTGTCGGGCAGGCCCTGGCTGGAAATATATCGTGTCTACTTTTGGAGTATGTGATGTATTTAGAATAATAAAATTCTTTTTTGAACACGCCTCGTTGAACGCGCATTCGTCAGGGAAAAGCAGAGAGCTGTTTGTTGGGCAGCCGTCTATCTCAATTCGGAGCATCTATATTGTCAGGCATCTGTTTCGGGACGGTTTGACACTGAAATGACCCGAAGATTTCAATACCGTTCCCTATATGAAAAGATTTTATCTTAACTATATTTGGTTAGCATCGACGCCTAGCCTTGGCAGCGGGGCAGAATTAAATGGAGAGAAACATCAAAGGCGGAAGTCGGTTTTGCAATTGTTAAAAATTAGGTGTACAGTGCCTTTCCAGTAGTGTTGGCACCCTTGGTGTAAGTTTTGCAGGCAATAAACGTGGGCGGTAAGAAGGGGGGTGTCAACACTACTGCACCCTAACTGTAGATTGCAAAACCGGCTTCCTTCCGTACAGTCTTCGATTCATTCGGCCCCACTGCCAAGCCTCCAAAGTTCCACCTGAGGCTGTTTAGTGTCCGATCTGTATTATTCCCGTTCAGTAGGCATTGTTTGTTACATGTCTCGCCGTTACACCCCCCAACCGCTCTCTAAAGCCTACTTGTATGCGTACCTGACGTTAATTACGTTATTAACAAAACGTGACAATACTTATTGAAACAGGGATGGTATAAGGACTAGCTGTGTATAGACTGGCGTACAGATTACCGTCCCCCGCAAGCGGGGCATAAATTATTTTGGATAAGCATAAGGCGGAAGGGAGTTTTGCAAACCTCTGTAGACTGTTGAGTCGGCGATTTATGGCTTGTCATGTTTGCTTTAACAACTGCCGGGAGTACTTGATCGAATTGATGGATGAGTTCACAAAACTACCACTCTCCACGATTAGCATGCGTCTCTCACAGTGATACTGGGCACTATACATCTTGTCTGATGTCCCTGGGTTTCCTTTGGTGGTTAGAGAGAAGTAAAAGGGAAACAGAATAAAAGCGCGGACAGAGGCCTTTATGTAGTCGGACCACCAAGTATTTTGGCATCCTAGGATGCCGAAACCTAAACCGTGTCTGCGATGCTACAACTAATCATGGATCAAGGGGAAACACACGGTGAGGCAGATCGATAGAAGTGGCTTGCTACCAGGTTCTTCTAGTACGCTTGAGCATGGATTGGTGGTTGTTCAAGAATTCAAGGACCACTTCGAAACAGATTCTGCCTATCCAAGGATACATATACAATTGTACGTGCCCAATCATTGATGCAGGAACCAGCCACAGTGATATCCAAAAGGGTGCCGGATTGCTCCTGTGCATGATGACAAATCATGCATTAACCGAGCTTGTTGCCAGTATCCTCTCAAAGACCTCACCTCGGAGTCTTCAATTTGTTCTCCAAAGACACGACTATGGCAGAGAATTGGGTATAGCATAGCTTCTTGTCTGATGACACTACGATTCCGGATTGATGCTTCGGCGGATTGATCCTAGGAAGTCCACGTCGGGATAGCGAGATGGCCAAGTTGAATTCATTATGGTTGTTCGAGCTACCCCATCTTCCTGCAAGGAATTTCAGCTATATTATACCATTCAAGGCATTATCAATCACTACACACCTCAAATTTAAGAACGCCTTGCAATGATGGAAATACCGTCGCTCACTGTGATTATTTTCCACTTTGGGATAACTGGCGCCGATTAAGGAGCTATGATACGTGCTGTTGGCAGCGCCACGCATGATTAGGATGAATTGAAGCTCGACTTTTCGATGACGAGTGCTCTATTTTAGGGATACTACGTTGTGATGGTGGCCACCTTTCATATCTGATTGGAGTTGCGAGCCCAGGTTTCGCATAATGGGCTCGCTCATGCACCTGATTTTCCCGAAATCACAAGCTCAGTCCCCTTGAAATTGATCAAGCATTGGCATAAATAGTAGGGACTTCCCACTATAGGGTGACTTTGTCCTCTTGAAATTCTTTCAACCAGCCCTGACACGTCCATTGAAATGGAGACACAGCAATAACCTGCTCTTGTCTAGACTGATGACTGGCATATCCCAGGTTTGATAGATGAAGTGGAAGAAGAGCTTGCACCTGAAGGTCCCACACAGGTATTACATGACTCTCCTCCCTCCACCATTTCCTTTGATAAGGATTCATCTCCGCGATAGCCACATAGTGAACGACTGTCGCCCAGTGAAGAGGTTGAAGAAGCAGTGGGTTGCCCTTCACCAGTTATTGAAATAAGTGACGATGAGGATGATAATCATCTATGACCGCGACTTCGAAATACGGATTGCCCTGATTATACTTATCGAGATTACCTAAATATAATGGAATATGCGATCTCGGCACCTCCTCGGCGCAAACGGAAAGGAGAAGATTCCGATGCGGTAGATTTTCAGTCTAAAGTTGTAAGGATTTCTTGTCTAGGTATCTCAATCTTGACTAACAATTAACAGAACCAACTCGTAATGGAAATCCAAGGATTGTACGAGGCCTTGGAAAAGGAGAATAAACGATTAAAACAAGAGAGACATCAATGGATGAAGGACAAGAAACAGCTGCAGCTTCAAATTCAATATTTACGGCGACAAATCGATGAACAGAAACAGCGCAGTATCTTGAAGTGTATTCTATGCCATTGAACATTTAATGAGAGCTGGAGAGTTCTGGGATGTGGTCATACTCTATGTAAGAATTGCGTGGAGGATATCAAGTCCAAGGATTCCTTGTTCGAGTATCCTTGTCCTTATGCTCAGTGTAAGAAGCCGATTCAATCTTATTTAGACTTTTATCCAAATGTGGTGGAAGCATAGCTCTAGCATGAAGACTTTTCACATAATAATATTGCTTATTTTGCTGTATATGAGTCAATTTACAATGTATCTATGTGTGTTTTCTCCAGCGCCACCATTTGTCAATATGCAGTTATCCGCTCACCGATACTGACAGCTAACTCAATAAAATTACAGAAGGCTCTTTTAGGAAGTAGTCCAATTTCTTCGGTCCCTCGGGGTTTGATAGAGACTGACAATAGTTGCATACGTTGTCTGGCTGTTCCCTATGGTTCAGCTGATAGTGGATCCACCATACACTCCAGTCTTCTCCCCATTCATGATGGTCCTTTTTGAAATGTTCATAGCATACAATGTCAAAGGTACGGCGCTCATACTTGAATCAATCTGCGATTGCTTCTGCAGATTATTGGAGGCATACATTGCTGTCAACTCATCAAAGTCTGAATAAGTTGCAGTCTTTCTAGGAATATCTGAGACACAATGCCCTTTTCTAAGAGCATTACCTAAGCTAATGTATTTCTATTTGACGACTAGAATTAAGGGATATTTGGCTTTCCTGGATTCTAGTCTGAGTTTAAAGATAAAACTGTAAGAAATGATGGAGTGGCGCAACTCCACGATATCATGCTCTGAAACGCCCGATTCAAGGCTTACTTTGTACCCAAGAAGCCCACTTTTGATAGTAATTTGCACGAGATGATCATGTATTTAATGATTCCTGTACTAACATGGTGTGGCTAGGCTTTTGTTGCAGGTTAATGATAGGTTGTATATTTGCTTAGTTACTTGTTACAGTTAATGTAAATATTTCAAGTTCGTGCTCCAATATACCTGAATAGAGCCTCGAGATCTCCTGGGAAATCGTTTTTGGAACCTCTTCGTGATCACAGACCATGACAAGCCATCTTCCTTCAATTTTATAAGAAGCTCAATTTCATCGGGTTCCCATGCTTTGCCCTTTCTGGACCTGATTGAAGTAGCACGTCTGCGATTGGGAGTTGGCGGGAGTCGCCGGCGCTGTAAGCAAAGGGATTCCGGCGACTTATCTGCAGTCTTGGCTTGTGTGAAGGGAAGCTCTGCGCTAGCTGCAGAGAGTGACTCTGATAGTCCGTATTGGAACAGCCAAGAAAAGAATTCGAGACGTTCATAGAGTGACGCCGCTGAGAAACATGAATACAGTGTGGACTGATAATTCTTCGCTGCCAGGGCATCACTTCAACTTTGCTTGCAGGGTGGTTCTGCATTTATTGCATTGCTTGATGGCCTTTTGGATGAGAACTGTGGTGCTTCTACTACGGTTTGAAGCACATTAAAAGATGCTGAAGCGTGTCCTAGACCCTCAATATTTTGAGCATGTCCATGTAGCGTGAGTAATTTAGGTGATATGGGATACGCAGGAGAGCCAGAGCAATCTGGCGCATCGTTCTTGCTCAGTTTATCTTCATTTATTTTCTCTCCCTCGAGAATTGCTGGATCAATTAGGATAATATCGTCTTCTGGTTTGTCTATCAATCAGTCAAGCCAGCCACATTGTGCGTGATATAAGCCTAAACTTACGAGGGACAGGAGTAGACCTCTCCTGCTGAGTGTTAGGCTGTAAAGATAGAGCTTTCGAAGAACCGTTTGATTGATCCTCGTTTCCTGATTTATCGTCCCCACATAACGAGAACATATCGTATAAAGAAACTGGCTCATTGCTATTGAATTGAATATCAAAAATGCCAGTATGACTAAAATGAGGATTAATTTGTCCCGGTGCTTGCTCAATCGCACCATCACGCCTGGCAAGGGGTACAGAAGGGTTAGAGCAAACTTTCTTAGCACGTGATACGCGTTGCGAAGGGTCTTCAAATATAATATGATCCATGGTGTCCTAGAAAGCAGAGATTTATATGAAAAGGAGACGAAAGTGCAGTGTCTATTTACCATGAGAAAAGCGGAATACTGAGGGATTATATGGTTTAGGTGACGACCTAAACACGCTCTTCTGGTGTGCCTGGAAATCAGATTCCTGTGAATTTCTGATACCGCAGTCATGAGTTCACCGTCCTTTCCCTAACTGCAAAGAGCTGAGATTGCGCGAGACTATGGTTGGAAGACTGTCAGCTTCGTTTCCAGTTCCCAGCAATGCGTCATTTTTGCTATTGGACGAGCGGAGGAACAGGAATGACGATGTTTCTACTCCTGCGTTGATAAGAAAAACTCCCAGAAGAGACTGGCGCATCGTCATTGGCCTCTAGAACAGCTCATTTGTTATGCAATGTAGTCATCTTCGTGACCGTCTCCATGTACGCGCTCAAATATTAAGGGGCTATGCAAAATAGCTTCACGCCCGAACCAAGTATTACCAGGATTATGAATCCCGTTCGCCCCCATCACCAGCTTAGCCTCCTGCTCGCTGCACCAATAGATTTCCCCTGTCCAACCAGGCATGCATGACTGGCAATACTTCGAACACGCAGGTCTCAATTTTGGTGCAAGCCAGACCGGCCCAATGGAGCAGTTGGCCCACAATTCAATCAATAAGTAGATTTTTTCCACGTCAGCACCACGTCGTAATCGCTGAGACCGATCAACAGAGAAGGTGACATCGTCCACTTAGAGTATCCAGCCGGGCTGGCTGAAAGTGGGGAGTCTAGACGGTGGTCATGAGACAAGGCAGAATCCGGCCAAGACCGGATCATCAGCAAGTGCACGATCAGCGAGCTGTTGGCATAGAAAGAAGAAACAAGGAAACGCGGTTAAGTCGAGAAGAAAAGCACAGCTCGATCCTGAGCGTTATCATCATTCCATGAGCTGACTGTAACAGTGAGCGCTCTGCGAAAAACACGGCTGAGATCAGACCAGACCTACGAGAAGGCATGGATTCCAGGCATCCAGTCCAGCTGAAAAATCATAGAACAAAGGCATTGCATGAAAAAAGCGGGTTGATGAGAGCGGAGCTGCCAATCAGATGTCATATTGCAGACCGGGATTGCGCGGTGGCGGCTGGTGCGGCACAGCCAAAAATTGCAGATGAGACAGAAGGATTGCACCGCGAGGAAGAGAAAAAGAGGAGATGAAAGAGTCGAGTAAAAACAGCGAGGGAATGCTCGTATTTATAGATGTTGGCGGGCCCCGTCGGCGCGCAAAAGCAGCCAGCCTCGCGCCATGCCTGTTCGGGCGGCCGCTAAACCGCAACGGACCGCACCAAACCTAGAAGGGACGACGCTAAACGCGACGCGGAAAACGGCCCCGCTTGCACCAGGACGAAGATTATTCAAGTTCATAAACTGTTTAAAAGAGTGGATTATTTAAGTTCAATAAAAAATGGATTGTTAAGTTATAAAGTTGGTCATTCAAATTTGTAAATTATATACATAGTAGATGGTTTAAGGTCATGAACTATTTAAACAGTGGGCCGTTCAAATTCATAAAAGTTCCCCCATCATGCCCGCAGGAATGCAGTCATCAAGCCCCACGGAACCAGTGATCGTTCTTGCATCGTCGAGCCGCAGTATGAAGCGGCAACGTTGAGGTAGTCGTAATTATCATAGAAAGATCGTACAGTCGAGCTAGAAATCTCCTTCACAATTACATACATGGACATTCATTTTCAAACCCCTAATGCCAAATTCCACTAATCCGTAAAGCTGATTGTAGGTCATCTTCGCATATGTACAGATAACAGTTGGTTGCTTTGAAAGGGCGCTAGCTATATACAGGTAGACAGTACTGGACGTTAATGTTTGAAAATGAATGTCTCCGTATGCAATTGGGAAGGAGATTTCTGGTACAACTGTTAATTAATCATTGTATTACTTTGTTTACATGAGTCACCTTATGACTGATTTAGAAACCGTTTTAAGTTCTATTAAGGTACAGTTGAACGGCTCTCCTTTCACCCGCTAGAAGTCGATTCCGGCTTATAATAATACGCACCAAAATCTGATCCAGGGATGCCACCATTTATTACTCAATTGCTCCTCCCTCTATTTCATCGGCGCCGTCAAACTCTGTCGTCGTGCAGCGAAAGCTAGCTGGCTACAATGGCTCGCAGTATTACGAAAGAGCAAAGGCTTAGAAAAAGACATGTGCGACAACGAAATGAACGAAGAATCAGTTTGATGCATAAGGCTTACAAATATGGTACTATTTGCCACGCAGACATCTTTTTAGGCATCAGGCTTAAAGAGAACGGTCATGTGTACACATTCCAGTCTGACAGATTAGGCTTTTGGTCGCCAATGACCGCGTATCTTGTACGTTACTGAAAATTGCTTAGTGTATAGATACTGACACGGGTAGAAATCCTACTTCCCAGTGCCTCACTGCTTGACACTTGAAGATTTTGAGAAACCAAGCAAACGAAGTCCGCCGCGTACTTAATATGATAATATGATCAAGACACGAATGTCTAGACAGGCATGATAGAAACTGGACCGGGGCTGAGCGGCAGTGTGGCCTTGAACTGGGCGATGTCATGAAAGTATACTGGGCTTGCCTCTCAGTTTAGGCCTACTCGATGGAAATTCTAGCATTAAATCTCGCCTGAGGTACAGACAGATTCGAAACCTCCTTCATGTTTTACACACTCTCTTCTTTATTTGGTCCCACTTTCCAGACTCTATTCCAAAAACAACTAGTCTTATAAAAAAAATATACTAGTGCTTCACATAATCCTTATGTCAAGCTCATCAGATGATACATCCATTGTGGTCTTGGTAACCCGACATCAAGACAAACTCACCCGGCTATTCGAGCAAACTAATATCGATTGGCCTGTTGTTGAGAAGCAGCTTCTGGATTGGGGCGATCTTTTCCTTGCTGGCAAGAGAATGAAGCTCATCATCTCGTTCAACTACATAGAGGACAGCCAAACTCTAGCGGCTAGCCGTAAGGCAACCGATAAACGAGGTCCTTCCTCGGCTACACAGGGCATGCTCCAAGATTGTGAACGAGAAATTGACGCAGAGGAGGAAGCAACCGGGGAACCTGTGGCCTGGAAACAGGTGTATGAAATGATGCGGTGTCCAGGATCCTGCGATTTAGGACCACATTGCTGGCAGGATCCTTATGGAAAGAAACACTATAAGCTTTACAGGGATGAGCTTGTAAGCTTGGTCAAGTATGTCCAGAGTGGGAAGACATTAAAGTCTCATGAAGACGTCCCGGGTATGATCCGCGAACAGATCTACAGGGCAGAGAGGCGACGTCATGAAGGACAAAAGGGCCATAGTCGACCATCTTCTGAGTCCACATACCCACCGATTAACATCACAAATGTCATCCCAGCACAAAGCTCGCAATACGACATGTCATCCACATCACCGTCTAAGAATCTCAATCAATCAGCAAACACACCACGGCTAGGCATCACTGGCGCTCGTGATGCAGCCGTTCAGGCGTAAGCAACTGGCAGCAATCACAAGTTGACGATCGAGTGTGGAAAGATGAGTTTCAAAAGGCATGCGACGTGGCTCTAGATGACTGTTTAGATCTAGAGCAGATTAACGAGGATAAGGACCCTAATTACTTCAAGGATCGGGGTGTGAAATTGGGTATTGCGCGTCGATTTGTTAATGATATTAAATACTGGGCCGACAAGTACAACTGTAATGCGGATGAGTGAGGAGGTATTTTTTTTTTCAAATCGAAACCTTAATCTAGGAATAATTTGATCCCGAGTGTGATGACTGCAGTCGTTCAAGATGTTCATCGCGTGCCTGAGGCCTCAGTTATGGAAGAACGTTGCTCCGGAGCCATGATCGAGAACAGGACTGAGCTAGCCGTATACACCGCAATGGGTAGAAGCGTGACAATAGACGCGCATTGCATAGATGATTCCACTTAATGCCTCTGTTTGGCTTCTAGACGTGTGTTTGGGCAGTGGAAACTTGAATCTGGCGCTCGAAGCATGGGTTCGCTCCCAAGATGCCCTGGCTACGTGGGCTGCATCGCATCGTATCGACAATGGCGAGTTAATGCCTGTCATCTCTGGGAGCAGCATTTGCACGAGAGTATTGTCCAGAACTGCCCTTGCGGTAGGGAGGAAAAAAGCATGTCATTGTCTCGGCATGTGTTTGCAGTACACCTCACTTTCTTATTATCATCTTCACAAATTTATCGATGGGAATGGATATAGGGGAAGGTGTGAATCAGATTGAACAGCGAATTTGTCAAACATAAGAACGATCTGTTGTACATAAAGAATTACATCTCATTGTGGTATTAGATGCTGGAGTGCGCTTCCAGACCGCAAATATTTTTCATCCATCTGAAACGTGGGTTTGTCACCGTCGATAGGGTAACTTGGTTAAACGAAGTAACAATAGCAATAGCTGCCTGGTGCCCGTACGAGTTAGAATGCCTTGCTGACTCTCACTGTTGTATTCAAGTGACTTATGTTAAAGAGCTATGAAGAACTAAATACATGATGGTAAGCGAGCGTCCTTATATATCCAGTCCTCCACATTTCGTATATCGTATATCGTATACTCAATTTCCAGTAGTCAGTATTCAGTAGTTGATATACGATTCGTGTCCAATCACATCACGGGGTTTCGTATACCCTTATCTCTGGTAAGATAATGGTAGATTTGAACAGTATTCAGTAAGTCCCAAAAGTGTTCAACAGTGGATCTTGAACAGTTTTTAGTAAGCTTAATAATTATAGTAGTATAGTTATTGCACAGTGTCTAAGAGTGGGTCGTAAACAGTATAAGTAGAGCGTAAACATTGCTTCATAAACGGCTTGAACGGTGTTTAATAAATGCGTCTTGATGTAAGGGCTGAGTCAATCTCATATTGGCAGCTAAGTACGACTAAACTAAGCATGGAAGGGAAAAGGAAAATCAACAAAGCGAAGCTATCCCCCAGATTCCATATCCATGTATCGGAACTTGCAGTGCACTAGCACAAACTCAGTTAAGCTTTATACTCAAAGATATCTTTATAGTGGAAATATGAAAAAAAAACCTCGCGCACCTATGAAAACGCACCCACGCAGGTAAAAAGTACTGCTGGAAAGAATCTCAGTGAAAATAGACCTCCTTGACAGTCTATTTACCAACTTTCGCCTGCTCAATCGACGTGGTTGAAGCATGGGCCCGAAAAGAGGTAAAAAGGGCACTCCGTGGCCAGAACCACGGTTTGCAGATGACCCTGATATACGCGAATACGTAGCTGCAGCCATCAAAGATCTCGAGGCACTGAAGAAGCACCAAGAAGCACTGGAGATTGGCATGCCCCGTGAGCTCTCGACTTCCGTGGTTGACGCGTTCTTATACCTGGCTCGAAGGGTGAAGAATACGCCTACGAATGAGCAACTAGCGCAGCGGCTCGCGAAGGTCGAATTACACGTGGAAAAGACGCAGAAAGAGGTATCTCAGGCCTCTCGAGAGATTACTATGACCAAAAGCAACACGAACCGCCTGGTGGAGGCAATATGCCACCCAACATCCCCAGGGACACGTACCGCGAAAAATTCTCCAAGTATCGGAACTTGCAGTGCACTAGCACAAACTCAGTTAAGCTTAATACTCAAAGATATCTTTATAGTGGAAATATTGATATTGACTTTAATTCTGCGCACTCTTCTATCTACATCTTGAGGGGATTGTTGGACACTATTTATGCTTGAGAATCCCATCCACGCAATCTCAAATAGAAGATTCTCGACACAGAGCTGTAAAGTTGATTCGTAGATTCAATCTTGTGACTTCAATTCTCGAATTTTCCTTGTATCAATGTTGTAGGCTTTCCTTGATTAGGTTTAGCTTACCTAATCCTCGACACACCCCCCCAGGAATGGAAGCTTGAAGCTTTTATTCCTGCACTAGATCTGCTATATCCACCAATCCCTGGTGTTTTCTCCAATCCAGGAACTGCTGTCCATGTAGGACCTTAGTAAGGCCGTCTGCCACCATTCGCTTTGTATCAACCCATTCAATACGCAGTCGCTTCTTGGAGACTTCTTGTCGGAGCCAATGATGGTAAATATCAACGTGCTTGAGGTTCGTATGAAACTGTGGTTCTTCGCTAGTTAGTAGTGAAACAGTTTATTTATTGTCACATTGGATTGAGAGTTCTCTATCAGGCTTGAATCCAATAGACCTGAAGACTCGCTTCCAAACTTGAAGTCTTTTGGCTGCTTCAGTAGCTGCACGGAGCTCAGCTTCAGTCGTTGATGTCGTAACTAAGCGCTGCTTCGTGGCTCTCCAGTCAATTGGGCCTCCATACAATTGGACTAAATATCCTTCAGAGCTTGTACGGTCAGGGTTGTCACCAAATGAGGCATCTGAGGCGCATACGAAAGCGTCCATATTGGCATTCTCTGGTGGTGAATATTCAATTGCTAACGAGCGGGTGTTATAGAGATATTGGATGACACGTCGGATCTGCAGAAAGTGAGCCTTTGAAGGATTCTTGGTGTGCTTAGCTAGCTCGTTGACAGCTTTGGCCACATCAACCCTAGTCATTACAGCAACATAAAGAGCTGATTCCACAAGTTCTTGATATGCGTGAATCTCTTCATTGGTTGCTTGTTCGGTTGAAGCTTCAATATTGCCAGATATGGGTGTCTTGACATTGTTCGTGGCGTTGATTCCAAATTTACTAGCCATCTTGGTGATCTGGCTGTCCTGGCAGAGCCAAATCTTTCTCTGAGCACAGTCGCGAGTGATCCTAATGTTGAGAAACCACTCAAATTTCTTCATTTTTCGAAGCTCATACTTTCTCATAAGGCCTTTCTCGATTTCCTTAAAAGTAGCTTGCTTTGTGGCCTTGTCGTAAAATAGCAGAATGTCATCAACATAGAACAATAGAACAACACCATTCTTGATGAATAAACATTCTTCGTCTGGAATCTGCGTGAATCCTAGGTTTAGAAGGGTCGCTGTAAGTTCTTTCTGCCATAACCGTGGGCTTCTTCTCAAACCATATAGAGCTCGTCGTAACTTTATTACCTGCCCATCTTGCTTGAATCCGTCCGGAAAGTATGTGTAAACTTCTTCATCAAGGATACTATTCACGAAGGCATTCATGGCATCATATTGAACGATCTCAAGATCGAAGATAGCTGCAATAGCCATCATCATTCTGAAGTTTCGTGCTGCAAGTGTAGCTGCTCGTTTTTCAAGGTCATTTGGTTGTTGTAGATCACCACGTACACAAATACGTGCTTTGAACGTCGTAAGCTTGCCATATTTATCAAATTTGTATTTGAACACCCATGTCAGTGGTAAAATCTGCTTATCTTGAGGTTTTGGAACAAACTCAAATGTACCTTTTCTCTTCAGAGCTTCAAATTCCTCCTTTGCAGCTTGGGTGAACTGATGCTTGAACTTGTGCCTTAAAACTCCTTTCCAATTTTAGGCTCTGGTGGAAGCTGCACACTAAACGGTTCTTCAAGCTTTTCCATGGCGGCTAAGAAGATAGTGTTTGTTTAAAGGAGGCGTTTGAGCCGAAAACAACGCTACTGCACTGCAAAAGATTATCCAAAAAAACAGAATTAATCGCATCCACATGCTTGTAGAAATTGGCCAAAACCGAAAGCAAAATTTATCATCGGACCGAGGTATTCCCGACGCGCCTAGTGCGAGTTCTCGTCTGCCATTGACGACATGTGTATAAGAGTTATCGGCTTTCGCTACTGGCAGATCGGAAAGGATGAAGTTGATATTATCTGGGTTCGGAAACTGCGCCACAGCTGCATTGTGTATCCGTTGGCGTATTGTCTGATACTCGGGGTTCATATCCTCTAGCGGCTCAGGCAATACCCAACTGCGGAGGACGATGATAAGTTTAGGTGATACAGGTCCAAAATCGTGATAGCACATGTATGTATTTCCTAGGTACTTGCCCGTTCTGGCACAGAAGGTGTCATTGGTCGGCCCCTCGAACAGGTTGTAGCATTGATCTGTGAGGATGAACTCGTCGTGTATCTCAGCGGGTGTGCAGAATGCCATGTAGGATGCTTGGGTCTGAAATATAAACATCCCCGCGTCTGCAGGAAACATGAGTTCTGGGAGCTTGGTAATCCAGTTTCCCTCGGCATCCATATCGAGATCTAGGATAGTGCGGAGATTGTGCAGCCAAACGTCCCTGGGGCGTGTCATTCCTTTAGCGGCCATGTAGTCCCTGAGAAGGTGTTTGTCCTCCGATTCATACGTTTTCAGGTCCTTAGAAGAGTACTTTTCGAAGAAGCCCGGCCCTCGATACTTCATGATGAAGAGAAACTTTCGGAGTATATTTCTCTCCACCCGTGTAAGCCATATCTTGGCTTCACTGTCTTCGTGGGCCTTCTTAACCTTCTGGAGTATGACGGCTGTCCGAGATTCGAGTTTAGAAAGTTCTTGTTCCACATCCTTCTTGCTTTCGATGAGATCGGCGACATCCTTGTACATGTCCTCCTGGCCGAACCAACGAGGTACTGGTGACTCGAGCAACTGCGGCTCATCGGAGGTCAGATCCACGACATTGAGCACCTTTTCGCCTCTGCGCTTGCCTTTCTCAGCGCGAAAACTGCCCCTTTTCTTGGAGCCCTCTTTCTTTGGCGGGTTGTATGGATGAGAAAAGTTGCGCAGGAGAAACTGAGGAATATAGTGTTGATACTGTGCCATCGCCTGTGATTAAAGCTTGAGCTGAACGATGCTTTTAGGAAGAAATAAATACTGTTTCGAATTTTCGTTGTCTGTCCCAACTTGCGCAATGTCTTTTATGTTGACCAGAGGTCTTTAACCTACATTATTGGGAGACCAACTCATTTCCATGGCGGAGTACGAATCAGGTTAGTGCATCCTCACGAGTCGTGGAAAGCTTTCGGCCAATAATTTTCTACAAATGAAAACTAAGTTAACTTATCTGGTTTGTGAGAGGCAAAAAGATCCAGAAGCGATCACGAATATCTTGGCGATGTGACTGATTCCCCTAGTGTTGATGCCCAAATGAAGCCTGGCCATACGTATGTGGTTACTTTATACGCGCAATTTTTCCAAAACTAATGAACTATCTCGGCGTTGAAATTAACAACCTATAGTTGCTATGATGCCATCTAAATGCAGAACTCTCATCGTCACACTAAGTTAACCTACCTCGGAACAGCACGGAAATAGCGCGAAATATTTAAGTCCCCGCGGTGTGGAATGATTGCTCATATGATATGGAGCAGAAGGCTTCTGCGTGAGGCTCTGCTTTTAATATAGAAGGCATAGAACTAATGCAAGGATTAAAAGCACAGTAAGCTCAAGACACACTAATTAGAAAGTCTAGTGCGCAGTACAGAATATAAGAGACTGCCTATCACAGCAAACCATTTTCAGGACACCTATATTTCGTGTTACGGGCTAGTCCCGCCTAATGCTCACTATAAGGGCATATTCGAATAGAAAAGGTAACATGAGGAAAGGAAAGAGAAAGAAAACAACAAGTTCTTCACACGCATACAATCTTATATAGGCGAGGGGAATTTAGGAGCTTCTGACAGGCTTTTCTCTATGAATAGCTTCATGTCCGGGGTTGCCGGCGATCGGCAGAGAGCGCTATTCTCAATATCCGGCCGGATATTGGGAATAGCTTCATGTTCGGAATTGCCGAGCAGTAGTCTAGGGAAACGAAGGACGCTATTGTCAATATCCGTGAGGGCTTCGCCCGAGCATGCTCATGAGGTCAGCTCATAACATAGGGCGTTTCATGTCGCTGGGATTGGGGTTACGACCGAAGTTTCCGACAACTATCATCCCATTGTTTAAACATGGTTTGTTTAGATACTATCATACTGACCCACATATTCAAACGTTTCTTACTATACGACCCACACGTGTAAACATTTTTCGTTTAAAGATCAAAATGGCCTACATGTATGAATGTGGTTTATTTAAACAATGACCCACATGTTTAAATATGGTTTGCTTAAACAGTTTGTTTAAACAATGACCCACATGTTTAAATATTGTTTGTTTAAAGACTAAAATAACCTATATTCAAACGTGGTTTGCTTAAACAACGACCTACATGGTTAAACGTGGTTTATTCAACAACGACTAGACCTCTGCAAGTCCCATGTGCGACGGTGCTCAATTTAGAATAGAGTTGACAACGCAAATCAATATAGATTCCCCTATCTAGGCAGCTTGTACGAGAATACAAAACATGAAGAAGAGAAAACAGGAGTAAGTGCGCGATCGCGCAGCGGTGTTGAATAGACGGTAAGCTGCAAGGGGGTCATCAGGCATCAACTGACTGAGCCGTCACACATGGGACTAGCAGAAAGTCCCGCCCAGTCCATACGATTCCCACGGGAGTCCCAAGGCTACCCACTTTCTGCCTGAATTTGCATAAATCTGCGGGGCATTACCCATTTCGGTCGCATAAAGTGCTGACTAACTCTCGGCACTAGCTGTTATTTATGTATGTATTGTGCTCGTAATATATCTCTTATTATAAACGCCCGCAAATATCATATATAACAGAAAACATGTCTCGCGAGATCGTCGTTTCTCATTTCAAACGCGATATCCTTGCTTCGGACACGGCCATCCAGTTCACCTTGTTCCGCCTGTTCGAATAGGAAATTGACCATGTCAGGCTTTTGATATTATGGACTGGAAGCGGTATTGATGAAATTATGCTGCAGCAGATTGAATGGTAGACAGTGGTGTAACAACAGACACGAAGCTATGTAGAAAATATAAAATATGACAGCTAATGATGGAGCGACCAATTGCCAGGCCTATAATATAGCATACCGCAGTGAATAAATACGGGAAGCATAGACACCGTCCGTGTAAGTCAAGGACCCCTTGGACTAACCTGAGAGAACTGTATAAGAAATCAATATTTGCTAGTGTACTGTAAATGCAGGCGATACTGATGAGTATGTTCGGCATATCTGATACCTTACGGCAGATGAATGTCCGACAATGATTCTCCAGAACATGTATTCCGCAATAGGACAGTGAAAAGACAATCAACCTATCTCAAATCCGGGTGGCACACAGCAAGAGATTTTATGGATGCTTGGCATAAAGGGCAGGGCTTGTTGAAGAGCGCCTCCCGTTTCATGAGATCCAATATACAATCATAACAGATGAGATCGCTATACTGGATAGCTATTTCTCTTTCTCCTCCTAGTAGACCGGATATTCTAAACTCTTACAGGCCTTTGCTCGTCCAAAAGTTGTCAAAGTCTGCGATTCCCTCGTTTGAGTCGATCGATTCTGCTCATGAAAGATTAACACATTTCTCGGTACTTTCCTGAAGAATCATGCTTTTAATAGTTAGCAGAGAAGCATGACAGCGTTTCAAGCTAAGACTTACACTTTTGGAAGAACAATCATCAACGTCCCTTTTGCCTTTGTGACCGGTAGATGGTCCTGAAGCATGCTGATCCTGGGTGGTCGCGTTAGACAGTTGACCATTCGACTGACGACAATCACCATCATTCTCTTCAATGACAATGACTTCTGTTGCGCTCCGAGCATGTTCACAACGTGGCTGTGCATCATCATCTACGACTTTGCTGAACCGTGTGTGATGACCATGTTGGGGCTCCATCGTATCGCTGAAGGGATGAGTGCAGTGGCTGACCTGATGGCGAGGAGAGAATAGAGTGAGAGAAATGCAAAGGGAAGATAAATGTTTTCTGTCGAGAAAGGGAGTGAAGAAGATTTATATACCACGAAGACCAACGTCCCCGCTTGTAACCTGTATATTGACTGGAGCACAGTCGCGCCGACCCTTGTCTCAGCATGAGTCGTCGTTTGTGCTAATTAAGCAGCGACAGTCCTGTCTCCAGCTATCCTATTCAACTCGTACTGCAGTTGCTCTGCACCATCTTCGTCATCTAAGTATTGATAACTGGCCGTCCGTGCTCGCTTCTGAGCGCGACCGTTCACTGGAAGTGTCCGCTTCAATTTTGTGTAGTAGCGATTCTGAAGGGTATTTTCTGAGCGACCAGGGAAGAATGTAGCGATCGTCTTCCATGATTGGCCCTCGCCCTTCAACTGCACTAGGAGCGCATCATCTTCCGACAAAAACCGCTCGCCTTTCCGACCCTTGGACACGTAGTGGTGCTGTGTAGAGCTTCTGTCTCTCGAATGTGACCGGCTCCCCGCGTCTGCGTTCAGAGGGGAATCAGACACTGGGAAGTCTTTGTCATCATCAGCGTTATTGACAGCGAGATCGTGCACAGCTGATAACTGTTCGACTGCGTCGTTTCGTGCCAGCGATGAAGTCCGACCATATGTAGACTCTGACGAAGGTTCAGCTATCGATTCAAAAAAGGTCAAGGTGTAAGCTAGTTGATTGGGGCTTCCATGAACTGTGAAGAAGCCATGTATTGGCAAAAGATGACTGCCGCGGGTTCCACCCGTAACAGAATGAGCAACAGGGTGATGCTTGCAGGCGTTAAGAGTCGGAACCAGTTCAGGTAGATGTTGGTGATTCAATTCAACGGAATCAGTTGTATCGACATTTTGATCCGTCTGCGTTCCTCTATCATACTGTGTGATGTCCGGATGATCAGTCTGTGTTCCAGCTTCAATATGCATGATTCCGACGGGATCGACAACAGCCAAGTCATTGTAATTGGGTTTAGCGGGAGTTGTAGAGTCACTGTAAATTTCCGTAAAGTTGCAAAGAGATGGGACAGGGGTCGATGAAAGAAGCAGTCGGGCATCATTATGAACAGGGCTGTCATGTCGTCTGAGGCTGATGGCAAATGGAACATTGCCAGCGACCGATTGGGGTTCTTCGAAACCACTGAGTTCACTACGGTTTGCATCGTTATTAGTGGCAGCGTGAGAAACACTCGCATTGGGCAGATGCTTGAGTGGTTCGACGAGTCCGTTGACAGAATTGTGATCAGCATCCCCCAGCCGATCGTCCGTGAAATCGGAGAAGAGACTGCGGAGAGAGTCGCCGCCATCACTCATTTGAGCCTCGTCGAAACAGTCGTCTCCCATCGCAGAAGTACTGGCCTCTCGCTGGAATGCGGGTTGTCCGGGCGGCAGAGTCTGCAGTGTTTTGTTTGCAGGGCGCATCATACCACAGCTGCTGTTAGACGTAGATTCCGAAATAGCACCAACATCTTGAGGATTGGGACGCGAACGAAACCGTTCCTTGTTTGAAAATCGATTTGCCGACCCATTGGGTTCATAAAAGAAAAATGTACTCATTGTACAAAAAGGGAGGTCTCAAACAAACGAGGAGCAAGTGTACACCGTAAAGCTTGACAAGCGGTGCAACCGGTCTACATGCTCGCTCTTATAGCCTCGTAAACCTATCTAGTCGGATTTCAGGGACCATCTGCACTCCACGACATCGCTCAATCAGCTATACAACTTTACGACAGCGTCTCTTCTCCTCTCAGCACGTCATTCTCTGTTTTTAGGTCTCGTATTCCGCTGATTCATCGCTCCACAGCCACTCAGCAATTGACGAAGAAAACTTTCCGGTCTATGGATCATACACGGTAATGAAGTTGTCAATCCCAATCAAATCGTCGAGACGAAAATCCGCCGTCGACATGCACCAGCCAATCTCCGTCAGTTGGAAACGAATGGATTTTTGTCGCCTCGGGCGGAAGTCTCGAAATAATGGCTCATATGACACCTTCAGCTGAAATCCACGTACGCTCGCCATGGCAATGAGATCCACGGGCGCGCAATCTCATAGGCTCACGCTCCACCGCAATGTGACGCTGGCTGCATCACTACAGCAGATGAAATTCGTGGTGGCGGTTCCGTCACGCTCAGTGAACCAACGGCGAAGCTCCATTCGGACGGCGTGACGGTCGCCCAAAGATGATCCCCTCCTTCATCCGAAACACCACCAATGGAGGTGCAATGTCCATTTTTCAGCTGAGGAGGTTTGCAGAGTCGTGTACAGCAGGGCGCTCGCTCGGCCGCTACCATTCGTCACATGTCTCACAGGTGTCGCTATCCACCTCCTGATGTCTCATCGGCGATACAACGCTGGCTCTATCAAGCAGGCATTGTCGCTGCAGCTGCGGTAAACTGTGACGTGTCGATGACACCTGAACTGGAACGTCTGGCAATGCCTCCTTTGGCGAGTCCGTGAGTCGGTGAGTGATAACCAAATGCAGGGAGATCGACAAACCGAGTATCGCCCGACCAAGAAATCACCAAATTCGGATTTAAATCCAGAGAATGACCGGCGCGACGATAACGCCGGATCAGGAAGGCCCCGAGAGCTGAGCAGTTAAAATCTCCATTGAGGTCGATGTCGACCTGGATCGGAATCGCCAAATCGAGGATAGTCTCGCCAATGCTCCACAATGATGCCAACAAGGGAATATTCTGGATCAAGGAGCTGACGGCGACCTAAATGAGACAAGACCGATTCCACGAAGAAACATGGCGCTCAACAGAAAGGACGACGATACAGTGGTCACGTCGTGCCGTGAAATGAAAAGAATTCAGAAACTGGCAGAGGAAAGAGACTGGCACCTTCCAGCAGAAGAGAAAAGTTGGGCAAGCAACGAATGACAAGGGAAGAGGTCGGAGAGAGGAGAGCTGAAGTTATGAGAGAGGTTGAGGCGTGTCGTTAAAACGGCAAGTGATGGCGGTTTATATAGTCGCGCGGAGTGGGTCCGAGCGCAGGCCGGCGCTTCACCGCAAATGGCGATGCGGACGAGGCACGATTTCCCGTTGCGGCGACACCTAAAGGTAAATTACAGCAATAACAAGAAGATGGTTTCAATTTTATCTTAAAATCTAAGATAAAAACTTGGAGTTAATCCCCTCTTCCACGGTTCAGAAAGTTATGTCCGTTGCTTAGCTCACATATTGCATCTCATTGTCAAAGATATTCTTGAGACTTTAAAATCTAGCAACATGGAGGAAGCACATGTTGTATATAATTATTTCAAGGAAGGGGAATAATTATCTATTGTGTCTCAGGAACCTTTAGCAAGGATTTATATCCTAGCTCTTTAGATACACCGAAGTCCCCAACAAAGGCAGAAATAGAATAAGGTTTACAAGATTATTAATCTCTCAAGCAAATACATCGAATATAACGTTAATACAAGATGGAATTCCACTTTCTAAATGTAAGACGACGCGTTGAAGGCAAAATACTAGATCAATAAATTTCTACAACTCCAGACAGATTTTCCTCACTTTACTACAATGGACTGGTCTCGGCTCTCACAGATCCACAATATCCTATCAAAATTCAATGAGTTGACTCTGTTCGTATCAGAAAAGAAACCTCAAATTAGTCTTGCGGTCCCAATCTACTATGAACTTCATGATTTACTCGATGAGGCATCCAAGCGCAAGGAGAGATTCCTAGATCTTGACGAAAATATATCATTAGCTGTGAAGGAAGGTATGAAGAAGTACAAAAAGTACTATACCTTTATGGATGCTTCTGATACATACTACACTGCCCTTATCTTGGATCCTCGCGTTAAAGGCGATCTCCTTCTCGACAAACTGGAAGACGAAGCTACTAGGAGGGAGATCCTTAAAGCTCTCCGTGACAACATCCACCGTGATTATTCAGTTACGACTATGGAATCAAGCTTACTGTCAAAATAATAAGTGATAAAGCACTTAAATGATCCAGCAATTGATTAATATACGGACTTTTCCAAATTAGCCACCTTACTAGTAGATAGTAGATACTTCATAACCAACTACAGCTTTTGATATATATATCTAGATATATCTCAGGTGGGATTTCTTAGACAGCCAGGGTTGCTGGCTGATCCCACCTAGTTATATTATTGATTGTGCTATACTTTTCACCCAGGTAGACAACTTATAGAATTAGTTACGAGAGCAATTTGAGCTAATAATTATGGTCTTGTGGCTCTTGGCTGAGCATTAGCACGATCACGTACGGTTTTCTCTCCGTATGATTGAATGTACGGCGGATAACTCGAATATCGGCGCGGTATGGCAGATATCGTATCCGCCGGCATGACTAGCAGTCGAATAATATTCAATGTTCGTATCCGCCGTGGAAAGAAAAACGAATATCGTATCCGCCGCCGATATTCGATCGAATAATATCTGCCGAGGCGGATATCGTCAACAGCCCTAAGGGGCCGGAACTCGATTTACTCTGCTAATGAAACTAAGAAAATGTTAGGGAATCGGACGATGTTAAGAAATAGATTACGTTGTTTAATTATATGACGAAAGCTAGCCAAATAAAGTTAGTCGATGGCTTCCCATACACATAAAAGCGGATTTTCGTGTAATGTAACGGTAATATTCCCTGAGAACTTGAGGGTAACGCGTAAACTTGTGTAATCGTATTATGCTAGTTATCTAAGTGAATGAAGTCTGGCACAGGGTGCCATACAAATTAGTGTGGAAACGTGTGCTCGCTAATTTAGTAAGGGCTCTTGACAATCCTTATACTACGTACTAGCGAGGAATAGAGGACGGCGTCAATATGCACTTGTGTGGGCTTTACGCTGCTTCAGGGATACCCGTAAAATAAGGCTGTCATTCCCTAACCGACTTATAACCATGCCACTACCGTTAGCAAGATCTCCTATCTAACATAGGGTGAATATCAGTGGATGTGTAAAAAAGAGAAAGAGTGAGGAAAAGGCAAGTCTTTCGTTTGCCCAATTGCTCTCTACCTATTTTTGTACAAATGGGTGTTCAAGATGTTTCCAAGAGGTTTCCAAGAGACACGTCTACACGTATTCATTCCTTCAAGTAGTGTTGCAGGCATACGTTTTTCAAAAAGTACTTCAACGTGTCTGACTAATAACAGCTATTAACGTTCTTTTTACGTATCCAGTGCTGAACAACAGGACTCCGGCAATACATCCAGATGCGGCTCAACCCTGTACCGCGCCAGAAGCCACCATAGACTCCCTCCATTGTGGGCCAAATTTGGTGATTGCAACAATCACCGAGGCACTTGCCAATGCTACCAATGCCCAGAGTGTAAAAGTCCATCCGTTTCCCAATTCATCAAGCATTGGCGCTGCCACGACCGTGCCAACACAACCGAGAACATTACGGATAAAGACAGATGCGGCCAAACCTCGAGGATCACCTGGCATAAATTCACTGATCATAGTGATACCCACACTGATGATAATAATCATACCGAAGCCAGTGAAAAAGTTTGCGATCATCTATTGTCATGTTAGTACAAGACCTATTGGTAAAGTGAGATTTTTGAAGAGATGAACTTACCGGGCAGAGCCAGTAAATGCCCTTATCTGCCGTCCAACCATACCACAGTAACGCTACCACAGGAAGCAAAGCTCCCGCCCAAGCATTCTCCTTCATACGCTCCTCGGGGTAAACTTTAGGTCTGCCAGTTTCATCGCATCGGTTCGCCTTTCTTGCCTCACGCTGCATCACATAATCCATCCACCTACCGCCGAAAATGCTTCCACAGATATAGCCCAACGAAGACGGAATATACAACAATCCCACAATCAGGGTGCTGAAATTGTAAGGAGGACTAGCAAACGTGTTTTGGATGCTGATGTTGAGTATGTAAAAGTATATAGTCACGATTCCGATGTAGAACATGGGCAAGAACATTGCGGGATACCGGAGAACGAGAAGTGCACGGAATGGGTCTATCAAAAGTATTCTTAGTAGAAGAATAATTCTCAGAAACGAATCATGATTCCCAATTCTCTCGTTAACGCGAGTGCGCCATGTCGTTTCTTTTCTCAATGACGTTTCTGGTAAGATGATGGATAACATGAGAAGCATAGCCGCTGCCAATATCACAGCAAACCACATGGTGCTCCTCCAGCCCCATCTATCTGCCAGAGCACCACCGATGATAGGTGCTAGAAAGGGACCTAACTGTGGACCCAGAAAAAATATTCCCATGGCACGTCCTCGCTCTCGCGGTTCCCATAGATCAGATATTGAAGCGACTCCGACGGCCTGGACAGAGGCTGATGAGCCACCGCTTAATAGTCTCACAGCAATGAGCATTCCAATTGAGTTTGAAATAGCGGCTAATATGGCAAATACTACCCCCAGGACAAAAGATATCAGATAAATCGTTCGTCGTCCAAATGCCTCTGCCCAATTTGACCACCACAACGGGAAAATCGCCATTGCTAACAAGTAGAATGCCAAAGATAGATTGGTACCGGTTGCGCTGGTGTGTAGATCTGTTTCAACCTGATGCAAAGCAGCTGTCAATCTATTTTAGTTATCGAAATCACATATGTTGAAAGTGGACAAGCCGTATTATGCAGGAGTTATACATACGGTAGAAAATAGAAGTTCCCATAGGCGCAATGAGTGTTGCAAGGGAAATGGTACATGTTAAGATCCATTTCGTCGATCTCGCATATGCTCTCGGATTCTCAACCTCAGGTATCAATGTAATTTGACCAAAAAGACCGCGACGTTTCAGACGAGGAACGGGCACTGGTCGTAGCTTATCGTGTTTGTTCGCGGCTTCAGCATCCCGATACGGCGCGGATGGTGCCTTTTCTGATTCGGGCCTTAATTCTGATTCCGAATAAGTATCTGTAGTTGCTGGAATATCGTCTGAATTGTTTGTCTCGATTTTGGACTGATCTCGCTCACTGCCCTGTAGCTTCTCCGTAGAAGCCATACTCTCCCTAACGAGTAATAGTGGGCAACTCTATTATTACTTATATCACTGTCCGGAACAATCTTTGACTATGAGTAAAACTTAGGTTTGCAATGAAAAAGGTATAGCTGGCGTTAAGTAGATTGTTGAAAAGCAACAATACTTAGGGCCGAAATGCAGGAGGTCTAGTAATACAAATACGCCCCAGAAAAATAGGGGGAACAAAAAGCAATTAATTTGATGGAAGATCATGACATCAAGATTGATCAGGAAAAAGAGTAGAAGTTAGCTATAAAGTAACTATAATAATTAAGTAACAGAAACCAAAAGAGGAAGTTCTTCATAGTCTGGGAAAAAAAAAAAGAGGGAAATCATCCGGGCATTCGGACTTACAATTATCGATTTACCGCAGAATTAGATAGGCATTCCTCCGTAGTCAGAGCCGTACTCCTTCGTATTACTAATTGATTAGTATGGAAAAGAAGCAGAATAAGACGGTAGATCCCCATGCATAGTATGCATTTGAAGGTGTTTATCCGATTCGAGCTGCAGATACTTGAAGGTAATGTGATCCAATGGTTTATTCTGGGAAAATCCAGTACTATATTGTTGCCATTGCATAAACGGTAGGTAGATCACTTTTCTATTCCGACCAGTCCTGTTCCTATTACATACTGTTGGTTCATCTAGGTTATCACGCAAATAATAATGTAGACCAGCTAATTGGGGATATAATGTAATTGTATGGTAACACAAATTTACTAGCAAAATTGTATGAGTGTGGATATTGTGTTGATTTAAGCCATATAGTCTTAGGGTGAGGACCTATATCTTCAGATTTATTCTTATTTAGATATTTTGCTAAGGATTCGGTGTAGTTGTTGAAGATATGTATTTCAAAAGCGTAATGGTAGAATGTTCGATTGTTAGTCTATCTTATCAGGAACTGTATCTTGTTGGATTAGCTAAGCTGATTCAACCAATCAGATAGAGGAGATTTGTCAGCCAATAATAGCGAGCCACACACGGATCCACCGAATAGGGGGTAAAAGATATCTTCCACCTGGACTGTACTTAGAGACAAGAAAAAGAACAACAAGGATCAAGGATTCCCACATCTTGTGCATACATAATTTGATACGTTGAGATAAACCGCTAGAGATTGTTACATACAATCTAACATATCTTGGGTATCATATCAGCAGGGGAGGAAGAGTGAAAGTTCCAAAAGCGTTCGGAGCTCGATCATGAATATCTTCTTGTTCTTCTTGTGGTTCTTCGTAAATGGATGGCTCAACAGCGTAGAGGCTAATCAGACTAGCAAGTAATTGGCAGAAGAATGTTGCAAAGTCGTACTGGACTTGAGGTATTAACGAAGGTATCATAGGGCTCGATCATATGTACATAAAACCAAAAAATCCCGCTATTCAACACATTACAACCGTCGATATGAATTGTTCCTGGTTTTCAGTATTGTAGGCTCCAATGAGGTAACGATATGCCATATTCGTGGAACGCTGCACTCCGAAATCGTGTCCTTGGTTGTTGGTTTTCGAATAGTCATATAGTTTGTACTACTAGAGATGATGAACATTAATTTATGTATATATTTGACACCAAAGTCTTGCAGTGTAAGTAACCCCGTGTATTTTTCAGATATGTAGAGGATATACAGGCTTTGTCAAAGGATACTAATTTCTAATGAATGACTGGATGACTGACCAGGTATATTATAATAGTGGTTCCAAGGCTGTACATGCGGATCCTCAGAAACCTGTGGCCTGTTCATTTTTACCATTCCTCACACTCCTGCTCCGTAGCGAAGGGTCCAAATTGCTGTTCCGCCAGGCGTTAACGGCCATCTGGATCAATCCTCTCTTGCGGTGCAATGCAGTGTTCAATTCAGCCAATGCCCAGCCCACAGTGCTGCATTCAGTTTTGTAAGTCAAGCGGCTGCCTCTGTATCAGTCCGCGAACCAGGCTCAAGGATAAATGCAGCTTCCTCCTTGAAATCCGCGGCTAGATTGTCTATATGGACGGTCTCCATGTCACCGCGGATCGTGTATTCAGTCTTGACGCGGTCGCGGGAGAAGTCAAAGGTGTCAAAGGCGATCCACTGAACTCTGCTGTTGTTGTCTTGATGCACGAGCATAGATGTTGTCGTCGCAGGTATCGGCCCCATAGAAAAAGGCACTGCGGTTAGGGTTTTGGGATTAGAGGTTTGAAGGCTTTTTCGATCATTTGGGTTATAGTTGAGCATGAAATCTGATGGTGGGTTGATGAAGGTTGGATGGGGTCTTTTGGACTGCAGCACTCTCGCCGTATGAGGAGGCGACATTGCTCTGATCTTCTGACCATCCTTGTGAATACAACGACTGCCCGTGTTGCTGTAGTCTTCACGAAGAAAACCATTACGGATGCAGTTTTTGCCTGCAAGATAGGTTATTAGATTTAAAAAAAAGAAAGAAGTTGTGAGGGATATCACATTAACTTACAGGTAGGATACTGTTTGTCGCACATCGCATTCCTTTTCCGGCAGATCATGCATCTGTTCTTAGGGCTTTTACTGTTCGCCAGTATTTCCTTAGGACAACCTTGATTGGCAGCCTGAAATGATTCATTGGCATAAGTGGTCAACGGCTGCTGGTCTACCTCTAGATATCTCAACCGGTCGATTGACTACGCCCCAAGCATCTCGAATGTAGCCATGATCTAGGTCGCGACACGAGACCTTTCCATGCTGAGTGTCCGATTTCTCGAGATGTTGAGACTAAATCTTGCCAGATCGCTTCTCCTCCTCTTCGAGCTTCTAAACATGCATTTCTTTTGTCAGTGAGAGTCCAGTCTAGAGCAGTCGGTTAGTAAATTACTCAGAAGGAGGGGTAAGAATATGGAAATGAAAGAGAACTTACGCAGCCTGGCGATTTTTCAACAAGAACTTCTGATGCTTGAGCTCCTTGATCTCTTCTTCATCAGTCGATCGAGCAACCTAGTGATCAATTTTATTGAAGGGTTCGCTCCGGAGGAATGTCAAATCCCACGGCTTTTTATTTTATTTTTTTGGGTCTCCATCGCGTCGCAGATACAAAGTCGAGTCATTCCGATATGTCGGACTTCTTGTCAGTGAAACCGCTGCGTCTTGAACTTCTGATGCTATGGGCAGCAAGCCTGGACTTGACTGGGGTCCATAGCCACTGCTCCGGGCGCTCAGCTATCCTCAATACCTGCTTGTCCTGAGTACTGTGATTGCCTGTGCCTTATCCCTGATAAGTTCATGCTCTAAAATGATACGGTCTATCCAAAGCTCGCGATTAGTAAACGGCAGGTTACCAAACGAGCAATTCTCGTAGGAACAAATGTAGGGCTGAAGGACTAGAGATTTTTTCTGAAGGTAGGTAGTTAGCTCTGTTGTCTGCATGGTGTTAGATATTATTGGTGAAGTGCACAGCGCAGCGAGGCCCAAGTGGCGTACCAATCGGGAAAAAACACGTATTAAAGCGAGGGGTTTTGATTCTTCATTATAGAGGACAATTTCCTGTTAGAAACAGCACAATTTGGTCAAGCAAGCAGAGAGAAATTCAAGCCTTCAGTTGAAAATCCCAGGATCTCTAGTTTCCATCAATTCCACGAGATTAAGGGTAAAATAAACCCCGGTAAATCTAACACATGGTCTGCATCTTCAATTCTGACAGCAAGATCATGCCGCCAATCGCGATTGTCTGTAATCAATAAGTTACTCGTTTTCCGCAAGCATCGCGGGCGATAGATTCTACTTTTCTGCCTCCTCTGGTAGTGGAGGAATGCGCGCTCTGCTCCTGTCCGCGCGACTAGAGAACGTAGGAATGACCGACTGAGCGTAGCTCGTCTCCGCCGCAGGAATCGAGCTCCCAATTCCGGAGTCACTGAATCGCGATTCGTCACATACCTTGAAACCACATGCTCCATTACGATGCTTTTTCGCGTTCAGCTTGTACCCACTCGTACTTAACTTCATCTCACCTATCTCTTCGAAAGCACGAAATACTGGCGAAGGAATCGAGCGCTACATCATACCCCAGTGCCGAAAACACTTAATTTCAATACGGTATTAACGGCATCGTGTTCTTTAGCCTTGGAATAGCCTTGGAATAGCCTTGCCCGAGCTCGGCTATCAGAAGTCCCTAGAATCCATGGTCGGGACCTAAGATCCAATCGTCACAGCGCTGAAGTTGGTAGCAACAGGTCACGCACTCGGTCTCCGGTACTGACAGATAGTCCTACAATGTCTGCAATGCAATTTTGGAATGAGTACGGATCTGGGTAGGACTGCGCTTCAGAGCACTGTGTATGGGAGTGTGGTAAGTCAACTTAAAGAGAGGATAAAATCCTTAAGTCTCAATTGACCAATCATATTCATCTCGGAAATCTCAATTTACCCTTTGCAATCTGAAATAGTTACTGGTTCTTGTTTCACATTGATCTCGAGTTTGTCAAGAGTCGATTCCACAGGTCTTTATGTTCTATGTGTAGTAGTTCTCAAAGCAATATCGACTCGTCTTATTTAAGCCATTCCACTCACCCCCCCAGCGGTCGCCGGGAAGCCCACTACCATGTAGTCGTTGAACTGCACCCATTGCCGTCTGAGAAACCTTTGACCAAAAAGTCCCTTTACCTTCCAACTTGTTTCAATTCATTTCAGCATACCAATCCGCGTTTACTCCCTTTTCTTTTTCTCATCTTCTCCTGCTCTTTAGCAGAGATTAAATTTGCCAGGTGGCTAGGATGACCAGGACCCGGGGATCATCTTCTTGTCGTTGTTGATCTTGGATATGATGTTCTATTTCAGACCTGCTTGGGTTGCTGCGAGTGTTTCCGGGGTTACTACATACATAGATAGGTTTTGATGTTAGCGAGAGATTTCATCCTCAATGCTGGGTTCATAATCTATCTTCACCTCGATATGGTCGACTCGATGGGCTACGTTCTTGTCAGACATGCTGTTATGTTTTAGTCAAGGAACAAACGAAGTTTAGTAGTTGTCGCAAGGCCGAGATATGGCAACATTATATATTTGTTCATATACCTGAGTTTAACTATACCATGATGAGAAATATTCTCTCGTTAGGGCACAGCCATTGCGAGTTGATCACATCTCAGGCACCCAAATCCTTCCTACCGGACATTCCCCTTCAAACGGGCACTTAAGTAGGCATAAATTATCCAATGTCGTGATCGTGAATCAATCCTACCCCTATGCAATAGTGGAGTTCGTCGGTAATTGTCGTTAATATGGACTTGTTCGAGTTGCCTCAGCCGCGATACAGCCGTTCTCTGTGAATGATACAGATACACTACTCCAATAGCATTAATGTTAGGTAATTCTTGTATTCTGCTTATACTTGTTGCAGAGCCTTACCCACGCTGTTCCCTAAGGCGCTGCGACAGGGAAATCGATCCGAGTAGTCTTACAGTCTGATGCGGTGTTGCATGGCCTAATGTCAGCTAGTAAGTTGAACCAAAGTGTGGCCTTCTGAATTAAGATCGTGCAGGCAGTTCTCATGCGACGAAAGAGTGACAGTGTCCTGAGATAGCGTGTTACCCTCCATGCAATAACACCTGGTATGCAGATACTCAAATAGGGTCACTCACCAAACAGACAAAGCCTAAAGTTATCAAATCTGCCCTGTGCCTATCTGAACAAATATGTAAAGTAGGTCACAAGGATGAACAACAATTATGGTCACGAATACTATGCATACATCTGGTAAATTATGGAAGGATGGAACAATATAATAATTATAGAATTGATCGTTACTAATTATATGAATCAATGAGCGACTCCAGTCCCCGAAGCAATGACCAGTATGTGTCGTACCAGCTCTTTAATGTCTTTCGTTTTGATCGGAACTCGATGATCTCCATCCCATTCCATTAGGCGTGTGGTATTACCCTGGCAGCAATCATGTAATAATTCTCGATGCAGCGGAAGGCCTGAATCTCGCAATCCATGAATGTGCACTGTGGGTATATGGAGCCGAATATTAGACTGACTTATAGAACCACTGCGCCTGGGCCAGATGTTATTTCCGTAAACTGGCTGCCCGTTGGGATCAACAAGCATTGCGCCAGAGCCCTTTCCCAGTTTTTCATTTTCCTCTGCAGCATATATAGACGCGAGCTTCAGATCAAGTGCCACGAGAGGTGCGCGGCCCGCGAGCAAAATTCCGAACCGAAAATCGAGCTTTCTGTTCAAATTTAACTCATGCATCTGCTGCAACTGTTGAACATACAGTAAACTGGCACACATCTTAGCTCCCTGACTGAATCCCAGCAAACCGACCCAAGGACCCGTTGCTCCAAGATCATCGTCTCCGTCCATGGCTCTGTCTAGAGCCTCGTTGAATAACTCAATGGCAGTATTGTTATCGACTTCTGGGCAACCAAGAGCGGAAGGAATCCATGATTTGAAAGGGCCCCATTCTTTGTACACGGAGAGAACGTCGGGACCGGCATCGCATTGCAAAGGTGCTTCTGCGAATACTAATCTGAACTTGCCTCTGAGATGACTCAAGAGTACGCGACATTGTGATCGAAATATCCGAGCGTTAGTGCCTCCGCCGTGGAGGCAAAGAATGCGAGGCATATTGAGGTCAGGGTCGTAGTTGAGCATTTTGCATGGAGTATGCAAGAGGCACGGTCAAAATAAATAGGATGCGAAGGAATGTATATGAATGCGCTGTTTCTATGGCTGGTGGTTTTATGTAAAATAAAGTAGTTGTCATCAACAGTCACGTCATTCATACTTGTGCAGCAAACCGATTAGAAGATGCGAAGAATCTATGTAAAAATTAGTTATATGCATGCACCTGGACGATTTAAGAGTGAGATTTGAGGTCCTGGATATCTGCTTTGAAAGGACTACAGAGTCCGAACTCGCAATTTCTTATTATTTCTCTATCCGATATAGAATCATCGTTTATGATTGGTACGCTTAGTTCTTTGGGCTAAGGAACCAGTCTTTGGACTTACAAACCTTTCTGTCAAAGTTCACGACATTGGGAACAGGTAGTTGGTGTTGGTGTTTTCTTGGCTAGAAACTCCGTCTCGAAAACTCCGATACTGCACATGTGGCTGAATTCACACAATTTTATATTTTATTATGCGAATCCAGGGAGTTTTGAATATCCTTTATAGCCCCGTAATCTTCTATATTGCAGCAGAAAAGCCAAATATTTCCCTTCCAAGGTCCTTGAATGAAGGATCAGAAACTGCCGGATTCAAGACGAGCGGCTTGCCCTGGGTTCATAGCATTCATTCCAAATCTTCGATTCAGCGAGCTAAGATAATTAGATATGCGGACCACCCAATTTTACACGAAAATCTTCTCCGTGTAATACAGAATATAAATGATTAATACTTGCGTCGTGGAAAGCGGCTGAAGCAAGTTGATAGTTGTAGAAATAGTAGGCAAAAATAGGGTTTTCAGTTACCTAGTATGAGTTCTCATGCATGACTTGACCGTGCAAGAAGATAGATATTTGGAGTCATTAGGATTTTTCACACAGTTATAATCCTAAAGACCTTGTCGAATACACTGGCAAATGGCATTTGATTTTAGGGTTTTCGCATGGTTTAGGAGAAATTATCACCTTCCGTATACGGCAGATTTTCCTAAATTGGTGAAAAGCAACTCCCAGTCATAGTGCCAATCCCGCATTTTGGTTGTTGAACATGGAATAGATTAAGTTAATATGGATGTTATGAGTCATCCTAAGCAGTAGTTCCTGATACTACGTAGCGATGTTTTTTGCTGACGATTCGCGGGCAAGGGATAATTCAGACAGATAGGATAAATACTCCAACATAGCAACATTGATTGCATACACATAGTAAAAAGACAAGAGTTGACAAGAGGATAAAGAGTATAGAAAGACAGATACAGTGAAAGTAAATAAGATAAATGAAAAGTGATAAATCTTAGGCTAGCAAAACCACCAGTTGCTAGACTTAGCATGACCAAACGCTTAATAACGTCTTCAGCAAGATAGATTGGAGTTCTCTTAATGCAAGAATCCGGAATTTTTCCAAGACTGAATATATTTCTGAGTCACCTCAACACTTACCGGCCCAACGGCCGCAAGAGTTGGCGAATGTTCGCAACTTTTGGTCGTCCCCAAGAGAAGACCGCCACATGACATGCGAAGAAAATTATCATCCAAGAAATCAATAAGTAAAGCAGCAGGATTATCCCACTCAACTGAACCCGGGAAAGCACGTACTCGACGTACCCATTCCTTGAAAGGAACGATATTGTTGCTAGGGATGTCAAGCAATTCAGCAAGTAGAGGGATCATCTCCCTCCAAGGCTGGCGCACCGGATTGTCAATGTGATAGACTGGATATGGTTGCCGCTCCGAAATGAGTAAGTCACTGCATGTGCCAGCGACATCATCAACTGGAGTCCAACACAGGTCACCGTCAAAGTCTGGAAGGACATTGAGGGTTTGTGATGACTTGAATAAGAAAGACAGGTGCTCCATTGCATTCCAATAACCTGTCACTTTTGAGCCGGCAATTTGTCCGGGGCGTACCGACATAACACGAAATTGGTCAGGGAATTTGTGCAATGTTTCATCAAGCATTCTTTCGCACACGAATTTGGCGTCACCATAGCCATTTGGAAGTACAGATTCAAGTGTCATTCTTTCCTCGGGGACCACAACATTACCGGTCCAAAGCGGGTAATGTCCAACTACTGCGATGGAGGAGATAAGTTGCAAAGTGACCTTTGCTCCTTCTGGCCGTCGTGCAGAAATATCACGCGCAAAATCAATCAGGTTCCGCATCACTTGGAATTGCGATTCCAATCCGGATAAGGGACGCTTCCCAGTCATTGGCCAGGCGTTATGGACTATATGTGTTACCTTCCCAAGAAGCTCTTCGTAATCGGTGTTCTCCAAACCGAGCATGGGCTTAGACGTCGTTGCCTGGAATACTTGAAGCTTGGACTGAGATGCAGCATCAAGCAAGATCCCTCTATCTTCTAAGGCCTTCTGTTGCCGAGCATTCGCATCATTGCCACTGCGTCTATTGAGACAAACCACGGTTTTGACGTTAGGGAGCGCAGTGACATGTGCCAGGAGGTGAGAGCCCAGACTTCCCGTTGCGCCAGTGATCAAGACGCATTTCTCATAGGAACTCGGAGAGGTTGCCCCCTTGATGGGCTGCCCAAGGCAGAATCCTTCGGTATACTTGCGAATATATTCGTCAACCGCCGCCTTGCGACCAGCAGCTGGCTGAAGCTGATTTTCCGGCTTTGGTAAAGGAGCTACTGGCTGCCTGCCGTATTGAGGCCCGGACGCGAGAGCGATAATGACGCGTTGAATGTTTAGTTCTGGGCTATTGCCGTCTGTCCAATCAATGTGCCCATACCCAGCAGAGCGCATAATGCGTTCCCAGATAGTCTGATGTGCAATTGCATGTTCACGACCATCATCGAATAGCCACCAACCCTCAAAAAGACCGAAAATAAGATCAACCCAGAACACTGGCGATGTCATCTCAAGCATCATGAGGAAGCCATCCGGCCGAAGAGCTTTTCGCACATTGGCTGTAGATATCTCGAGATTATGAGTTGCGTGCATCGCATTGCTAGCGATGATTATGTGTTGGCTACCAACTAGCTCTGCAACTGGAGGCTTCTCGATATCATGAACTTTATATTTCATGAAAGGATACTCCTTGAAGGTTTTGCGAGCAGCGGCCACGAAGGAGCCAGAAAGGTCAGTAAATGTGTACTCGACAGGCATCCCTAATTTTGCGAGTAATGCAACCATTCCCTTGGTAGTACCCCCAGTACCAGCACCAAGCTCAAGTATCTTTAGAGGGCCTTGGTCGGTAGGTATTTTAGAAGCGACTCTGGAAATGATGTCCTGCATTTGCACGTTTGCAAGCTTATTCAGCAGAGAGTCGCCATAGAGGCCAGTGACAAGTCGTCTACCCTCGTCGCTTCCAAATATAAGCTTGATACCGTCACAATCGCCCTTCAAAACGTCTGCAAGCCTGCTTCCAGCAAAGTGTGTCAACTTGTTTGCCCACTCATGATCTGGGAAGTCTCGTAAAAGTTGATCGAGTATAGCATCGCTAGATTTGGATGGAGGTGCAATCGCCGTGCGCGTTATCTTGGAACCATCAGTGTCAATTAGCCGTGCTTCTTCCTCCAACATCTTGTATAAATAATTGGTAAGACGTTGATGCTGTGGATCATGTGATATGCGTATTAATTGATCGCCGGCTTTGGCCGAACGAATGGGGCAACCAAGTTGCTCGAATGCTTCAACAGTGAGTGCAACGCAAAGTTGCGTCTGTCTGGGAAGAATAGTATCCATATAACCAGCACACCTATAATTGACGATGAAATCGTCTGTGAGCTTCCTTGATTCCTCGAATGCCTCAATGATTGTGCTAGAAGGTAGCTGAAGGTCACCAGTGTAGACGTTTGACTGTACCTTACTGGTAGGATTGCCATTCCCATTGTCCTCAACATCAGATAGCGAAGTGGTTGCAGGGGTAGATGGTGTGAATGTGGAAGAAGAATCGCTTCCGCTGCTGTCGGATCCTTCTTGATCAGACCCTTCCTCATCGTCACCAATGCCCAAGGTGCTCTTGATTATTTGCACCAATCCAGCAAAATCAGTCACATTCATTAGTTCATCGCTTGGAAGTATACATTTGAACAGCCCTTCGAGCTCACGAGCAAGTTCCATACCCATCAGGGAATCGATACCAATATCAGCAAGTTGCGCATTGTTTGAAATCTCTTCGACACCCATGCCAGAAATCTCCGCAAGAAGGCCTTTAGTCCTGGTAACGATATCTTGAGTTTCACCTGACTTGCCTTTCTCGTCTTTGCTTCCACTGTTAGAGGTGTCACTCTCCGCCGGCGAAGATCTTTCACCAGCATCGGCACTTGGTTTCGCCGCGGAGGATGCTGGGGCTATCGGTAATCCTGAAAGACGTGCGAGAATCTTGCTCATAGTTGCTTTGGCGACCTTGTGGTAGTGGACACCAAGAATGACTTCAGTAAGCTTTCCGTTTGTAGAGTCGAAAATAAACATGTCAGTAAGATACGAATGCTCCGAGGGAAGTTCTTGATGATATGCAAAGACGTCCCAGGAACTTGGTCGTTTGTAATCACCTGTGACGTCTGGACTGCGCATCCATTTTTCAAAACCTGTAGCGATGTACATGTCGCCAGGGTCTTTCTCTGTCATACAGTTGACCCAAATTCCACCGACTTGGCTGAAACAATCGGAAAGTAATGCGTCAAGCCATGACTCTCCAGAAAACTTCTTGACAACACGTCCAGCAGATTCGTTTCCTTTTCCTACCAGCTTCTGTAATCCTCTGTAAGGAGCAGAATAGTCAACTACTTCTCCAAATGAGCGGTAAATGTTGCGTCCTTGAATAATGTCATCTGCATCGTCACTGTTCAAGAGACCGACGCAGCGTTTATGACCAATCAATCGTTCATACCTGGAGAATTCCAATTGCCATTCTGCATTGTCGACCGAAACGAAATTTATCTGACCTGTAACATGGACTGTGCTAGCCTTGGAAGTTTCAGCGTCACTAATGATTTGCCATGACCAGCTGTTAGGGTTGACATTTTGCGAGTCGACGTCCAACCAAACCGAACGAGAAGTATCAATGCAGATAGGAGACTGATTATCAACATTGCAAATTCTAGGCTGTAGACCGGATGAGGAAAAATCAGGATAGAGACTAATAAGTGCTTCGATGGCAATGTCAACTTCGACGGTAGCTGGGCAGATTGGGGCAGTTTGTGCAATAATATGTCCAGAAACAAGTTCCTTGTACCTTTCAGTTTCTGTATTGATACGGAATCTTGCAGCACGCTTCTTCTCATCCTTGTAGTCGAAGAAGCTCCACAGTCCCTTTGGCTTTTCAATATGACCATATAAATCTTGCTTGGAAGAGGTTGGAGGAGGTACTGGCTCCACCCAGTGGCGCGACTTCTCGAATTGATATGCGGGCAAAATCATGGGGCTGTACTCATAGGTCTGTAACCTGCTATGGGCCCAGAATGATGCTATAAGACCCTCTTTCCATAGAGACACAGTAGAATTTACTAGGAGCTGAAATCCATTATCGGTAGTGATATGGATGGGTTGAAAGTGGGATCCAGATGGTGACCCAAGCGCTCGACTTGCCATATTGGTAATTGTTGAGTTGGAACCAGCTTCCACAAAAATCGCGTCTGGGTATTTTTTGGAAATCCTTTGGACGGCATGGTTGAAGAATACAGGGTTACGCATATGGTCAGCGACGTATTTTGGACCTAAGCGCTCAGAGTAAAATTCAGTTGCCCTTTCAAGATGAATTGAAGGCGAGTTGAATTGTAAGGTCTGCCCAACCTGTTCCAAGTCAGACATCAAGGGTTCAACCAATGTGGAGTGGAATGCATTGGTGACATTAAGTTTCTTGTACCGGAACTTAGAATAGGCTGGATTCTTGGAAATGGTATGGCTGGCGATATCGATTGCTCGAGACGATCCAGCAATAGTGAAGCTCCGTGGCCCATTGAGGCATGCAATTGTCGGCGCTCGTTGACCAGCTTCCTCACAAGGTGCGAGCGTTTCAGCTAGAAGTTTTTCGACTTCCCTTTGGTCGGCTTCAATGGCCATCATAGTTCCCTTTTCACTTCCCCAGCTCTCTTTAATGATAGTTGCACGGCCAACAATCATTTTTAATGTGTCTTCCAGAGAAAGAACACCGGAGATGCAAAGTGATGTTAATTCACCAAAGCTGTGCCCAACTATAGCAACGGGCTGAATGCCAGAATCTATCCAACTCCTGCCGCAAGCATACTGGATTGAGAATAGCATTGCCTGGAGTTTGACAATGTCATCGATTGGGCTCCGTTGAAAGATGCCAGGGTAGATACTTTCGCATCCCAAGGATCGACAGACATAGTCGCACTGGTCGAGATAAGTAGCTAGGACTTTCACGTTCTCATATACTTCTCGATTAAGTCCCACATAAGTAGAAATCTGTCCGCCAAAACAAAGAACAACTGACCGAGATTTCGGTTGTACAACAGTACCAGCGAAATTGATATCTCCGGTTTGGAACGCATCCAGCTTCTCGATTAACTGCTTCACTGACCTACTTGTGAACACCAATGCACGATCTAAAGTCGGGTTCGATTGCCGGCAGATATTGAAGGATAAATTCGCAATTGACAGGCTCTCAACACCTTTGGTTTCCAGTGATTTCACAAGCTTTGCGCAGTAGTCACGAATTGCTCGGTCGTCTTTTCCAAAGATATGGAAAGGGTAATCGACCACTGGGAGTTCATGTGAACTCGTCGCAGATTTGGGAAGACGAGGAGCTTCGGTGATGACAGCAGACGCATTGGAACCAGATGCACCGTAATTATTAATTAGAGCTGCTCTGTAGTCGTCTTCCCAAGTAGTCTGTTTGGTAATTATCTGCATCTTGTCATCCGGTGTCGCATTGAGATGAGGGTTAGGCGACTTGTAGCTTGCTTGTGGAGGAATTGTCTTATTTTGGATCATAAGTAGAGTCTTGATTAATGAAACGACACCCGACGATGCTTCCGTATGACCAACAAGACCCTTGACTGACCCAAGTGAAAGTGGTTTGGAGCGCAAATTGGCTCCTCCAAGAACCCTGCGGATGCTGTCATACTCTGCTGGGTCACCCACCTGAGTTCCAGTGCCATGAGCTTCCACGATGGAGATCTTCTTAGGGTCTATTTGAGCATTTTGAATGACATTTTCGAAGAGAGAAGACAACGAAGGAGCATTTGGCACAAAAATGGGAGTGCAATTTTGATTTTGAGACACTCCCGTGCTAGATATTGTACCAATGATCTGGTCCCCGTTGGCAATAGCTGCTGACATTTTCTTTAAGAAAACCACACCCACCGCCTCTCCTCGACAATAACCATCCGCATTTGCATCGAAAGGTTTACATTGTCCGGTAGGGCTTAGGAAGGATGCTGCAGCAAGATTTTGAAACCATAGAGCGCTATTCATCATGTTGACTCCACCTGCTAATGCAGCATTGCACTCACCACTCAGAATTGACTTGCAAGCGAGATGGACAGCAACTAAAGACGAAGAGCAGGCAGTGTCAAGTGTTAATCCTGTGCCTGTCCAACCAAAATAGTGGCTGACTTTTCCTGCAATGAAACTTTTCAAATTTCCCGTAGCGGTAAACGCATTAGGTTGATGGCATGCGACATTGTCTGCATAGTCAGCAGCGCATTCCCCAATGAAACAGCCAATTTTCTTGTCTTGGTCCGGAGAGGTAAAATATCCAGCCTGCTCCAGAGCCTGGTAGGCCACGTGAAGAAGTATCCTTTGCTGGGGATCAGTCGATGCGGCTTCTCTCGCACTCTTTTTGAAGAATTTCTGATCGAAAACGTCGTGATCATTGAGGAAATTGCCGTAGTACTTTCTCTTAGGGTCGACTTCACGCCACTCATTATCAAATTTAATGCGATTCCGCGGCACCTCTCTGTGCTGGGATTTTCCCGAACACAATAAGTCCCAAAATTCATCAGTGTCGTCAGCTCCTGCAACTTTTAGCGACATGCCAACAACAGCAATATCATCATCCTTGAATTGTTGAGGTAGAAGCGCGGAAGGTGGCTCAACAGAAACTGGCTGAATATCCGATGCGTGGATAACATTTTGCTTGATCTCGCGTAGGATTGATGGCGGAACACATGGCTCCGGACCGAATACAATCACAGCTATTCGTTGGTGCTTGACCTGTGACTCGGTAATTGATTTGAAGGTTGGATACCAGTTTGAATGCTGTAGAAGAATTGTCCTCAGGGCATGAGCATGAAGTTTTCCACTTGTGATCAAGCCGGTACCAGAGTTAGAACGTGTCTGGTAAATGAGATTGGAGGCATCCGGAAGGAGAAGTAATGGGCGAGATGATATGAAATTGATAATCGGGTCAACATCTTCCGCATACTGCTGATGATGAAATCTGCCAAATAATCCTATCTCATTTGCAACAATTCCAGCATCTCGAAGTCGTGCTTGCAAGGCATCTGTTGATTTGAACGCGGTGGTAATAGTGGCACGCTGGTCATCATATGACACCGAAACATACGCCTTCAATATGTAAGCAACTGTACTCTAATTTTGCAATGTAGTACCTACCTCAGGAAAGCGAGAAAGTATTTCCTTTAGCTCTTCAGCTGCCTTGGCGGAGTTCCAAGCCGTGGCCAAAGATTTGGATGGCCCCTCAGTATCAAGGACATCCTGTACATCCACAATTCCGCCGATGATCATGGCCAGACGTATCGCGTTCGCTCCATATCTCTCAATGTCTTTTGTGTCTTTGCTAATGGAGACGGCTAATGCACTCAAAAATCCGATGCAGAAGCCTAACGTCTCAATTGAAGATCCATAACTTGATTTTGCCGTGGCAGTATCGAGATACTTGAGATACTCTGTTATGTGTGTGATGACAACGAGAGGACTGAGAATGATGTTTGGAAGATGCTCGTTAGCACTCAACGTAAGATCTCCAGTCTTGGTCCATTCGATCAGATGTCGCAGTAGATCTTCGCCTAGAATCACGCCGTACTTCGGAAATTCTTTCACAAAATCTTTCCAGATACTCGGAAGATCTGTGATAGTATCCGCGATCCATGACAGCTGTTTTACTGTAAGTTGCAGTGAGCGGAAGTCGCTTCCACGGGCAGAGAGAGCCTGGGGCCCAAACACAAGTAGCCTTTTTGCTTCTTGTGCTATGGACCGCATGTTTGATAGTGTTAATGCTGTGTACTAAATCAATCTGGGTTGATATGCGGCGTATGGATATAATATGACGGATCATAAGTTATAGGACAGGTAAAAGATGACAAAGCAAACGTGACGCACTGTTGAGAGTGTGCAGGATAAAGTTGGTGCAATCTGAATTGACGGGTTTGTGGGTTTTTATCGCACTCTACCAACCTCCCAGCTCAAACTTGAGTTTACATGAAGCACATTTACATCCGAACAATCGCGCCTCAATGTCAAACCTATGATTGATAGCCAGTAAGACCACCAAACAGATACCCATGTAAGGTACGGCAATAATATTGTAAAGCTATATCCAATCATCCACTGCCCGGAAGTAGCTAGGAGGAAACTCCGATCAAAAGCCCTAAACAAATGGCCGGTCCACCGAATAAGTAAAACTCCGCATGGTGATAACCAGAATATCTTTCTACTACTGGAAAAATTGTTGCCAGGGCCATATATATAAGCTCAATATTTTATTATTCGGACACGGTAAATTTGAATCGTTGCGAAAATCGGCAATTACACATTACCATAGGCATAGAGAACAAAGCTTGTCCCTAGATACTTCGGAGATAGAAGTCAAGATAAATATCGTAGCTCAATTGGAAAAGAGCTTCTATGATTGGCAACTGCGAGGAGTTTCACTCATACTTTATACGAAAGGGACTCAAGCTGCATTTTGTGTTGTGGTATGGTCGTCAATCGTCGCTCCTTACAATGGCTTTCTTCCTGTCTTGGTTATCTAGCTTGTTTGTCTCCGCTATTTCGAGGATAGCATTATCCGCAAGATTTTATTTCCCTTTTATCACATTATTTTCATCGCGGAGAAGGGAAGCGTCTCTCTCGCAAAAGGATGTTTCTCTCGAGAATGGCTTTTTTACAGCACCAGCCATCGTTGAGAAACATCAAGACTGGCAAGACTTGGACCGTTACCAGGATGTTCTGGGGCAGCTACCAATGCTTCAAGTTTATGCCCACATTCTCTATCTTTTCCCACTGCCTGAGAATGTCCGGCGTAAAGCAGTATTGAGTGATCTTTCGAGGGCAGTTGCTAGCGTTCGAAAGGCGGTGCCATGGATGGGAGCGAAAGTCATCAACGAAGGCAGATCGGAAACTAGCTCAGGTCTTTACAAAGTGACTGAGTGTGATTCTCCTCTTCATGAAATTGATGTCAGAGACTTAGCCGGTGATGAGACTTGTCCATCATACGAAGAACTCAAGAAACGTAAAGCTCCTATTTCATTATTGGATGCAAGGAAATTCACGTCAGTACCTGGATTTCCGATACGATTTGAAGATTCTGAGAAGGATCCTTCACGAGTACTCCGCCTGAATGCCACCTTCATCAAAGGCGGGCTGGTAATCGATTTCCTGATTCACCATAACACCGCTGATGCGGGTGGGCATTTCGGTTCCATCAAAATGATCGCAATGGCCATGCGCGGAGAAAAATTTCCTGCCAGGCTACTGGAACAAGCAAACCTGGACCGAAGAAACCTGTTTCCATTGTTGGGCCCCCATGAGCCAATGATGGACCATAGCAGTCATGTTAGAACACCAATTACCTCCGCTGCGCCTCTAGTTACATCTGATCCAAATTCCGCGAAGTACCATGTGATACGTTTCAGTGCAGAAAAACTCAATATGTTGAAAGATATAGCGAGCGAGAATCTAGATCGTGATGTACCTTTCATTTCTACTGATGATGCATTAAGCGCCCACTGCTGGAAGCACTTTACCCTCGCGCGTGCGCATAAGTTTGGACCTCAGACAAAGTCCCGCTTTGCTAGAGCAGTGGATGGTCGCTCAGCATTAGGTATATCGAAGGATTACATGGGCGACGTGATTCATAACGTTTCCACATTCCTCACTTTCGAGCAACTGACTACCTGGCCTCTTTCGCGTATTGCCTCGCATTTACGAAGACATCTGAATGCCAAGAATACAGCTTATGACATTCGAAGTTTTGCAACTTTTATCGCCAATACGCCTGACAAATCCACAATCACGTATGGTGGGCAGTTCAATCCAGATACTGATGTTGGCTGTTCCAGTGTACGCGGCTTGGGGAAGGTCTTATTTCCCAGTTTTGGCATCCTAGGCCAACCAGAGTTTGTTAGGAGGCCTAAGCCAGGAGTTGCATTTCCAGGACTACTTGTATTTTTCCCAGGCAGTCCAAGTGGCGATTGTGATGTGTGGGTGTGTCTTGCTGAGGATGAGATCAAGACACTAACGGAGAATGATAGGGAGTGGAGAAAATGGGCCGAGTATATTGGTTAATCTTACCTTAATCTTGGTAGTTGATTATATGTATGTTTTGCTTAATTCGACTATATCTAATTCATATTGGTTTCTTCGGCGGGGATGATGAAGTCCTGTTGCCTAAATCCACGAGTATCCGACCATAATATCGTCGAAGCTTGATCAAGGCCTACCACTAGTTTGAACCCGGATTAGTTATTTAACTAGCAATGTCACTCTCGATGCGTTCAAGAGTCTCTCTCGGACGGGATCGTTTTTATTATCCATCTATCATATATGCTCTGGATAGAGCTATTTTTCTCTTTATCTGCGTCAGACGCAATCGATGACCGCGTATCATGTATATGTACTTAATCTGAACACTCTTTTACATTGATGATAAATTATCTTCAATACAGTTTGTACTCACTCTCGAGCCTCGAAAAGTAAAATAGTCACTGCCTTTCATTCTGCGTTCGGTGTACTAGACTAACATTATCGGACTTTCTATTATGTCGTCCAATGCTGTTTACAACCGTCACTCGCATTCTGTTACAGAACAAATCGGTATTCTAGACGGTTATGCCAATCAAACCGGGTTATTGTAAATCATATGATATTCCCAGTCGGCTATCGAAAGTATGGCGATTCACCGATCTCAGTTCTGGCGTCGGATGCCTTTCTAATATATGTGTATGTTACTTATGCATCATCTAGGGCTAAAGACTGTTCTTGAAAATATTGTCTTCATTGGTTATATTCGTACGCTGAAAAATCATGTCGTGGAAATCAAGTGCAGATGGCACATGGCGTAAAGAGCTCGGCGGCGTTGAGAAAATCTATCGTTTCCAGTCCACCATCTTTCGGGGGACCGGACGTGAACACTGGGGACTTTATACAGTCTGTCAAGTCAAATTAGCTGCAATTTTGAACTCAGATGACATAATTGCTGCGCTTTGTAATGCCTGGAAAGCGTTACGATTTGAGTTTCCTGCCCTAACTCTCATCGTTGATGGGTATGAAGCCGTTTACACCGATGTTGTGGAAGAAGACGGTATTGGAGTCCAGAGCGCTGTTGAAGATTGGGCCAAGAAAACGTTCCTAGTAGAGCCTCTCTTGACCATGGAAGAGCTACTTGCCGATTACAAGTTGCACGATTTGCCAGAATTGATTTGGCTGCCTGCAACATCACAGATCGTCTTACGGGTTTCACATTGGCGTGTTGACGGTATCGGTACCTGTATGCTACTTAACCGACTGTTTAATTTGATTTCTACCAAGGCTGCGGATGTCATCCCAGGAGACTGGAGTATCGAAAAGGACTTAGCCAAAATCTCCCCTAGCCTAGAGGATGCAGCTGGCTCACCCATGGCCAGCAATCAAGAAATAGAGAACACGGCAAGAGAAATAAGTACAACGTTTCGCGAGAAGGCACTACAGTCAATCGGCTTGCCGTATAACGGAGACCGCACAACACCTCCTGGCCAGGCCGCAGTGCAAGCGACTACATTCACTACCGAGACCTCAAAAGCTCTTGTTGCTGAATGCAAAGCACGCAAAATCAGTGTAACCGCAGCAATCCACGCGGCTCTCGCAGCAGCTACGTTCGAGTTGACTTCTGCAAAAGGCGTTGATGAGTACGTTACGATTATGGCAGTGAGCTATCGGCCGTACCTTAAAGAACCTTACAACTCGGAAGCACATGCATGCCAGACATATGTTTCAAGTATTGCGCCCACGGTCTCGAAGAATGCCAGCTTCGATCAACAAACTACCACTTTGACCGAATTATTTAAGAATTGGAATTGTGAAAAAATGTCTCACGCATTGCGAGAACTGTATCACGGTGCTTCTCAGGCACTCCTTTCACCACCACCATGTTCAGCTGGGCCTCTACCAAATCCTCCGAGTGGTATAACGCACAGCAATCTGGGAGTTATCGACAATTTTATCAAATGTCGTTACTACGATAATAAAGAGTCCGAACTATTGGAGAAAACTCCCATCGTTGAGGTAAACCGTTTCCGATTCGGCGTCAGCATCTTGACACGACAGATGCTGCTGTATCCTTGGACTTTCCGCGGGCAGCTTAATCTGTCAATTAACTACAACGATGCCTATTACGATGCCGACACACCTCATAAGGTACTTGATTTGGTTCAGCAGAAGTTGGAGGAAGAGCTTCACTTGAAGTTGGAAAGGTGCTTTTAGCATTCTCACAGTGTATTGAGTTCTAGAGTTAACGTCTTAGGGAATATAATGATCGTTGCAGACTATGTATTTTGGAAAAAAATATCGATTATAATACCATAGATACCATTGGAAGTTGATAGTGGAGCGTGCTGTAAATTTTCTCAATAATCTTCATATGCCACTTCCGCCTTACATACTGATGTCGTGATGCCGATTTGGAATCTTGAGCAGAGCAAATTAATGGCAGAATGAAACATTCATACTAATTTGAGTAGGGCTGTTGACGATAGTGCCGATATGACGATATCGTATCGTCTGATGATATCGACGATACGATATCATCAAACTTTTGACAATATCGTCAATCGGCAATAATTACTTCGTCGAATATACGACTCTTTAAGTAGCATCTCTACCAATACCACTGCCTTGCTAATACAACGTTAAAATGTTCGCAAATTACTATACCTATACATGCACATCATGTATAACCAGGCTGAAACGAAGATTATCTGCACGGAGTGCAATATGCTGAAGTACCAACGCTGCCCTTGACCACTACCGCTTAAACTCATCACGAATCAACATCAGCATTCTTATAGTATCTCCCTTCAGCTAATGCCTCCGAATACCTAAGAGACCCCTTACTGCGCTAAAGACCCTCTCAACAGCAACTTTAGAGGTAAGTATTGCCAGGTAGTCCCTAGCTACTGCTGCTATCTGCCGATCCTCATCCTTGTGTATTTGCCACCAAGTGCATAGCTAATTGTCGCCTGTGGTATTTATAATGCCGACTGGAGGAGTCTCGGAGTACCTGGTGTAAACTTCGATTGCTGATAGTTGATAGTTGATTGTGAACAAAGATAATTTTGGGATCTTGGTAAAGTGAGGGACCAGGTAACACATACAATAGTAATGGTATCTGCTCAACAAAAACACCAAGTGCAAGAAACAAGGCAAGAGAGATCTAATCTACTTCGAATTACATCAGACGTGATGAGCGAGTCACGTGTCCAACAAAGAGACTCAGCGTATGTAGCAGCGGCAGATAGTACTTACTCCTGAAAGACAAAGTTTGTTACCATTTAATAGAGTCCTGATTATTAATAAGACTAATGGCTATGTGGGCCACTGTCAACTCTCATAGGCCACTTTGAGCCTCGGTGATGTGATGATTTTGGCGATATTGACGATATCGGCATATTCATGTTTAGACGATGATGATAGACGATATAGAAAAATAATGCCGATATTGTATAGTCAACAGCTCTAAGTTTGTGAAATAAGCTCACAAGAAATAATGTCTATTAGTCGTTGCAAACAGTATGTTTAAATACATGTTGAGAGAGAGTTGGCTACTCTCGCCGAAAGATTGAGAAGATCATCCGAAAGGTCGTATGTAATTATTAAGTAGATAATTCTTGCTCCAAATAAATTTTACAAAGTAACCACAAGTTTGGTGGCTGACAAACCCCCGGCCTTGAGAGTATCGAGTCCCTGCTGAATGCTCTCCAAGCCTTGGCCAACGATTTGTGGTTCAGGGGCCGTCCTATAGTTCCTGTTCACAAGACCTTTGACCACAAAGTCATTGAAAATGTGAGCACCAAGGGGAGAATTCTTCAGAGCACTTCCGAAGACCATCTTCGAGGTAACACCTTCTGGGAGATCTGACGGGGGCATGTTGGATGCGGCAACATGCTTGCTCCCTTCAGTAATCTGGCTGATAATATCACTAACAGGCTTGGCCGCAGTGAATCCAATGGCGTAGGCTCCAGCGCTCTTCTTGCCCTTGAAGATCTCGACGATGTCAGAAACGACGGTGGGTCTGTTATAGTCAAAGGCATATTCGGCACCCAAGCTCTTGACGAAATCAAAGTTCTTTGGTGAGCACGTCGTGATAACGTGGTATCCAGCTGCCACCGCCAGTTGAATAGCGTTGCTACCAACACTTGATGCACCGCTCCACACCAGGACCCATTCATTTTTGGTAGGCTTTGCAGGGGAGGTGGGAAGATCCAGCTTGAGCTGGTCATCGGTGAAAAGACCACTAGCGGCTGTTGCTACACCGAGAGGGATAACTGCGGCCTTCTCATAGGACACATTGTCAGGGATATGTGCAGTCAGGTCTCCACGAAGTACAACGTATTCTTGGAAAGCGCCATCAGACGGACGATTGCTCTCCAGGCCGTTCCCAAGACCAACCACTCTGTCGCCGATTTTGTACTTGCCAGCAGCTTGTGAGCCAATCTCGACCACTTCTCCCGCTACATCAGTTCCGAAGACGGTTGGGTATTTCGTCCAGGGGAATAGTCTGGAACCCATAGCCTGGCGGGCAAAGTCAACGGGATTGAGTGCGATGGCGTGCACCTTGACAACAATTTCATTATCGACGGGATGGGTGTATTCGGCCTCTTTGACTTCGAGAGGATAGGCCTTTTCAGCAGTAGTCCAAGCAGCTCTGTTTGTAGGAGCCATATCTGTTTGTTCTTGGTATTGATTAACCGTTTGGAAAGTCGCTGGTGTGAAGTAACTTAAGATAACTGATCAGTTTATGTAGGTTGTATGTGAAGGGGTGGAAATAAGAGATAGACAGCTGGCAGAGGAGCATGAATAAATAAATGATAGCAATTGACCATTACTGCAGCGAACAAAGAGATTGACTTGGCCGAATGGCAAATGGAGTCATGTTTTCCCGAATAGGCAGGACACAATTTGTCGCCATTCGGATTCGGAGAAAGGCTGGCACTATAGGTAGAGAAGTAGATGGAAAAGCAGAGAAGACTTACTGGCTGCCGTCTGTCGCCTATTACCTCCAGAATAACATCTACAGAGTAGACCTAGAATGATCATCAATAGGGATGATTGATCAACGAATCCATAGCCACCAATGATTACGCACCAAACAGGGGAAATATGCCCCGATTTTCCAAATTCCCGAGTCCGCTAAACTTCGGCTCCACTGTGCAATTACAGCAGAAAGCCCGAGCGAGGTCCAATCATATTCTGGATATTTTCGTTATACAAAACACTAGGGCGAGATTTTTTTGCAAAATTCTATCAAATAGAGTAGTTCGCAGCGAATATATCGACCACTTGGTGATCTTACTAATGCCGTGTCTCTCGTATTAAAGAGGTTTCTTCATGTAAAGGCGAAGCGGCAATGATTTCATTATCTCATGTTCACATTATTAGTCATTTAACCTGTATCTTGGAATGGGGTATATCCATCAGTATGTAGATAACAGTTAGTATCTCAGGGATCGGAATACGTACTTCCAATGAATAATATGAAGAATGGAGAGCTCTCTCTATTTGACATGTCATTGGATGACTAACTAGTTAGTGGGCTACATACTACGGGCTTGTACTTTTCAGCTAATCCTATGATTCCTCGGTGCATTCTCCTGTCCAGTATAATTGATTTCCAAGGGATCTCACATCGACTATGATCGGCGGGACTATTTGATTCTACTAGAGTTAACTATGAAACATGAACAAATTCAACAGTCTAAATTAAGGTGCAGCCCTGTAGTCCCTCACAATTCGACATCCATGTATGGGCCATTGTCGATCATGCGGACCGTGATGAAAACGGGGAACGACGGTAGACAAGTGGCAAGCCAAAAACCGCTCCTAAGAAGAGAATGTCGGACATAGCCAAGCAAATTTTCCGTGACGCTTCGATCATCGAAGAACAGGGCGTTGCTGGTCGGCAATGGGAAAATAAGCTCCTTTTCCGAGTAAGCACGTGATACCCGTAGCCCTAATTCGAATACTAAACAGCGAAACTACAGAGAAGAGCCAACAAAGAACAGAGTTGTGGTTTCGATTAAGGATGTGAAAAATTGCTCTTAGGTATGCCTAGATTGTCTTTAAATGAGCCTTACTGCAACATAGAGTGTGATGTTCTTATTGTAGCTTCATACCGAGACTTCGAGTAAGCGTGAAGTCCATAACTATGTAATGAGCTAGATATTTATCTGTGTACTTGCCCTTAGGGACAGTTTCTAGACCTCTAATAAGTCACGACTCATCACGGCTCATCACGGATTGGAAGAAACAAATCGGCTACAATAATCGGAGATTGTACTAGTTTACAGCAAATTAATACGAATTAGCTGGCGATAGAATAACAATACCTGGGTAATAATTAATCAAGAAAAAGATTGACCGGCCCATATCAATATCCACCAGAACTACCAGTAGTTTCTTTAGACCAGAGTTCTACAGTTCTTTAAACCACTTTTTATTCTCAAGATTGTGGTAATCTCCTCTTCATTCACAATGTCTTGGACCAAAATATCCAGTAATCATTACCGACGTCCCATGGGTGAAAATGAACGGCTCATCAAATTCATCGGAGACCGCGCTCATTCCGCAGGCCGTGAACAATGGTCGGTCTCGACAACTGCCACATTTATCCCGTCCGACAATCGATCAGCAAAAGAGTGGGCGACGCCGACGCTTCGCGATGCCTGGAAGCTGTTGCGTTTTCGCCATCCTAGCATAGCATCAACTCCCAGTGTGGATGGCGATTACTTGGAATATATAGTTCCAAAGGAGGACGATTTGGAAGACTGGATAAAGGAGACATATATTGTGGTTAAGACCAAGAATTCTGAGGATGTGATTGCGGAAATGAAACCCGGCCCTTTTATGACACTCCATTTCTTGCCTCATAATTGGGAAATCGTCTTACATACTTCTCACTGGCGCACGGATGGTTATGGTGCATTTCAACTTCTGAACGCGCTTTTGGAAGCGGTGAAGATCGTTATCGACGACGGACTGCCAGCTCTTCCCTGGGGTGAGGAGGTCACTCGTCTGGTGCCCAGTGTAGAGACCGCTTTGGCCTTACCTGACTGTGGGATTCCTGCAACGACCGCTAGTGCGATAAAATATGCCAATACGCAAGTCTTCCTTAAAGACAGTGTTGGAGTAACTTACAATGGCGAGTCAATGACCAGACCAGGTGGAACTCGGGCTGTGAGAATGCAGCTAAGTACTGAAAAAACTCAGTCAATTCAGCGCGCTACCAACGAAAGAAAAATTGACATGTATGCAGCTATTCATGCTGCTTTGGCAAAAGTTAATCTGACATATGCAAAACCTACGACTTCTGTAACTTTAGAAAATGAAAAAGAATACGCAAGCACGATAAGGTTGAGCTTGAGACCTCTTCTCATCAGCCCATTCACAGAAAATCCTTCAGTTGCTGCTGGTCTGTATACCGGAGGATATATCTTCAAGGTTACACTCAACGATCACTTCCTCAAGATCGCTCGGCAATATCAGGATCAATACGAAAACGGTGCGAGCTCAGAATTTGTACAATCACGCCGCCAATTTGCCGCCATGGCCTTGAGTGGTCTTCAAAAGGGCTTATTGCTTTCTAATCCCCCTCCAAGCAACATTGATATCTCATTTGTTGTTGGTGTAGATGAAATGGTGAAATCAGGTTTCGATACGAAGCAAGGTCGGTTGGAGGTATCGCGAGTGGGACTTGGAGTCGAGACATTGACCCGGCAGCCGTGTTTATTCTTTTGGCTATTCCGGGGTCAACTCGATCTGAGCTTAGTCTATAATGAAGCATATCAAGATGCAGAGCAGGTACACAAAATGCTTAACGGCGTGGTGGAGGTATTGGAGCGTGAGCTGCAGATAGCTTAGTAGTAATCAGTGTCAGATCATGGAAGTACTTACATCGGTATCATTACCTAAAGATAATCGCTAAAATATATTTCCTTATTGGTTATCCTATTGCAATGGGTGTATAAATCGAATTTGCTAGGATACATTCAACACTGATGGAGACTGACGTATTAATTCTTGTACCCTCACAATCAGCGTAAGTGGTCATCCAAGAGATCAGCCCCTTCGATATACAAATTAACCTCTGAGGTGCAAGTGCTTGATTCTTACAGACATTACGATAAAGAAAATGAATATTTTCCTCACCGGAAATGCAATTGCATACTACTTGACATATCTTCACTACAGCAGAATTCGTGGACACCTGTTGCAGCCTCGTTCTCGTCGAAGAAGTAATATAAAAAGTAACTCCATACCTAGGTAAGATACGGGGAGCTCTGCCTATAGAGACCTTTACCGATTTTCGGAAGTCCTTAAGAAGGACATCATGAGTCCTAAGCATACCCACAACAATTCCCATTTTTTGAGAAGGATTCATAGATACCTATCATTCTCTTAACTGTCCCAAAATGGGCTGAGTTCAGGGAGGATCATAACCATTGTTGACCAGATTGTAAATGGTTACGGAGTTAATTTTATGCCCAATACACCCGATGAGCCGATGATGCCGGACTTACGGATACAATGAACAATCATTCTCTCATTGAGGATGTTTCCAGGGGATAGAAGGTATGAAGCCTATTAATTTGTAAAAAAGAAAAACAAAACTATCGGAGTTTCCACTTCCCACGCATGTTCCTCTGGTCCGGATTAACGCGTCTTTAGCTATAGCGTTCTCACAACAGCATCAAGTCATACCATTATCCCGGTAGCAATATTGGTTGCCGACTGAAGATCGTCCTTCCAATTTGTATAATGGACTTGAGTCCAAATATATACATATAGAACATTCACAGCAACCTTGGAAGTTCAGAGCAATACTACATAGGTAGAGTCTGGTCGCTACGATCATTATAATAGGTCACATCAAGTAGCCAGGACAGTCATTCCTTTCTTCAGTCTAATACCACATGCGCAACTTTTATACTGTTTTCGCTTATTGTTCAGTCTTCATTGTTCTGTCTCCCCTCTCATTACTTGTTCTTTAGCATAATGGGCGACCGTAACTCCTCAGATATCATGAGGCCCTCGGCGGCATTCTTTTGCCCACAAAACAAACCACCGAAACCAAGTTACCTAGACCTCATACGTCGCTACCTACGTAATAATGCTACTCTTCAGCCATTCCGAGCGGCTATACTTGACTCACTCTTCACAACATGGAAGATTCTCGGAGAAGCCAACCCGGGAATTGCAGCATTGACACAAGGGCCTCGATATATACAACATTTCCACGACTGGATAGCAGCGACAGAGTCGCCCCTAACATCAAATGAGCTGCAATGGACTGAAATAATGTCCGGAATTATCTCCCTACCCCTCTTAACCGTCATGCAAATTGTCCAATACTTTCAATATTTGGAAACTCGACAGATCAACCATGAACAGTTTGTTCAAGAGATTAGGATAGGCGGGGCCCAAGGCTACTGTGGTGGATTGTTGCCTGCAGCAGCAATAGCAGCTTCACGAAACGAAGAAGAAGTGGTCAAGAACGCATGCATTGCACTAAGACTGGCTCTTGCAATAGGTGCCTACGGGGAATTGGGGGATGATGAGAATATTACTGGTCCAACAACGGTGGTATTGCGAACGAAGTATTCAGAGCAGGCAGAGGAGATTGTGTCCAGGTTCCCAGGAGTAAGTGGAGTGCAGTCCTTCATATTTCCACATCGTTTTAACTCATACTAACACATTGATCCCTGTGACAGACGTATGTATCCGCAATAACAGACCCAGAGACAATAAGCATCGTTGGGCCTGTCAACGTTGTAGAAGAACTTCGAGTCTATGCCGAAGGTCAAGGCATTAAATCCACGAAGTTGCATTTGAGAGGCAAAGTTCACAATCCTGAGAATGAGGATTTGTGTAAAGAGCTCAGTAGCTTATGCCAGAAGCACGCCGATCTTTTAATGCTTCCTACCACAGCTTCCTTACAATGCTCGTTACGATCAAACAAGACTGGAAAGGAATTGAGTAACGGAGATGTAACCGCCTTTCTATCAGAAGAGGTGCAGGAAAGTACTCTGGCAAGCAAATGTGAATGGTATAACCTTCTCAATGGAATAGCAGAGGATCTCGACAAGGCCAGCAAAACGGAAAAGGAGCACACATTCGCACTTTTCGGTACTGGAAGAAAGAACTGTGTGCCTACTACGCCATTTGAAGAGAAGAACATCCGTATTTCAAAACTGGACGTGATGATATATGTCGAGAAACTGGAAATCCCAAGGGATGGACGGACACTAAACCAATATCCCGAAAATGCCATTGCTATAGTCGGCGCTGGCTGCCGATTACCAGGCGCCAATTCCATCGACGAGCTATGGGAAATCCTCAGTTCTGGGGCTTCTCGAGTTGAAAAATTGCGCGCGTCACGATTCGACCTCTCAACGATATCCCGTGGTACAGTCGGACCAGATGCAAAAGAGGTAAATAAGCACGAACTTTACGGCAACTTTATCGATGACGTTGAATCTTTTGATAGCAACTTCTTTGGGATCAGTCCTCGTGAAGCAATGTATATGGATCCGCAGCAACGTCTCCTGCTCGAGACTGCGTACGAGGCGTTAGATGGCAGTGGATACTTGCGAAATCACCGACGTGAGGACTTTGACAACGTTGGTTGCTTCATTGGCGCAAGCTATACTGAATACCTTGAAAACACCAGTTCTTATAATCCCACCGCATACACCGCTACCGGAACCATTCGGGCATTCCAGAGCGGGCGGATTAGTTATCACTTTGGTTGGAGTGGTCCATCTGAAGTGATCGATACAGCTTGCTCTGCATCTCTTGTTGCCGTGAATCGGGCATGCAAGGCTATTCAGTCAGGAGAATGCCCGATGGCTCTAGCTGGTGGGGTGAATATCATTACCGGCGTTAACAACTATTTCGACCTGGGAAAAGCGGGCTTCTTGAGCGCTACGGGCCAATGCAAGCCATTTGACGAAGCCGCAGACGGTTATTGCCGTGCCGATGGGGTCGGCCTGGTCGCACTGAAATCGTTACGCCAGGCTATGGCCGACGAAAATGATGTTCTAGGTGTCATTATGGGAGTTGGGACGAACCAAGGTGGCCTCTCCCCAGCAATCACCGTCCCCTACTACCGTGCTCAAATCCGGTTATTCAAGAATGTTCTTCAGCAATCCGGTCTCAAATCTGAACAAATTTCCTACATTGAAGCGCATGGTACTGGCACCCAAGTTGGTGATCCCATAGAAATCTCCAGTGTTCGTGAAGTCTTTGGGAATCCCGAGAGGACTGAGTTCGTCAACCTTGGGTCATTAAAAGCAAATGTCGGACACAGTGAGACGGCTGCTGGAATCGGTAGTCTGATGAAAGTTCTCGCGATGCTTAAGAATGGGAAGATTCCTCCGTTGGCAGGGTTCAAGTCATTGAACCCAAAAATTCCTGCTCTCGAGCCAGATTACCTTTGCATACCAACGGAACTTCAGGATTGGGATGTTTCGTTCAGGGTTGCATGTGTTAACAGTTACGGAGCCGCGGGTAGCAACTCGGCGTTAATATGTGGCGAGGCTCCAAAAGTAGCATCCATGTCCAGTGTTTCGTCCACGGATCAAAAGGTGCTTGAAGTTAGTCATTTGCAGTACCCAATACTCCTGAGTGGTGCAAATAATCCTAGTCTGAAGGCAAACGCTGCTAAGTTAGCATCTTACATTCGCAGCTATAGCAATGCGGCGCAACTGAGCATTTCAGATATTGCTTTCACATTGTACCATCGCCGTAAACATCACAAAGTGCAATGGACTGGCCTTGCACATGACCTGGAATCACTTTGTCAGTCATTAGACAAGATCGAGCAAGGCATCGAAGTGCCTGTCTCTCCCAAAGCCGTGGTCCTGGCTTTCTCGGGCCAGAGCAAGCAAACCATTGGCCTGAACCCTTCGTGGTATGTCAGTTTCCCACGTCTGCGGTATTACATCGACCTGTGCAACGACACCATCATGCGATTGGGATACTCTGCGATTTTTCCTGCAGTCTTTGCTACCGATCCCGTCGAAGATGTGGTTGCACTACAGTGTGGAACTTTCGCAGTACAATATGCATGTGCCAAATGCTGGATTGACGCGAAACTGGATGTTAAGGCGGCCGTCGGCCACAGTTTTGGTGAACTAACAGCAATGGCTGTTACTGGAGTTTTATCTTTAGAGGATGCTCTAAATTTAGTCGCCACGCGAGCATCTCTGATGCAGAGGAAATGGGGCGCAGAACGAGGGACTATGCTCGCCGTTGAGGCAAACTTGGACACAACACGTCAGATTATTTCTGCTGTAAGCGAGAGCATTGAGATTGCCTGTTACAACGGTCAGAAGAGTCACGTACTTGTTGGAACAGAAACGGACATTGGCCAAGTGGAACGCTTCGTTGCTACTGACAACAAGTACAAGGGAACCCGTTGTACACGCGTCAAGACGAGTCATGGCTTCCATTCTGTCTTTACTGAACCTCTTCTACAGGATCTTGATGAAGTAGCGCAAAGACTTCGATTTGAAGGACCTTCCTTTCCACTGGAGTCGTGCATAGAAAAGCCGATTTGTGAGGGTGATCAATTGATACAACCCAGCCGGATCGTTCAGCATACCCGCACGCCGGTGTACTTTGGCGCTGCGGTGTCAAGACTGGAGGAACGTCTTGGTTCATGTATATGGCTTGAGGCAGGTAGCGACTCACCGATTATTCCTATGATAAGGAGGGCTACACAAGACCCATCTAAGCACACTTTCCTTGGGCTTAGAACTAAAGACTTTGCTCGTCCAATTGATGTCATCTCACAGGCAAGCATGACTCTTTGGCAGGAAGGAATATCAGCGTCTTGCTTTGAAGGATTCTACTCTTCCATGTCAGAAGGGATTACACTTGATATATTCAAACACATTTGGCTTCCTCCGTATCAATTCCAACGTACTCGGCATTGGCTGCAGTACATGGATGCAGTGACGGAAGAGCGCAGGGCATTCGATGAAAAGCTTCATTCCATTAGTCGAGTGGGAAGTTTGACCAATCAAACACCAATGCCTTCCCAGAAGCTAGTCACAGCTCGGAGTCGGGACTCCACATCTTGGTCGTCACTTGAATTTGTCATCCATAGTGAAACTAGTCGATTCACGGATATCGTATCTGCCCATGCAGTTCGTGACCAACCTCTTTGTCCGGCGTCAATGTACATGGAATGTGTAGTCATGGCGGCACAGATGGCTGAGCCCAGCATTTCAGTAAAATCCCTTTCCTTCCAAAACCTTTCGTTCCAGGGTGCACTAGGTATCAACTACAACCGAGATGTGTCTCTACTGTTGGAGGGCGATGGCGAATACCTTGCCTGGAATTTTACAGTTGGTAGTACAGTCAAGGACAGCAAGGGAAGACTGACCACCCATGCAAAGGGCAAATTTAGTGTCACCTCTCATATTGATTTCCAGGTCTATGAGCGAATGCTCGCAGATCGGATGAACGAAATTCTCGTTCATCCCCAGTCAGAGAGACTCATGGCCGGCCGAGCATACACTCTATTTTCTCGGGTGGTTAACTACGCAGAAACATTGCGTGGTATCTCGGAAATCACGATTCTGAACAACCGCCATGCAGTGGCTGAGGTGTGCCGCCCGAAGGTGTCTGTAAGTTCAAGCGAGAGTACAGCTGTGAGTGTTTGTGACACAGTCACATTGGATACATTTATTCAAGTTGTCGGGCTTTTGATCAACAGCAGTGAAACTTGTCCTGTCGATGAAGTATTCATTGCCACTGGGATTGACAATATCATTATGCAAGACTGTGATTTCACCAACCTGCAACACGACACATGGAAAGTCTATGCCATGGCCACCACACGCAGTGAATCACATGTTGCTGGCGACATGTTCGTTTTTACCAAGGACGGGAAACTGATTTTCACGGGTTCGGGCGTTCAATTCAGTCGTTTTCCGATCTCGAAACTCGAGAAGGTATTAGAAGGGATCGGAATGAACAATGGGTCGAAGTCACCAATTAGTAACAATAACATTGGAAGGGGACTCCCCTCACCACCAGCCTCTCCTGTTCATGTTCACATGAACGAGGATTTTAAAACCATCAAAGATAGACATGGTCTGAGAGTCAGCACAACCGTGGACACTGATGAGCAGACTTTGGTGGGGCAGTATAGTGTTTCAAGGCGACCGTCTGCTTTGAAGTCAGCCATGGTCAAAAATGATAGTAGATTTGGCACTCTTGGCTTGGATTCAATGTCGAAGCTCGAATTTGTGAACCAACTACGTGCCCAACTAGGCGACGAGATATCTCCGACACAGGACCTTTCCCAGGTTGCAGACCTTTACAACAAACTATTTGCACACAATTCAACGACCAATACTAAATCTGTGCATATTGATCATGTCCATGAAATCGAACTTGATGTTCCACTGTCTCCTACAGCGGTGAATTCTCCTGCCACCGCAGGAGATTCTCAGTCCAAACTTAGAATCAGACAACGAATCCTTGAACTGATTACAGAGAACTCTGGGGAGTCTGTAACTAATATCAAAGATGAGGTGAGCTTACAGGATATTGGGATTGACTCGCTATCTGTCATTGAACTTAAGGAGTCCTTTGAAGATGTGTTTGGGCTTCAGTTTGGTGACTGGGATTTTGGGTTACACCTGACAGTTAGAGAGCTACTCGATTATGTCGTGGTATCTGGAAATGTGTAGTTGCATTATTTCTAATGAACATAATATGTACGTTCGCTTGATTCTTCATCACATATCACAGTTAGAAGGAACAATTAATAGTCATCTCGAAACACAAAAGCATTTCAATACAGAACATTTAATCTTGATGAAATGGCTCAATATCAAGTAAATCATAACAAAAAATTTGAGCCTATGGAACTTCCATTGAAGGATTTGCGTCTCTTCAACGTATTGTTAAGAGCAGCAGTCCATGAATGATACGATCATCTAGTAGTTTGGTCGGCTCCAGGTTCTAATCTCTCAATCTATGATCGTGAAAACCAAATAAATGATATAGTAAATTTTTGTCTAAGTTTCTAGGTTACCAACATGCCTGAAACCAATAACTGATTTCCCAGAATGTGGCAAAATTTGATGTCATTTATGTTAGCTCATTGTTTGGCTTCCATTCAACCTCTTTTCGTGCTTTTCGTAAAGGCTCAGTTGACAGCCCTCTACTCCTTACCAATACGGTGATTTTCAGCTAGCTCTATTATTTCTAGCATAATGAAGAGGCAGGATATGTGGTGTCTTCTTCAGTCCACGGCGTCGGACTTTGTCATCGGACTTTGTTGTCTCGTCATGTCCGAGATGCCCTAATTATCGTAACCATAACTACGGTCAACTAACACCTACTCGATAAGAACCAAGTATCTATGGAGCTCACAGGGTTTTCCCATTATTGTAATTGGTATACTTATAATTTACTGCAACCCCGAAACTATGTTTCATCTATATAGTGAGCACACTCCTACAATCGGGCTTGTGCAACCTATCCGTAGGTAGTGAGGTTCTGTTATATAAGTTCGGTGCCTATTATCCATTTTAAAACAAAAGGTTATTCCGTTTGCACGTATATAATTTACTGTCATATCAATATAGTTCTATAGCTTTATAAGCCGATGCTTCAGGTAGCTATTTCCCGACCCCGGAACCTCTAGCAATGACCATCTGCATTGGCTTCAGGATTGAAAGTTGATTCCAATTTGTACCGCAATGGGTTCTATTTCTCCTAAAAGAACAGTCTTTCTCACTGGTGCGTTAAAGTTCGGTGCTTTCTTGGAACTTTTTGATGGCTGGGCAATGCCTGGCTAATCCTAAAAAGGGGGAAGCGGTTTCATTGGGTCTCATATTCTCGACCAGCTTCTGTGCACTGGGTATGTCAACCCATCAACTACATGGTTTCGCATTACAATACTAATTGAATCAGCCCTAACTAGATACCAGGTAATCGTCTCCGTTCGCTCTACCGCAAAGGGAGACAGTATCATTTCTGCATTACCTCCGGAATTCAATTCATATCTATTATGCATATGGGATACATACAACTCAGAAAGCTAAGGAAGACAGGCCATCAAACAAAACCCTTCTATTGATTACGTGATTCATACCGCTTCTCCGTATCATTTCAATTTTGATAATCCTGTCAGGGATTTCCTGGACCCAGCAATCAAAGGAATAACCGGTATTTTACATTCCATCAAAAGATATGCATCAACGAGCGTCAAGAGAGTTGTGCTGTTGTCGAGCACGGCTACTATCATAGACCCACCGAATCACCCTGAAGTGTATACCGAGGAAATATATGGTGAGACTACTTGGGAGCAAGCAATTCGGCACATTCACATATCGTGCCAGTAAGGTCTGTATTTATGTTTAACAAGATGCCGCGAACAGTTGTCTCATGAGTATTTTGTACAGATTTACGCGGAGCGAGCAGCCTTTGATTTTATCGAGAAAGAGAAACCCTCATTTGACCTAGTAACCATCAACCCAAGTCTTGTTTTTACAAACGCGATAATAAAAGTATTTCCATTGTAACAAGTAGATGTTGATGAGTAGATTTGATCACTATTTATTCCGTTAGCGATTGAGTACCCCTTATTCAGGCTGGTGGTCGGTCCGGGCTCAACCGGCTTAAATGCCAAAATCTCAACCCATCATTTACAAACATCTACAACACAGCCAATATGACACCCAAGCTGTATAAAGAAGAGGAGTGATTGATCACAAAGGCCATCAACGTGTGCCGACACGAAAAAACAAAACCAAATATCAGCAAATTAGCGCATCAATATAGGATGTCTCGCAAAAGCTCAACACGTCCACCTAGGAACCGCCTATTATCTTCTGATCAAGAAAAAGCGCTTTTTCTATGGATTGAGTATCTAGATAATATAGGTGCACCTCCTACAAATCAGTAAATAGAGGAAAGTGCAACGCCAGGCCGACCAGAATTGGATTTACAATTATCATGGAAGAGCTAAAAGTTCACCTCCAGGATCTTGTAACAACGTTACGTAGGGTATGTATAGTTACGTTCGAGAGGGATCATGGAAGGCTAAGCACACAAGGTAGGGTATGGAATGTCAATATACTGAAACCTATCTCTTCTGCTTCCGCAGCGTGCATTCTATATAAGAGACATTCATGTTGTTTCACAGCAATACATTATTAACCATGGCTAGCTGAACATTGACCATGACCAGCTGAAGTATCCACACTTTTACCACTCTCTATTCTAACCCTAACCCCTAGGAGGTTTGACAGGCATGTCGGTTGTTACAGATCTTTAGAACTTCAACAAGACCCGCTTCATTGTTGGACAAGGAAAAAATTAACTGCGTACCCAAAAACAGCAAAAAAAGTCTCTAGCCTGTCTTCTCGAAAATCAGTTACTATCGTTAAGAGTATAAGCGCTAAGGGGAAGATTATACCACTTTTATTAATTCCAAAGGGAGAGAAACATAGAGGAATAGTGTCGATATATACAAGATATGTAATGGCTGGTTACACCTACCGAAAACATATTTATAAAGATTATATTGGATTCGAATAGTCCAACATTTAATCCCTATTAAAACCTGATAACCCATAAAGGTAGCAATTACTTATCATGGATAATCATACGACGCAACTTACCATGCTGCATGCAGTTTATTCAATGCTGTGAAATTTATCGCATTCGATTATTACTTTTCCACCACATTCCACGAATCTTTTATAACCGCTTGATGGAGTGTCTTTTCAACAATATAAGTATGTTCATGGAAGAGATGAGCCATCGATTGATGATGGGAATATATTAAGAATTCATGGCGAGGTTGATAACACTATTCCCAGTTCACCAACCACAAAGTCAATCTCTCCTCCGCCAACTGTCACAAAGCTTCGTCGTTATATCAATAAGATTGAGAAATCTATTGAAGGTATGTGTGTGTGTGTGTCTATTTAACGGCCGTGGTTCGTGACTCGCACGCTTCCCACCGATCCCTACTGGGACATAGGCCGCCAAGGGGTAAATCTCAGGCTTCAGGTCCTATCGGATTTATATACAAATAAGAGACTCTTTGGTGCATTTCCATAGCTGCCGTGGTTTTACAGGGAGGTCCACTTCTGGGTGGGTTTTGAGTATTTGCTAGCTGCAATGGTCCACCTACGCTCCATGACCTATAATTCTACCACCATAGTACTTAAGCAGTGAGTTTTGAAAGAAGGGAGGAAAGAAAGGAAAGAGAGATGTAAAGGGAAAGTAGGGCTGGCTTAGCTAGGTGCTAAGGAGAGGCTAGCGAGGATAGATGTCCTCAAAGAAACAGGTCTCTGCTAGCCATGTGGCTAGTTTTTGTGTTCCTTTTGCAGTGCCTAAAAGAAAAGAGATGACTTCAGAAGGGGGTCCAGGAGAATGAGGGGCTCGTCTCTTAGCTATATAGCAGAAGAAGAAATGTAGAGGTACTTTTCTTGCTCCACACTAACAGAGAAGATAAGCATCATCATAATTAAAGCGTTCATGGTAGTCTGCAAAGTCTCCATGACCAGTACGGGCCGCTATGATATAGCTAAGGTCAAGTCAGTTGAGTTGAAGCTCTCCAGGGCGTTTAGGAGATGTAGTTATTTCTAGATTTTAGTATGTCTGTGGTGCTATAGTCTGCTACCGTGTCTAAGTAGCGGAAAGGGATTGAGTCTTGGCGTATCTCTTTAGTGAGGTGTATGAGGACTTGTATGAAGAGGGGGGACAGAGGCAGCTCCTTCCTTAGTAGTGAGATCAGCTACTTCATTCTTAGGGATTTTGGTGTGTCCAGGGACCCATCGGATTTAGATTGATCTACTTTTGGTGTGTGGAAGCCTTTCGCATAGTGGCCAGGCAGCTGCAAGGGTATGAAAGGATTCAAAGACTTCTTGAGAGGATCCTGTAGAGGGAGATAGGAGGTGCATAGTAACTTCTAGGTTTTTAAGACAGATCCATAAGTTAGTAGCAAATTGAGCTGTTGGGTATGCTATTACTGCTTGAGCACCAGCTAGAGCAGCTTCTACTTTGGCATTGAAGACTTCTTTCCCATGTCTATATGAGAGCGAGGAGTGGAGGAACTAATAATGTGCTTAAAATCTAATATAGCTACCCCCTGCACGTCTGTCTACTAGCCTAGATCTATCTGAAAAGATTACAGTATCTGAGCTAGGGATGGTGCGTTAGAAAGCTATGAAATTAGCTGCTGTCTGTTCCTTAGTGCGTCCCATGGGAGCTTCTATTTAAGCTTGGGTATTCTCACAAGACTTGTGAGGGTGCCAGGGAGCGTATTGGAGGGGGTTTATCTATTTAGAGTTGGGGAGGGCCAGTATATAGTGGGCAAATCAGCTGGTTTGTTGGCTATTACTAGCAATCTGTTCTGCGCGTCTTAGAAGTGGGTGATAAGGGTCAAGACGCCATAGGCGGACAGTTGTAAGGAGGGCTATTCGATCTAGTTCAATTTCTAGTGGAGAGAATCTAGACTCTTGATAAAGGACAGGAATTAGGGTTGTGCGGAAGACTGGAAGGACTGCTCTTGCGCCTATTAGTATTACTTTAGTTAGTTTCTCAAGATATTCTCTAACTCAGTTTGAAGTCTGGGAAGGCCTAGGGTGAGTATGTCCTGGCCATTAGGTTTCAGCACTATAGTATACTTTATAGAGTATACAGGCTGATATAGCCTGCTATAGTAAATGAGATTTGACTCCTTGGATAGTATTCTCTAGAGAGCAAAGGGCATTAGCTATAGTGAGGGCTTTAGATGCTGTTTCTCCAATATGCCATTTAAATGTTAGCTTTTTATCAAAGAGGATTCCTAGCCATTATAGACATAGCTGTTTAGTGTTTTCTAATATTATAATAGATCTAGCTTTCACTAAAGGTGTATGGGTTGGGTTCTGGTCTACTTTATATTAGGAGAAGTGAAGAAGCTTATATTTATCTGGTGCGAATGTAATGCTCTCTGCAGCTCCCCAGTTAAGGGCTTCTTGAAGTAAGTCTGATAAGGCTTTGCAGTTAGTAGCAAGAGATGTTGAGATCGCTAGGTTAGCTGTGTCGTCCGCATAATCAAATCTATTCCTTGGGTTTCCTAGACGGAATAGAGGTGCTATGTAGAGCATGAAAAGGATGCTAGATACTGGGGATTCTTGTGGAAGACCACAGGCAATGTCTGTTGAGAGGCCAATCTCTCTATTGAGTTGGATCTGGACTAATCATCTAGTGGCGAAGGAGGCAATCTAGAGAACAAGATTGGTAGGCCAACCCTGCTCATGTAATCTGCGGATCAGTCTGCTGGGAAGCACAGCATCAAAGGCGCCTTTGACATCGAGAGTAAGGAGTGAGGTGGTCATGCCTTGATTTAGCGCTTGTTCAACATCATGTATTAGGCATGTGGTCAGGTTAGTTATAGATCTTAGTGGGAGAGCCCCAAATTGTTGCCTTGCTAATACTTTATGGTGTATAGAGATCTATGCCATATTCCGTGCTACCAAGCGCTCAAGTCCTTTGCCCAGGACTGAGAGGAGGGCAATTAATCTGTATGATCTAGATAAGGACCAATTAGTCTTCTTTAGTTTCTAGATAATTGCTAAAATTGTGTATTGAAAGCATTTTAGGTGATAATCAATCTTTAGGCACCCTTAGTATAGCATTAGTGCCTTATCCTTAATTAAAGGCCATGCCACTTTAAGTATGCAGGTTGGGATTTCGTCTACACTAGGGGCTGTGTTTCCTGCCTAAAGTACTGACTCCTCCACCTATGTCATTGATATGTCTGGGAAATAGAGACTAGTGGTAGAGACTATTGGAGAGTCCAACAGTATATCTCCTGCCTCAGCTGAGTTTTAGAGGAGATTGTGGACTAGTACGTCTTGTTTCTCATGTATAGCAACTACTAGGAAGCTGTTAGGTCTTAGTAGATCCTTTAGTGGAGGGCTTCAGAAGGTGCCTGTGGACTTATGCCATTTACTTATATTGAAAATATCCTTTATTTATGTTACTGTAGAGAGCTTCTCTCGCTAAAATTGTCGTTGAGACCATCTAGTTATCCTGCGGAAGTCTGTCTTTGAGCAGAGGCCTGAGCAGTAGTTGTGTAAAGCTTTTTTGCAGTCTTTATTCTACCAAAGTTATCCTATGCCTTGTGTCAGGGTTCTCTTAGCAGAGCCTCTATATGCTCCTTGGATTGCGGATATCAGTTTTACAGCAAGATCATCGAGGTCTTCTTCTGTCATGGTTGGGCTCTCGGTACTAGTAAGGTTAGAGGCGAGAAGCGAGAGGAAGCAGGTGTAGTCTAGTGTATTAAATCTCAGTTTCTGAGCTGTTTCCTTGTATCTCTGATCCCATGGAACAGTGGTGATTAGTGGTTGATGATCTGAGGTTGCATCTAAGTAGCTCGCTATGCTAGTTTTAGCTCCCGCGAGTGCCAGAGGGCTTGAGGCAAAGCTGAGGTCTAACACGTTTCCCCTTTCATGTGTGGGACAGTCTATATCAGAGATGAGAACTAGACCCTAGAGGTCCAGCCAGTTAATAAATAGCTCTGCGAAAGGTGTGGGGCTGTGATATAGCAAGGGCGGCCATCTATTATATAGTAGGTTGAGATCACCTGCGAGTATTATTGCTTAAGGGAGATACGCCTCTAGCAGAGTTGTGAGAGCTTTCGCAGCTTCACCTGCTCTGATAGAGCCTACTGGGGCATTGTAGATGTTAACTATCAGAGCAGACTTTCCTGTGGGCGAGAAAATCTAAAGAAAAAGGAGATCTGAGGCCTCTTTAGTGTCAGTTGTGAAGGGGCAAAGCTGGGAGGTCTGAATGTCTTTCTTCTTTTAGACATAGGTGAGGACTTGTGGTCGGCCACTTATTACCTAACTGTTAGTTGGGAAGAAGCATTCATATAATAGATGTTTTTTTATGATCTATCAGCTAAAGTCTTTGAATGTATATAGTTCTTAGATTAAGATAATGTCAATATCGCTAGTGTATGCCAATGTGAGGGCTATTTTATATGCATCTGGTGCATATCCTACATTTAACTATAGGATTTTAAGGGGCGCCTTTTGAGTTGGGTAGTGATATATCATAGCTCCTGTTCAAGAAGAGAGGCGAACCAGTTTTATGGTTGAGGGGTTATAAAGTAGACTGCACAAGCTGTGATTAGAGAATCTATAGTTAGGGTGCGAGGTGGAGGGGTTACTGGACAGAAAGGAGAGATAATCTCCTAGATTCGAGGCTGAGATGGCATCTCATCTAATGCCATAGGTGTTTCTTATGTGCCTATGGAGAGCTAAGAGCTGCATCCTTCTTCAGTTTGAGCTTTTGCGAGGTTTAAGGCACAGGATTTTTAGATCTCTGCTTATTGAGCTTTGGTGTGTTTAGTGTTACCTTTAGGGCGCAAAAGGAATTCTAGGGAATCAGCTGGATATAATTTATGGCAGTATATGTATCTGGGAGGACATTGATGAGGCTCCAGGGCTGTGCAGCGGTTAACATAGCCCTCTTCAGTATGCTTTGAGAAGCCGCATAGCCAGCATTAAGAGGGGTGCATAGTGCAAAGCCAGTCTTTGTAGCTTAAACTTCTTTTAGTGCTGCACTGTTTGAGTTTAGTTGAGACTGTAGGCTAGAGTAGATGGTGTAGGCTTCCATTTTTCTGGCTGCATGGTCAGCTGGGAGGTGTACGAAGAGCCAGTTGTCAGGAAGGGGTTATTTCACCAGAGGCATAGGCTTTTTACGGAGGCTTTAGAGTGAGTAGTGGGAGTTGATTTGACTGGGGCATATTGGGTAATAGTTGTATAAGTTGACTGTTCAAGACCTGAGGGGGGACGTAAGGGAGGGGGTAAAGGGGATAAGGGATTCGGGGTGAGAGAAGAGGAAGTGGAAGGAGACAGGGCAGGTAGAATAAAGATCATCGAGATACCACTGATATAGGCGTTGAAATGTTGTTGGGCTACCAAGGCGAGGTCATCACTTAGAGCGGTGAGGGCTCTCAGAAGGTGAGGGGCAAGACCGGTGGTTTGGCTGCGGTGTTTATCAAGGAACGCAGCTATGGGGCTGAAGATCTTCTGTCCTTCAGAAGCTCTTGTCGTGGTTGCAGACGTGGATTCCAGAAGGGCTGTCTGTAGAGGGCCGTCTGTACCAGGGCCTTTACGCGCCATGGTGTTGCCGGGCGCGTTGAGACGTGTCAAAGGCTGCACTCCTGGGAGCTAGGTGGTAGAGAGGGGTGAGGAATTTGAGCCTCTGACTGTTTGATATGAATAATTATAAGGAAGTCGCCTATCAACTCGAAATCGAAGCTCAAATGAACCACGTGTAGGGCACGCCAATGATTATGATTTAATCATATTCATAATCAAAGTCATTCTTGATTATGATTTTCAAGTTTTTAAAATGGCTCTAATCATAATCATTGATGATTATGATAAATGACTAATGATTAATAATTTAATCATGATTAAAATTGTCATATGGTAATATAAAATGCCCAGTCCAACAATCCTAAGAATGGATATATATTTCTGTATTACTGTAGTCTGAAAGCAGGCATCATCGGTAATAAGAACTTCTAGTAGTCTTATTATAAAGCTCATTCTACACTATATCTGCTCATTCAATTAACTATTTTGGGACGTAATAACATTGTTGCTAGATCCAGGACTTCATTTATTACTTGGGAATGACTATAACCCCTATATCAGTATCATCTTCCAACATTCCTTCCTCAATATCCTCTGTAGTTTCAAGCCAAGACTTATTGTCTTGGAAAGATTTTAACACTGTTAGCATCTTAATAGTTGCTGGTTGAAGAGTATAGCGCCGTAGACCTAAAAGATCATGACCACGAGAAAAGAGACGCTCTACACCAACTTCTGATGCAGGGATAGAGAGATATCGACGAGCGATCTTAGCCATCCAAGGATATTTAAATCAATTTGTTCTCCACCACGCCATAAGCCATTTAATATCTTGTTCTGCAGTCATATTATCAGGTACAGGCTCTTGAATTGGAGGAGACTCAAGCCAGTCATTTTTCTTATTGATTTCAGAGGTTACAGAGGTTGAGTAGTGTCTTCTTTGAATTTCCTTGAGCATGCGTTATCGATTTAATTCAATTTGCAGACTATGAGGGTGACCTATAAAGCTAATTGTAGGTATTGAAGATAAAAGCATTGAATCCTGGTAATTAGAAGGAAGTGTAGGTTCTGGTGCAGGAGATATCTCATTGAAATGAACTCGCAAATTGTTGATCACATCGATAGCATTATCTCCAAGATGAATCTTTAAAAGCTCAGTCTTAACGCGGGGATCTAGAATAGCAGCAGAGTAAATAATAAGAGTCTCTGCGTCCATCTTCTTTGTATATTTGTCCAAGGCCTTTCGCCCTGCTCTTGCTGCATCTTGAATCTGTATATCAATGCCAGCATAGGCACCTTGCAATTTAATAATGTCATCAAAATAATTATCTAAGTCCTAATAAGTCTCTGCAGATTGGAAAATTGTTGGGTTGGTCTGTGAAACCAAGAGGGTCTTCTTATAGAGAGGAAGCATGACTTGATAAATGTTTCCAAGAAATATCCATTCGAGCTCTGATAGTACTAGAGGCTCTAATAGCTTATACTCCTTGCACATGCAATTAATTGCAGACCGCTCTCGAATTGCTATCTCAAGCATTTTTAGAAGTGCATTCCATTGAGTATCAACATTGTAGTCGAGGGCAACAGAGGCATATTCCATATATTTATTAACTCGCTGATCGCTAGCTAGTATCCACATAACAATTAATCGTAGTCGAGAAATTGCAGACTGTGGTATTTCCTCAGTTTGGAATGTTTCCCTCTTATCAATGCTCATCTGTTTGATAACCCTCTTTGCTTCTTGGTATGAGCCTACTTTAAATATCTTTAGCATTGATTTAGCTATTAAATTCAGCACATGTACTAGGCAGCGGACAAAGCTCTCGTCACCTCTAAAACATATTAATTTGCAGTCTTCACCTAGTAGATTCAATTTTCGAACTGAGTCAACAAATTGCTGTTTTAGGAGCTTGTGAAGAGAGCGGCAGAGTGTAGGGTTATTACTAGCATTGTCGCCGCAGATAGCCACGAGTTTCTGCTCTAGATCAAAGTTTTGAAGCACTTCTTGAATCTCTTTGGCCATGTTTTCCCCAGTGTGGGAACCCTTGAGATGACCAAAATAAATAACGAGCTGGCGATCTTCGAAGTCCTCTGTAGCCCAATGGCAAATAACGGTAAGAATATACTTCTTATTAGGTGCCTTCTAAACATTAAGAGAGAAGGAAATAGTCTTAGCGCTAGCTTTTAATTCCTCGTACATATGGAGCTGACACTTTGAGAACGCTTGCTTAATTTACTGGCGTAGAGTTTGATGGGAGTTGATTAGGCAAGGCGCATTCATAGCAATTTTCTACATTCTTTTCCACTTTTCATTATCAACTATATCAAATGGTTGTTGGGTATTGATAATCCACTCAACGATAGCTTCGTCAAGGGTTAGACTCATAGTAAAATCAGCGCCTCTTGAGTAAGTGATGCCATAAGAATTAAGCGTTGTTTGAGAAGTATCTGGCACAGGAGCTCTACCATCAGGATAAATTTTATGATGGCTTTTAAGATGGGTCCAAAGATTTGAATTTGAGCCGTTCCGGGAGCTATCAGTTTATATAATCTCTTTTCCTTTCTCTTGACAGTGAGTACAAATTCAAAGGACATCTTGATATGCAAATCTTCGCGCCTTATCCTCTTTTTTGTAATAAAATTTGTCTAGATCGATATTCTCAAAGTGTTCATAGCAGGGGCTCCATCTCTGTTGGGCACCAGTCCGAGATTTCCTCCCCCAGGTCTTCTTCATAATATCAGGGATTCGAGCTGATAGATTTGAAGCTGATTCAGAGGGTGTGACAGTCTCTTGAGAGGTTGAAGGAGTAGGAGATCTCTCTCGAATAGGACGGTGAGTCTCAGGAATTAGGGAGGTAGAGCGGCTGCGAGCAATGCGTCGATGAGGGTTATCCAATAAGGCATAATTCTGGCGGGTTACAGTTCGACGAGATCGAGGAGTGCCATCGATCATGTCATCAATTTGTGCTTGCATCTAAAAATATTAGTTTTTTTTTTCTCCTGAGACGCGTGACCTGACTTGCCTTATCCCTTGACGTGTATTTAATTTAATACAACGATATCTACCTATAAGTATCTCAATAAATATTGAAAGCTCAAGGATTAATTCATATATGCCTTGTTGATTCAAGACGTTCTAGAATTATGGTAATAGGAAAGGTTGAAGAACACGCGGTTGATAAGACATGTTTAGAGATACTTCCGGACCGGATTAACCAATCCCGGTTGTAATCATGATTTACTCATTAATCATAATCATAATCATCATGATTATGATTATGATTTTGATTTAGGGCTGAAACTTATGATTATGATTATGGGAATAGCTAAAATAATCATAATCATAATCATTGGCGTGCCCTAACCACGTGGCATTGTATAGGGTTGGCAGAAAGAGTTGTCACGTGACACCACTTAGTTAGTTACTGGTCCCCGGAGACCTAGATAGGGACCAATGATATTCATCATCCTTCCACGATTAGTGTGCCTGTTATAAGAGTTGCCCCGGTCACGTGAGCACGCCAGGGATATAGGGTCATGGGATAGTTTCATGTTCCTACCCTTTCTGTTTTCTTCCCCATGCTTAGTTTTCTTGTAGTTAGCTTCCAATTCATATTGTTTGAGCCCTCACATATAAGGCGGGACTGGCCCGTAACAACCTCATATTCTTTGGCCCTTGAGCCCCGGCCGACCCCCAGCGGGCCTAGCCCGAATAGGGTAAGGGAGGTGTTAGATTTACCAGTGTTTATTTTATGCTCAATCTCGTGAAATTGATAAAACAAGATGATACTGTAATTTCACAACTGAAAGCTTTTTAATTTCCCTCTGCTTTCTTCACCAAGTTGCCCTGTTTCTAACAGGGAATTGTCCTCTATAATGAAGAATCAAAACCCCTCACTTTAATACGTGTGTCTTCCTGATTGGTACGCCAGTTGGGCTCGCTGCGCTGTGCACTTCACCTGTGATATCTAACAGGAGGCGGCGCAAGGAGTAGAGAACCAATTTGACTTTTTTGTAAATGTAGCATATGGAAAGCACGGCCAATCGGATGATGGTACGGGGTACGTATCTGTTGGATTAGCTAAGCTGATTCAACCAATCAGACAGAAGAGATTTGTCAGCCAATAATAGCGAGCCACACACTGATCCACCGAATAGGGGGTAAAAGATATCTTCCACCTGGACTGTACTTAGAGACAAGAACAAGAACAACAAGGGGATCAAGGATTCCATACTTTTGCATACATAATTTGATACGTTGAGATATACCGTTAGAGATTGTTACGTACAATCCAACAGTATCAATCGGCCAACTCAGCCACGATCGGTAATAACTGTGGGGCTTTCAATAAGTATCCAAATAATGGTGGATACCAGCCCCACAGTCACAAGAGTTCCAGATTCAGGGGTCAGGAAAGGGCAAGTTGGGTTAGTGGTACGTATACAATTCCAATCTCCTAGTATTCCTCAAGGACATGACAACATAACGGGTACCGAGTTGTGGTAGTGGTGGTGCTAAGAAACGGTTGCTAACGCCGTTTTGGAACACGGCTCTCACACTGTCGGACTCGTCCCCAATCGCTCAAGCCAAGCAGGGTCCCCAAGAAGAAGCTGTGAAGATCACTGAACATTCTTCTCAAGAACACAGCCCAGTTCTGAAGTCGAAGTCTTTCTGTGTGTACGGGAATCCCCAGGTGTTGAGTATCAACACCGGAATATTAGCTATTCCGGTTCCCTGGGGATATCCCCTTTACCTGCATGTAATTATCCTTCTCCTCCCTTTTTGGGGATCAGTCGTAATATTAGGAATAACTTCAATATTACCAGACTCACCACGTAGGGCAGTTGGACTGCCCTTGCCGCAATCCTGTGCTTCGTGATCCAGGACCCGGCTAAACCAACACTTTCCTTGTAGAAATCTAAATAGTCCTGTAGATCTAGATATACCGAAAACTAAGATGTTCATCCAGTTAGCTGGGCGAAAGTACTCCATACTTGGTCCAGACTTCGTTCTGCCCGACCAGAGAAGAATATAGATTCTGATGACATAACGTAATCGGTAAGCGAAGCGACAATGTAACCGAGCCGACAGTTTCTTTCCGAACGCGTACTCAATATTGATTCCATACTATTCAACGCGTCAACATGCCACCAATTCGCAATAAAAACGAAAAGAATTTAGCAGAGCAAGAGGGGCGGATGTTGTTAGCTATTTCCGACTTAAAAAATGGAAAAATCTCAAGTGTGTATCAAGCTGCAATCATTTACAATATTCCTCGGACGACGCTATATGACAGGTTAAACGGAATTCATCAAAGATCTATAATACGTTCCAACGGACATAAATTGTCTCAATTTGAAGAGGAATCACTTGTCAAATGGGTACTCGATCTAGACAAACGTGGATTACCCCTCGGCACTCTCTTGTACGAGAGATGGCTAATTACCTTCTTTCACAACGTGGAAATCAACAGGTTGGAGAGAAATGGGTCTATAATCTCATTCAACGTCGCCCAGAGATTGAATCAAAATTTTCACGGAAATATAACTACGAGCGTGCTAAATGCGAAGATCCGAAGTTAATCCAAGAATATTTTGATCGCGTACGAGAGGTTATATCAAAGTACGGAATCTTACCAGAAGATATCTACAATTTTGATGAGACTGGCTTTGCTATGGGACTCTGTGCAACCGCAAAGGTTATTACTGGAAGCGATCGATATGCTCGGCCAAAGCTATTACAGCCTGGAAATCGAGAATGGGTGACTGCAATTGAGGCAATTAATTCAACTGGATGGGCCCTGCCTTCATACATCATTTTCAAGCAAAGAAATATACTCGGTTAGGCTGGTTTGAGGATCTTCCTGATGACTGGAGA